TTTCGGTTCGATCAGTTCTTCAACGTTTGAATAAGTTGTCTTTAATATGTTGGTCTTGAGCATCACTGAAGAGACTTTTATTGTCGAAATGCGCATCTGTTACATTTAAATTGGTACCTTTAATGTTATTCCCCTGGTGTATTCCTTCCAATTTTGACAACTTCATAGTGTCTGTGTCAATGTCAGATATAGACCTTCATATTACACAATTATATTACTGCCTATTCAAGGCAACTCCTTCTAAGCAAATCAAATTAGTAAGAATATACACAATAATAATATATTATCATTATTGTGTATATTGTAACTAATTTGATTCGTTTGGAAAGAGTCGTCTGTTCAACTATATGTTCAAAGGTAGACTGAAGAAAGCAGAAAGAAAAGTGATATTGCACAGTTATTTTTAGAATTTATGACACAATCTTAACAACCAATTAAATGAATTGGCTTATTGGCAATAATAATATAACAAATGTAGCCTTTGTATGAGGTCGATACTAGGATATATCATTATTGTATATATTCTCGTTTCGACCACCTCACACAAATTATAGAAGTGTACACTGAATGGGACACCACGGCGAGAAGAAGAAGAGAAAACTTTTGGATCCACAAGCTCCATACTTTAGAACCTGATGGTCTACATGAAAAGACGAGAAAAGATACAGGAAAGATAAAGAATAATTTATTATTTAGCATCGTCCTTAATATCTCTGTAATATTGGCTAATGGGCGTGTTAAAATTACCTCAGTTCAACAACAGATTTCGTAATTAAATAAATAAACTTGAACTTCATCCGAATATTGAATTTGTTTATTAGGCAGCAAAATTCAATATACAATGAGCTGAAAAAATTTCTTATCTGCATCCGATTTCACCTGGATAGATGCACGCTCGATGAAGCTAGTTTGTCTAGCGAAGTATTGCGTTTATCTTTTACCGCATTGTAAATAGTTTTAACATTTTAATATATACATACTAAATAGTGTGTTAAAAATGCATTGTTATGCAATATATATATATTCATAAAGGTATAAGCATGTATATTTTTTCTTTAAAATAACTACTCATCACATATTCTCTAGCATTTTGAGTCAAGTATTCGTTGTAAGGTTACATTTTGAGTAATGGTATATACATCTGAAGAGTTTCGTATTTGAATTGCCATTTGTCTATTTGGTATTAGTGCAGCTGCTATATGGTTTTGTTTTCTCCGTTTGAACATCTTTTTAATTTCATTCCGAAATCTACTCCCGCTAATAATATACAATAAAAAGTTGACACTGTTATTAACATACATAGATAAATTGAAGATGCACCATAGTAAAGACATTTTAGCATAGTTATGGCCACATGTATCAAAACTCCATGAAGAATGTTCAATCATAAAAGCTCGGCTAGGAATATTACACACAATAAAAACACAGTTAACCGCTATAAGCATAGCGGTCATTGATGAAAATTTCGAATCTCTCTGCTGTTGGGACGAAGTACTGTAAGCGGAGACTTGACGCTTAATTGTTCTTCTCGAGATTAAAACCTTTACAAATATAAGAACGTTTCCGACAACCAAAACACCAACAGGTAATATGCAAAATATTACAAGGTCGATAGATGGCCATGAAGATATCCAAAACTGTTCATAAGATTTTGAAACAAATTCACAATGGTTTGCAGTTTTGCCGGTCGATAGTTCATAACCATATAGAATATGACTGTTAACTAAAAATAAGAATGATGCAATACTTGATAGAACCAGCACTGCCACATTCTTCGTGCAAATACACTGCATTTTATTCGGAAACCATATAAGCAGAACACGGTCAATGGTCACTGCAATCAAAATCCATGCTGAATAATCCATAGATGAATATAATATCCATATATGTATTTTGCATGCTGTAGAACTTGTGGCTCGTATATCAACATTAAATGTATTCAGAATCCACTGTCGCAGTAGCCCGGTATATAAAACCGATAAATCGGTTATGGCTAAAACTACTAAATAAATGCTACATACAGATTTCCGAACAGTTGGTCGACGTAATACCAGAATTGACAACACATTTCCAACAGTTCCTAAAAGTAATAGAATCGGAGGAAAAATTTTCCATAGATAAATTGCAGCATTGTATTCAGAATATATCAAATAGTTGCTTTCACAGTTGCAATCTGAATTCTTGCTGAAATTAGTTTCTACAAGAGGAAGATTATAATTTGTTGACATTTTCTTTATGTCAGTAATAATGTGTTTAGAGCAGTTTCTTTCCATGATGACATATACCCTCAAACCTAAATTTTGTATCCTCATATATTAAATTTCTATGAAATATGATTTCAACGGATGCACATTCAAGATAAATATCATTCATTAATACAAGTTTGATAGTATAAGTCAATTGTCTATAGGGGAAATGTTCCAATATTAGTAGTATTGACAATCCTGATAGTGTTAATGATACTTAATCCACAAGAGATAGTATTTGATGGTTCTTAATCCACAAGAGATTCTTGTAACAGGTTTTATACGTTATATTCATCAATGATTAGAAAAATATTGAGATTATCTTATACACTGGCCATAATGAATTTCCATTCCTGTGGTTAATGAATAATCCAAGCCTTTTGTTTATGGGAATGAAACGATTTCTGGTACTGATCCCCCGTATTTGAAAATTAATATTTTTAGGTACAGTTGGTTAAAAAAGTTAAATAGCCCGTTGGAAATATAAAAATAAGATGGGGTATGGTTGCCAATGAGACAACTCTCCATAAGAGACCAAATGACACAGAAATTAACAACTATATGTCACCGTACGGCCTTCAACAATGAGCAAAACCCATACCACATAGTCAGCTATAAAAGGCCCCGAAATGACCAATGTAAAACAATTCAAACGAGAAAACTAACGGCCTGATTTATGAACAAAATAATGAACGAAAAACAGATATGATAAACAGTAACAAACGACAACCACTGAATTACAGGGTCCTGACCTGGGGCAGGCACATACAGAATATGGCGGGGTTACACTTGTTTGAAGGCGCCAACCCTCTCCCTAACCTGGAACAGTGGTGTAACAGTACAATATAAGAACAATCTATAAAAATTAGTTGAAACAGGCTTAACTCATGAGATCGATACAAATAGAAATTCATCTAACAAAAACAGAGTGGACGTGGCAGGGTACTTATACATCCCCACAACAAAAAGACACTAAGTACAGATCTGAGAATACTCGCAGTTACTGACAGCTAGTTCAAAGCCAATAACAACTAATATAGAAAATCATGCATCTAAGACAAAAATATTAATCGGTACACATCCAACATCCAATGGATTTAGTGTAAAGACGTCATCAACAGTCAGAGAAAAACATGACCTTGTGCAATGCCAAGATACATGTATCGACATATTGTAGAGCCATGAATGTGCATATGTATATAAAAATAATATTCAGTTTGATTTTAAATTACTGATAACAATATCAATACCAATAAAAACAATATTCAAAGATCTAATTACAGTGTTGAATTAGTAACCTTTTAGAATAAGTTTATTTAAAGGATCGATAAGTTTATCTGGATCGTTTTTCCGGGCTCGGTAAACAACATCTCCGTAAAAATAGGATGTGCTATCGCATTTGAAATAAGTTTTCTACAAGTACAACCAAACTTCAAAACCAAATCGTTACATCTATGGAAGTAATTTGTGGTAACGAAATCCCTGACTTAATAATTTACCAGTAATACATAGATTACGTTCATTGAAATCCAAAACAGACACGGGCATAAGAACGAGTTGTGATATATAAACACCGTAAGATGGTGCCAAAGGAACATCACCGTCGTCCAAAAAAAGGAAAATTAACAATATGGAACGAAAAATCGTCCCTTTTTTCGTTAATTTAGTGTAGCGTTTCCCGTGTAAAACTGAAGTATCTAAATCTAGGAGAGGAAGTTATTACCGTTTATATTTGATTTATTTAAGACCTTTTTCTGATTTCTCTCACTACTTTGCTTCTACCGTAAGAACTGATTGACACATGATTGACACTACTCCTGGCAGATAACCACCGTTGGTATCACATAACCGACAATCAGTTGTTTCTGTACAGGGATGATTTAATTTGTTTCTTTTTAGATCAATTCAATTCTCCTTTTAAAAAAATCATTGACATAATTAAGAGTTATTTTCATCAGGTGTAACTAAACAAGTCATTTAAAGAATACAAATGTTTCCCTGTTTTCAATGTTGGGTAGGGTTTGCTTTTGTTAGCTTTGTTAGTTTTTTATTTACTAGCAGACAAGAAGATTTTTTTATAAAAACAAGCGTTGCGCATACTAAACCTTAATTCTAAGTGCTAGTCTCTGAAAGAATCCGGCAATTCAGAAATCCAAAACATGACAGAAAACAAAAGGCCGACCTAACCATAACCCTCATCCTGAGTTAGATATGGTAGGTCTTTCGTTTCTGCGTGTCTGATAATTTCCTGAAATTTCTAGATAACTTTTGGTGAGAATGATAGAAAATTACAGATTTAGCTCTCCTTAATTTGTAATTTGTAATATTAATCAGTGCCCTTCCGTTGGGATTTAGTATATAACATCATCAATTTTTATGTGTGGGATGTACCACAAGTGTAAAAACTAGTAATAATGATATGTTTAATTATGTATTAAACTATGAATAATAAAACCAATGTTTGCACAGATGAATCAAATGTTTATGACATTTACAAGATCTTCTATAGATAAATGTAGCCATGTTTATTTAATGGACTAAAGTCTTAATGGTTTTTAAGACAGACAGCTAGATACCATAAACATACTATGTATACACAGGCCAAAGTATGAGCTTTTACTATATGATATAAAAACTAAACTGACGAAAAAAGGTCATTTATTCAAAATCATAAAATGCAAAAAATACATTTTGCAAATAAAACATTTGACATAAAAGTTCATATCTAATATGAAATAATAATACAGAATTAATACGAAATTACATCAACTAATATCATATCAATTGAATAAATGACAAAGAATAGCAAAGGTGGGGAGAAAAATCTGCCTACATCAACTAAATATCATTTCAATTGAATAAATGACAAAGAATAGCAAAGGTGGGGAGAAAAATCTGCCACAAATCCGCTCTTAAGCTGAAAGAGTGGATGCTCAATCCACTCTTAGGCTGAAAGAGTGGATCCCCCACCCGAGGACTCTGGCGACGTGAATACAGTTTATATATAACTTGAACAATTTACAAGCATGACATTCACATACATGTACACCAAAAAATAACACTTTATTTTTGTAAAACGTTTCCACATTGAGCAGAAATATTAAAAGTTCATATGATCATATACCAAGATATTACCTTTAAATTATCTCTTACTGATAAAAATGATTAAAGGTGTGAATCTTATTTCGGTCAGGACCACAGCAATAAAATTAAAATATTATCGTCGTTAAGTATATTTTTCAGAATTCATATATCGTCTTACATCTAGACATTTAATAATAGTATCCCCTAAATATTTTAGTACGAACAATTAGTACATTAATTAACCGAAACTTTATCTTTAATCTTAAATCTTCAAACAAAATAGAAGTACATTTTTAAGAAGCCCTGGATCCTTTCTAAATACGAAGTTTTATATCTGACTATTTCTATATGGGATCATGAGCAACTGATTCTCATACTACACTTGACATTTTCAATCAAAATTGTATAAAGATCATAGATTTATAAAATGTCTTAAGGAAAAAGTTTTTAAATTGAAATTAGTAAATAAGTATCTAATGTAGACCTTTTTAACTCTCAGTTATTTTTGTTATTATTGATATGAGACTTTAGAAATATTTTGCCTAACTAATGATTCGGTAAAAAGTTAAGCTTTAGTCATAATCTTGAATATACAGCTTTTTAGAAATTTAATGACTAGTGAAAACCACCATTCAATATTAATAGTAATAATTTATATCGATAATACCACTATAAAAATAACGGGAATCCACCAAACTTACTTATCCAACATTGATAAACTTGGGGACTTTTAATTTACACTTAAAATATAATTAATATACATCGGGAATTTGATTTTTCTATTGAAAAAAAAAAATAATAATAATAAAAATAAATAAATAAATAAATAAATAAATAAATAAATAAATAAATAAATAAATAAATAAATAAATAAATAAATAAATAAATAAATAAATAAATAAATAAATAAATTGCTATACATAAAATAAATTCATATTCATTTTCTTCCTGGCATGCTACAGAACTTATTCTGAACATACTGATATTCCAATGCAATAAATTTTAAAAGGTTTATATTGTATATGGTCGTAATAAAGTTGTAAAATGAAAAATATCCTTGAAATAATATTCCAGCTTTTAGTGATTTTTCGTATAATTTTTATTTACCTTGCGATGAACATGATGAAAGTTAAATGATGTAAATTTTAACCGAGTAAATATTTATAACTTTTGACACATACTCTAAATTTTTTCTCGAAGGAGAAAAACCCATTTAATTAACAACCAGTTTAGTTAAATATAAAACTTTAGTTTGTGATGGGTTTACCTCTAAAGACCATAGCATTTAGTACAGCATTGGGATAAACCATAAAGTCCTTATATATATATATATATATATAATTTGAATAATTACGAATTTGAATTAAATAGGCAACATTAAAAACCATAACATGATTTACGAACAATTCATGTATACATACGGGAAGTTAAACCGAGCCATAGAATTTAAAATACAATTTAATGGTAGCCTATCAAATGTCCACATTGACAGTCTGAATAATGTGTAAAGACAGCATCGGCAGGTGGGCAGGCAATATAGACCCCAAACGTATGAAATAAAGATCATAAACGTTTTGGCTGGCAATACTGACCCAAAACAAGACACGGTTGTAATTATATGAAATAAAGATAATAAACGTTTTGGCAGGCAATACTGACCCCAAAACACATAGAATTTTATTACTAAAGATCATATACTAGTAAACATTTTGGCAGGCAATGCTGACCCAAAACAAGACATTTGTAATTATATGAAATAAAGATCATAAAACGTTTTGGCAGGCAATACTGACCCAAAGCAGAAGCATAGTATTTTTTTTGCTAAAGATCATATACTAGTAAACGTTTTGTCAGGCAATGCTGACCCAAAACAAGACAGTTGTAATTATATGAAATAAAGATCATAAAACGTTTTGGCAGGCAATGCTGACCCAAAACAAAACAGTTGTAATTGTATGAAATAAAGATCATAAAACGTTTTGGTAGGCAATGCTGACCCAAAACAAGATAGTTGTAAATGTATGAAATAAAGATCATAAACGTTTTGTCAGGCAATACTGACCCGAAACAGCTGAAGCATAAAGTTCTGTTACTAACTTAATTCTTTTTATCTGTAAAATTCCATAAACGCATTTGACCTCAATTCTTGAATCACGGATAGGACAATTCCATCCATGAACTGCAGCAGAAGTCTTTGTGTTTTCCTTCTTCTAAAACTAAGTGCTGTATAGTTACGAGAGTCCAAGACAAATAACGATATAGCCATTTTTAAAGAGATGGTGGAATAATAGCAATTGGTGCTTTGGACTTTCATTGGAATTAGGGTCCAGTTGTGTATCCAAATGCTGATCGAAGTCGTATTTTGTAAATTTGTATTTATAAAACAGTCAAAGAAGGCTTTGGTAAGTCCACGATTCTTGTTGATATGACTCGCACGTCTGGATCAAAATGCTAATCCCGAAATTAGGTATGTGTCATTAAATAATGTCAGCGAAACAGCAACCCATCAACATTTGTATGTTTGTATTATCGGAACTATGGCATACCGCTGATATATGAAAGTATAAGTAAGTTGTTGATATCACGCTTTATTGCACATTTCCTTCAATGGGAAAAAGTTCTTTCGTAGATCAATACCAGACTCAGCGCTCTTTGTCCATAGTAAAATCATGAAATAAACCAAATTAGATTGTTAAAGATAGGAAAAACTTAAATTCTCAGTAAAAAACAAACTTGATTTTACTCTAGGACCACAAACATAACGCATGTTAAAGAATAGTATGCGATGATTTAATTATCATAGTTTCTTCTTCTTCAATAACCAACCATTAAACAGACATGATTTTTATATTATGTATTAAATGAAGAGTATGAACTTTAAAATATCATCAGTATGTCTTGTCTTGTCCATTGTTATTTTTAATAATAAATCTAGTATAAAGTAAAAGCAAACGACCTTACAATGCATAAGTATTGGCATAAAAATTATCAATTACGTTCATCGCAACCCAAACTATATGAGGCGCCGTTTTACTATTTATTACCTATTTTCTGATATCAAAAAATGATTTTCTGATATCAAAAATTCTATTTTTTGATTTCAGAAAATCGATTTCTTGATATCAAGAAATAAAGAATATTTTCTGATATCAAAAATTCGAATTCCTGATATCAAAAAATCATTTTCAGAAATTCGAATTTTTGATATCAGAAAATATTTTTGATTTTTTGATATCAAGAAATAGATTTTTTGATATCAAAAAATGATTTTTTTTATATCAAGAATTCGAATTCCTGATATCAAAAAATGATTTTTTGATATCAGAAAATAAGAAATAAATGAATGACGGCTCCCTGTGTGTCATTTAAAACATTCAGGCTCACCGATGAGGCCAAACATCAGGAAATATCTGAAATAATGTTCCCGGTAGACCAATTGTTTTATAGTGTGGAGTACCACTATACACGGTATTGGTCATTATATTGATGACATTGTGTCCCTTGTTACAAAAACAAAATGCTTATACACTTCAAGTTTTATAAACATGAATAAGACTTCAAAGTCTCCGGAAAACTGCTATTTAATAACAATATTTTAAGCAAAAAAAATATTTACACTAATCTTCAGTTTGATCAAACTTATTACGAAATTCAAGACCCATGCACTAAAAGACAATATATGGAAGATTTTTTTAAATTATGCCTAAATAAAACATATTTACTCTTGTGTCGTACAATCCGAATTGGTGGGATATGTAGACCTAAGAATTTACTACATACTGGAAAATGTTTTCAAGATTTAGATACGATGGCTTGATAATATATTCAGGTTCAACTGGCGATATACACGATCTTTTCGCTTTATATATCTAATACAATGCATAAACAAGTCTAAATTGAAAACAACGTTCAAACCTACGATTGCGTTGGATAAAAACCGCAACTTTTATACGTGTGCATGCAAAACAAATTTCTTGGTAGAGGGGTCTAAATACAGCACAAACAACATTTTCCAAAAGATCAAAAAAGTGAAAAAGTATATTTTAACAATACGCATTTGACTAACAGGTCGAACAACGGATGTTCTTAAATCCTGCTGACTGCCATTGGCGATTGCCAAATAAACGGATCACAAGATGTAACAAAATTGATCTTAATTATTAATTTAATACCAAACAGAAAACAACAAACTTGCGGAAAAGATGGTATACCGCAAACATGAGGTGCAAAAATTTGTACACCATATCCGGATTTCGACAATTAATATCTCTTCAGTGATGTTAGGAATCGAAACGGTATTTGGAAGACCATATAATTTACCTCAATTTAGGATAGACTCTTGAATTTTGAAGAGTCGAAATGTATACTCTACTATATTGTACAATACGCACAGTAAAACTCAGTTTAAAAGAAGTCCGAGTCCGATGTCAGAATAGGTAACAAAATAAACTAAGCAAAATGATAATGATACATAAATGAACAAAGGACTACTAGCAGTTACTGACATGCCAGCTCCAGACCTCAATTAAACTGATTGAAAGATTATGTCTTCATCATAAGAAAATCAAGTACAATCCCTCCCGTTAGGAGTTTAGTATCATACCATCATAGAATATATAAGAAGAACATAAATCGTATCATGCCCACAACTGGTTTTAGAATAAATGTGTTTATTTCCGATGCAAAGACCCTATGAGTGAATCAATATTAATACCAAAATATGCAATCATTAATGACTAATTGACAACAGTATCGTGACTACCGGTATATCCTTTCCGAATAAGTCTGTTTAAAGGTTTGGTTAGATTTTGAGGTGAATGCCGACATTTTTGTGCTTTGTAAAGAATATTTCCATAAATTTTTGGATGTGAAATACCTGAACGTATAAGAAGTCTGCATGTTGATTTATATTTACGAATGATGTCTGCCATATTTGTTTTACGTAAATTGTTTTGTTATAAATCATATAGGCCTATAGCTTTCTAAATTTTCATATTGGGGCCTTTCATAGGCGACTATATGGTATGGGTTTTTCTCATTGTTGAAGGCCGTACGGTTGCTTATAATTGCTTACATCAACTTCATTTGAACTTTGGTGGCTAGTTGTCTCATGGGCTATCATACCACATCTCCTTATTTTAAAACTTAACAAAACTAACTTACTAAATCCTCAACATAAACAACCGGAAAAAAATATAAAAACAAGATGAACAAAACACTGGTGCTTGATATTTGCAAAAACCTGACTGCACAAATCTGTTTCAGAGGAAACCAATAATTGCTTATAAAAGAAGCGAGAACTTACAATTGTTGACTATAAACCTTAAAATAATAAATATGTGAAACACAAAACTTTTTATATTAAGACTGATGAAACCGAACTCTGATATATGCTTTCGTATATATTACACGACCGAAACACCACACTTAATGTAAGGGCTCATTGGTGAACGTTGATGCTTTTATTGACACACAGGGAGCAATCGTTGATATTTTTCTTATTTTCTGATATCAAAAAATCATTTTTTGATCAAAAAATCATTTTTTGATATCAGGAATTCTAATTTTTGATATCAAAAAATCATTTTTTGATATCAGAAAATGTATTTCTTGATATCAAAATATCGTCAGTAATATTTGATATCAGAAAATCTATTTTTTGATATCAGAAAATGGATTTCTTGATATCAAAAAATGTGATTTTTTGATATCAAAAAATATAATTTCTGATATCAAGAAATAAAGATTATTTTCTGATATCAAGAAATCGAATTCTTGATATCAAAAACGGCATTTTTTTATATCAAAAAATTGAATTCCTGATATCAAGAAATATTTCCTGATATCAAAAAATCATTTTTTGATATCAGGAATTCAATTTTTTGATATCAGGAATTCAATTTTTTGATATCAAGAAATATTTTTTGATATCAGAAAATAGGGAATAAATAGTAAAACGGCGCCTCATAAAACTATAACATGTACATGAATTATACTAGTAAACATAATTATAATAAAATAATACATTAAAAACATGTATTATAAACTGACAAACATGTGAATCTAGCTGCATGTCTCAAAATACTGGCAAATTTGTATGTAGCAAAAGGATTGATTACAAAAATAATTTAATCCAAACCAATCACCATGACGAAATAATAATTAAAAGTAGCATGAGTTTCATGACGAAGCATAAAACGATACACAGATCATAGACCAAGCTACTACGACCTCCGCAAAAAAAAAAGAAGCATGAGTTTCATGACGAAGCATAAAACAATACCCACTACATACTAACATATTTACAAAAGCAAATACACAGAGGTCATAGACCAAGCTACTAAGACCTCTGCAAAAGTAGCATGAGTTTCATGACGAAGCATAAAACTATACCTACTACATAATAACATATTTGCAAAAGTAAATACACAGAGGTCATAGACCAAGCTACTAGACCTCTGCAAAAACAATATACAGAGGGCATAAGTACAAGCAACCTCGCCCTCTGCAAAAATTAAAATATCGTCCACATTACCCAAACAGGCAAAGACAGGTAAATTGGTTCGTAATAAATAAGCATTGGGTTGCGATATCGGTAAGAGACATATCCTTTTTATACCGTTAACCAGGTACACCTGCATAAATTAAAATACTAACAATTATAGCGATCAGGCTAACTTGCAAAATTATAAGCTCCAAACAAACCACCGTGACGAGATTTATGAAAGTAGCACGAGTTTCGTGACATAGCATAAGACAATGAACACTAAATAAAACATAATTGCAAAAGGAAATACACAGAGGTCATAAGTACAAGCAACCAAGCTCTCTGCACCAACTGAAATATCGTCCACCTTACCCAAACAAGTAAGGCAAATGGGTTTGTAGCCCAATAAATAATAGCATAGCCTTAAAACTTAAACTGTCTTGCTCTTTCATATGAGAGTGTTTAAATGTATGGAATCGTGAATAACATCGTATATACGTGTGTAACTTTGCATTCTATCATGTATGGTATTATTATCGTTATGCAACAAATTTTGTATTTGTAGTTAAATTTAAATGAACCATGTCTCCTAAAGATACACAGGGCGGATATACATTCTGCAAACATTAGGATGCTATTAAGGATTCAGTAACTTGTAAAATTACAACATCGGGTTAATCATCAGCTATCATTTTTTATAAGTAAGGTAAATAATTACGTTTTGATCGCAAACGCACAGTGTCGCCACCAACACCAAAATTGATTTGACCCACTATCTCTTTGACAAAGAAATGAATTTGACCAATTAACTGCTACATGTTTTGCATAAATCAAAATCGTGAGATCTATCCGAATGGAAGAATGGTAAAAAATTAACTGTACGTTTGTTCAGAATGTAAGCATAAAATAGCTCAAAAATTAAAAGTATAGATCGATTTTACCTCAAATTGCTAAAAGGAAATCAATCCAGTCCAAAATGAATAAATGACAAAGAATAGCAAAGGTGGGGAGAAAAATCTGCCCCACAAATAAACATATATACATATCTACTTCAAAAGATAACATTAAGGGAGGTATGTGGGTGGGAATTTTTAACAAATTGTTTGATAAGAATCACAAGTTAACACATCAAATGCTGATGATAAAAGGAAGTGACCACAACGCACTTACACGTGAACTCGTGATGACCCCACAAGATCATTGACCAATAAGAAAGATGTAATCCAATCATGCACTGGTCAAAAGTGAAATTTCTCTGCACGTGAAAACATGTTATCTAATTTCAACAATTTATCGTTTTATTAAGTATGACACTCTGACCCTTTGACCAGACTAGAGACATCATAAATTTACAGTATAAATAGCTCACTCTTTATTTAAGTCTTAGTAATAAACAATTAAACCAGAATTATCTTCTCTGCTGTCTTTAATTATTTTATTCAGCTTAATTTTCAATTAGCAAATAAAATTGGTTATACTACAGTTTTACACAGCCATAAAGTGCACAAAGTCCTATTTTTGATGTAAATGAAAATACACATTGCAGTGTTTCTGCATTTATTTGTAACTGGGAAATGAACTTTATATTAACCAAATTTTATTGACCATAAAAAGGAAATCGATATAAATAAAACGCATCTAATATTTCTTACTAGATGAATTACTCCCCGATCGTGCAAAATAACGTTATCGAGTATCGTTTATGATATTTTGTAAACTCAAGCAACAGCAAATTCAGTACAAAAAATTAGTCATAACGACCTACTTTACCTTAATGCTAACCCTCCAGTAAGAGGCACATGAATTCAAATCTTAAATCATAAAACTTTCGTATTTTCCTGCTTGATTTAATAAAGGATTTGTTTACAGTGGTATATACTACTGAAGCCTTTATTTACCTACTTTTGATATAAAATTAAAATTATTTTCCAGGTATGTTAGGATTTAATATTGAATTGTCCTATCTAATTTGGTAATTTAATAAGGGACCAGAGATGTATTAGATTGCAGATCAATAATTGCCCTATATGATTGGTAAAACTGTTGATGTGGTGGTGTTTCACCATTGATAATTGAAACACGTAGTTGACAAGTTTAACTTTACGAGTTCGCGTCAGTGATGTGAAGAAAAAAAATGTAGCAGATGAAAACCATGTTAATTTAAAATGTCAATTAAATGATGATTAAAAACAAAATTTTATTAACATATCAAGACATTCTAATGTTGATTTTATGTTTCTAAATGATAAGCAGAAGAGTAATTGCGTTCTTATTCACAAATATTCCTATGATTTGTAGCTGTGTCAAAACCTGTCGCATCAATTTGAATAGACATAGAAATATTTTATATTGTTAATAATGTAAAAATATATTATAGAAGTTCTATAAAAAACTAATTCTTTGGGAATTGCAATGGTCGTATCTTATCTGTCTCTTAATATTCTGTATAGAATGACTTTCTAATTAATATCTATATTGGAATCTTAATGTTATGAACCATATATTGTTAAAATATGAAACACGACTAAATTATTGAATTGAATTGAATTCAAAGATTGGGTCTTACAATTTAGACTTCTTAAGTAATTAGCTTGAAAACAAATAATTTGCTGTCATTATGAAATCGATATCCTGACGTATCTTCCCAAGGCACACATATGCAATAAATAAAAAAGTAAATAAACTCTTGACACAGAGATATGTCTCGCCTGTCGGCATAAAATTCAGAAAAAAATACCAATCTGATGGACAGCAACATGATTTATTAATTAATTAAGTCGCTGGACCATTATCTAGTAGGCAGTGCCTAAAAATAATCGTCAAATTGATATGTAATGATAGTTATGCAACTTCATATAAAATATCATTGATCTATCACAAGTAGATCCTGTCAAACTAACTTAAGCATAAAACTTAACATTGAAAATTGCTAATTAATTCAATGTCACTGGACCATGACCTAGGGGGCAGGGCCTCGAAATAGTCGTCAAACTGATATGAACTGATAGTTATGCAACTTCATACAAAATAACATTGATCTATCACAAGTAGATCCCATCAAACTAACTTAAGCATAAAACTTAACATTGAAAATTGCTAATTAATTCAAAGTCACTGGACCCTCACCTAGCGGGCAGAGTCTCGAAATAGTCGTCAAACTGATATGTACTGATAGTAATGCAACTTTCTATTAAATATCATTGATCTATCACAAGTATTTCCTATCAAACTAACTTAAGCAGAAAACTTAACATTGAAAAATGCTAATTAATTCAAAGTTGCTGGACCATGACCTAGGGGCCAGGGCCTCGAAATAGTCATCAAACTGATTTGTACTGATAGTAATGCAATTTTATACTAACTATAAATGATCTATCACAAGTAGTTCCCATCAAACTAACTTAAGCAGAAAACTTAACAATTGTTGATGTCGTCGCCGCAGCCGTATCCGGAAAAGCAATCCCTATGTCTTGCTATCCGGGACTTTTGTTGTAGGCGAGACAATAAAACTAATGAAAATATAAACATAGATAATAAAATGCTCCGCTGGGCGCAGCTTGATACGACCGCAGAGGTCGAAACCTGAACAGTTGGGGCAAGTATGGACACAACATTCAAGCTTGATATAGCACTGAATTTGGATTGTGATTAAATATTTGACACAGCATAGGTTTCTGACACAGAATGAATGTGGTCTAAGAACTTAAATTTTTTTAATTTACCTATTCAAACCATATCATTATTATTTGCTTTTATATATAAATCAGAAATAACCAATTAAAAATGGAAAATTTTAAAGAAAAAAAAAGGAAAAAAAAATCCCCCTCCCCCAAATTTTTTGAACCCCCTTATGATTCATCACCCCCAAACTCAATCCCAGCCTTCCCTTTGTGGTATGGTACCTTGCAGTACAATTTCATAGAGATCCACACACTTGAACACAAGTTATTGTCTGGAAACTATAAAAATGCTTGTTTTTTTCCCCTTTTTGGCCCCATATTCCTAAACATTTAGGGCAATTGCCCCCAAACTCAAACCCAGCTTTCTCTTTGTGATATGGAACCTAGTAGTACAATTTCAGAAAGATCCATAGACTTACACACAAGTTATTGTCATGAAACTAGAAAAATGCTTGTTTTTTGCCCCTTTTTTGGCCCCTAATTCCTAAAATTTTGAGGCAATTACCCCCAAAATCAATCCAAACATTCCCTTTGTGATATGGAACCATGCAGTACACTTTTAGAGAGATCCATACACTTGAACACAAGTTATTGTCTGGAAACTAGAAAAATGCTTATTTTTGGCCCCTTATTCCTAAACGTTTTGGGCAATTACCCCCAAACTCAATTCCAGCTTTCCCTTTGCGATATGGAACCTTGCAGTACAATTTCAGAAAGATCCTAGACTTACACACAAGTTATTGTCATGAAACTAGAAAAATGCTTGTTTTTTGCCTCTTTTTTAGCCCCTAATTCCTAAAATTTTGAGGCAATTACCCCCAAAATCAATCCAAACATTCCCTTTGTGATATGGAACCTTGCAGTACAATTTCAGAGAGATCCATACACTTGAACACAAGTTATTGTCTGGAAACTAGAAAAATGCTTATTTTTGGCCCCTTTTTGTCCCCTTATTCCTAAATGTTTTGGGCAATTACCCCCAAACTCAATTCCAGCTTTCCCTTTGCGATATGGAACCTTGCAGTACAATTTCAGAAAGATCCATAGACTTACACACAAGTTATTGTCTGGAAACTAGAAAAATGCTTGTTTTTTGCCCCTAATTCCTAAAATTTTGAGGCAATTACCCCCAAAATCAATCCAAGCATTCCCTTTGTGATATGGAACATGTGGTACAATGTCAGAGAGATCCATACACTAACACACAAGTTATGACTGGAAGTTACAATAAAATGCTCCGCAGGGCGCAGCTTGATACGACCACAGAGGTCGAACCCTGAACAGTTGGGGCAAGTATGGACACAACATTCAAGCTTGATACAGCTCTGAATTTGGATTGTGATTAAATATTTGACACAGCATAGGTTTCTGACACAGAATGAATGTGGTCTAAGAACTTAAAAATTTTAAATTGGACATTCACCTATTATGGTCCAATATCCAAAATCTAAATACATGGTTAGATTCAGCATATCAAAGAACCCCAAGAATTCAATTTTTGATGAAATCAAACAAAGTTTAATTTTGGACCCTTTTGACCTCAATGTGGACAAAGTTGATAACGGGGCCCAAAAATCAAAAATCTAAATACATGGTTAGATTCAGCATATCAAAGAACCCCAAGAATTGAATTTTTGATGAAATCAAACAAAGTTTAATTTTGGACCCTTTTGACGTCAATGTGGACAAAGTCGATAACGGGGCCCAAAAATCAAAAATCTAAATACATGGTTAGATTCAGCATATCAAAGAACTCCATATATTCAATTTTTGTTGAAATCAAACAAAGTTTAATTTTGGACCCCGATTTGGACCAACTTGAAAACTGGGCCCATAATCAAAAATCTAAATACATGTTTAGATTCAGCATATCAAAGAACCCTAAAAATTCAATTTTTGTTAAAATCAAACTAAGTTTAATTTTGGACCCTTTTGACCTCAATGTGGACAAAGTCGATAACGGGGCCCAAAAATCAAAAATCTAAATACATGGTTAGATTCAGCATATCAAAGAACCCCATATATTCAATTTTTGTTGAAATCAAACAAAGTTTAATTTTGGACCCCGATTTGGACCAACTTAAAAACTGGGCCCATAATAAAAAATCTAAATACATGTTTAGATTCAGCATATCAAAGAACCCTAAAAATTCAATTTTTGTTAAAATCAAACTAAGTTTAATTTTGGACCCTTTGGACCTTAATGTAGACCAATTTGAAAACGGAACCAAAAATTAAGAATCTAAATACACGGTTAGTTTCGGCATATCAAAGAACCCCAATAATTCAATTTTTGATGAAATCAAACAAAGTTAAATTTTGGACCCTTTGGACCTCAATGTGGACCAATTTAAAAACGGGGCCCAAAATCCAAAAACTTAATACACGGTTAGATTCAGCATATTAAAGAACCCCAAGAATTCAAGAATAAAACCCCATTGAAATTGATCAAGAAATAAGCAATTTATACGAAGTATCTTCTTTTGCACAATACTGTGCAATTGAATATTTCTTGCTATTGCGCAATGCTGTACAATTGACAATTTCTTGCTATTGCGCAATATTGTGCTATTGGATATTTCTTGCTATTGCGCAATACTGTGCAATTGAAGATTTCTTGCTATTGCGCAATACTGTGCAATTGAAGATTTCTTGCTATTGTGCAATACTGTGCAATTGAAAATTTCTTGCTATTGCACAATACTTATTATATAATAATTTACACATCCTGTTTGGTGTGTATCTCCTACCATATCATTATTATTTGCTTTTAAATATTAATCAGAAATAACCAACTCAAAATGGAAAATTTTAAAAGAAAAAAAAAAGGAAAAAAAGAAAGAAAAAAAAATCCCCCCCCCCCAAATTTTTTGAACCCCCTTATGATTCATCACCCCCAAACTCACTCCCAGCCTTCCCTTTGTGGTATGGTACCTTGCAGTACAATTTCAGAAAGATCCATACACTTGAACACAAGTTATTGTCTGGAAACTAGAAAAATGCTTATTTTTGGCCCCTTTTTGGCCCCCAATTCCTAAATGTTTCGGGCAATTACCCCCAAACTCAATTCCAACTTTCCCTTTGTGATATGGAACCTTGTAGTACAATTTCAGAAATATCCAAACACTTACACACAAGTTATTGTCATTAAACTAGAAAAATGCTTGTTTTTTGCCCCTTTTTTGGCCCCTAATTCCTAAAATTTTGAGGCAATTACCCCCAAAATCAATTACAGCCTTCCCTTTGTGATATGGAACCTTGTGGTACAATGTCAGAGAGATCCATACACTTACACACAAGTTTTTGTCTGGAAGTTACAAAAATGCTTATTTTTGACCCCTTTTTGGCCCCTAATTCCTTAACTGTTGGTACCATTACCCCCAAAATCAATCCCAACCTTCCTTTCGTGGTATTGAACCTTATGGTAAAATATCATGGAGATCCATTCACTTAAACTAAAGTTAGTGTGCGAAAACCAATGTGTCTTCGGACGACGACAACGATGCCAACGACGCCAACGTCATACCAATATACAACCACAAAATATTTTTGCAGTCGTATAAAAAGTAATCATATATGCCATTATGTCCTGTATATCCTTATTTATATACATCTACTGAAATTGTCTCCATTTTTACACTTCTTTGAGACAAGCGAAAACATGTCTACATTAAAGACAAACACATATCTGACATTGAAATATGAATCCACATTTCTACAATAGAACTTTGTTATGGTTATAAAGCTAAGGTTGAAACTGCTTCATGAACTTTTGATCTCGAACCAACTTATTGCCAAGTTAATGCTGGAATCATGTGTTGCCGCTCAGAAGAAATTATATACTTTTTTCTTTAAGAAAGTGTGAATTCGTCTGACAGGTCAAGCATGAACCTATAGCAGGAGATGCTTACCCTGTCCATGCACCGGGGGTCGCTCCTTTTGCAGTGATTTGAATATCTGTAAACTACTGTCTTCTTCATTTTACAACTTGTTCATTTACTATCAGTCCACTGTCCACAAGGGGACTACATGCCCAGTAGCCATTGATTCATTATTGGCATGATTCAAAATATACGTTTTGTCTGTGAATTTCCAATGTATTTAAAATTGTGATAAAGCTAATATTGCAACAGCCTTAGGCAACATTTACTTTACACTGTTTTGGCTATCTGGTTAAGGCCTTGATGATCATGCTCTCCAGAGTTTTATATTTTAGCTTTCTAAATTTTTGTTTTTAGCATAAGCATCAAGTTTAGTAGCAGTTTTGTAAGAAGCAACCCTCTATCAATGAAATCTTAATAATATCTAAAATCAATAAAACGTTTGGATTACAAAACAACAAATTCTACTATATCCTGATGCAAAATAAACTAGAATTTGGCATTATTTGAGTAGAACATTTTTTTTTTGCAGTAAGATATCTAGATGAACCACGCGAATGGTAAAGTAGGAGCTGGTCCTAATTTTGCATCTGGTAAATCTCAAAATGGCCCATGTTCTTCTTTACAGTATTTGAAAGGAAGTGTAATGGATGATAAAGAATATAAGGAATCAACAGGTGTTCTGAAGGAAAAAACTAACAGCCTTTCACATGTATTGTTCTTTGTTAGAAGGAAAGGATGGGAAGGCAAATAACTGTTTAAGTTGTTTGTCTACAATTTTTCATTTCTTTCAAGTTTAGTATTTCATCATTTTTTGGTTTCATTGGTCCTTCTATAGATATAAAGAGAATTTTAAAATTCTCCATCATTCCAAATGAACTAGAAGTCAATTAAGTGAACAGATTCTGGTGTGACCTGAATGTAGCATATGCAATGAATGTCATACAAGTGTGAGGTTTAGCTAGCTATAAAACCAGGTTTAATCCACCATTTTTCTACATGAGGAAATGCCAGTACCAAGGAAGTTTCCGATTTGAATTTTCCTTGGAGTTTGGTATTTTTGTTATTTTACTTTTTCTTATAATACACTGTATTTACTTTTAATTACATCAACAAAATCTCTTCCAGTCTGTTGGGGCATAGCTGCAAAGATTCTATTGGATAATCAAAGAAGAAGTTTATATTAAACAAAATACAAAACCTGTTTAGCAATAGTTAAATTTATTTATAACAATACATTATAATAAATGATATACATGTACACCAGACAGTTTATACAGGCTTGTATCACATTTATACACTCCAATGTATCAAATTATAACATCAAAACAATTCTGTACATGTACTTAACCATACAAATAAGTGCTTCAAAACAAAGAAATTCTTATAAAACACGCCTTGTTAATACTTATATATTTTATACTGTAAAAGTGTGCAAATGCTTCCCTTTTTGATGTCCAGAAAAAAGTCACAAAAGGAGACTTGATTGAATGAGACCTTGAAACACTTCAATATAAAATAATATTTAAACTCGGGACTATATTGTTTCTGTAAATGCTTCATACATTTGTTGTGGTTATACAGAAATATGGTGCATCGCAGTTCCCGAATAACAGATGTTGGACAGAAAGGTAAGGAAAACAAAAATTTACTGCAATAGAAGACATTCAAATGTGACAGTATGTCCTTCAGATTACGACTATTGCCCAATCTATAGTTCTTCCTAGCTGTATAAATCTAAGTGTGACAATGAATGGCCTTTCGTTATTAAAAGCCTGTTGAAATTTTAAATGTTAACTTTATGTCAGGCTGAAAGAATATAATGCACCAGGAGAAAAATGGTAAGAGAGGTAACAATTTCACAAATCTTGTAGGTTATGTATGCTTAAGAGTCTGAAATCTTTTCAATCATGATATGTCATACTGTGATTGTTAAACATTTTGTTATTTCATTATTTCATTTACCATATACAATTTTGACATTGTGAGCATTTATACTATACAAATTTTTCCATAATTTGTGATTGGAAAGGAGCAAGTTCAACTCTCTTGCAAATTGGATAAACATATCCTAGGTGGACTTGTCAAATGTAAAGAAATTATAAACAATAGGTTGGAAATTTTTTTGGACAAAATATAGTATAATTCTAATGCTACTGCTAACACACAATGATCAAACACTGTTCTATAGCGAAAAATTATTTAGGATTTTGCAACTTGAGCAAGCAAAGAAAACTTATTATGCACAACAGCTAAATGATGCATGGTATTCTACTTTACACAGGTTATAATATCAAATAGTAACAAGGCCACAATAAGCCAAGCATAATGATCATGAAAAGCACCAAAGAAGCTATTTCCATTTTTTTTAAATCATGTTTATCTCAATAAATGTCACATTTTTATCATATTTCAATGTTTAATTCTCATTATCCACTTGAAAAACACTATATTTCTGGAGACTCATCTTCAGTGTAAACTGTCATTTGTCATACTTTTCTTTTAAAATTGAATAAATAGTGTTTTGGCCTGGCCTGGCATGTGTGCACATATCCTTTTCATTTGCCTGGCATTCTATATTTTGAAGAAGCAATCTTGGTGTATTAACTAAAATAATATGTCTACTCAAGAAGGTGAAGAAAAATAGATGGTCAAATAACTTTACTAAAACTACAATATTAAAATATCCAAAAGAAGATTAGTTTTTATTATATCTAGTAGTCAGCTTAAACTTTAAAGAGATTTTGAACAGTCCCTGAAATATCTTAAGTCTTTCAAAATATACTAACATGCTGCCATGACTAAAGGAACTTTGGGTCTCTGAATGATAAAAAGAAGATTTATGTAACTGTTGGTGTGTTGTCTCCATTCTTTCTATATACAAATGATTTTGATTTTAAATATGTGTTTCACTCACTCTATACTTCACAATTTATCTATGATCTCTTAACTAAAAAATAACCAAAATCTATGTTTATATTTCTGGCATTTTTATAGATCCACAGCATCCTAAATCAGTATAAAAATTCGTTTTCTTACTGAATGTTTCCAAAACCTGTTAAATAATTTCCTTTACTAAATATGTATAACATACATGTACATAGAATTTTATTCCTGTACACAAAATAAATGTTACACCAATTTTCCCTTTCTTTTGATCACAATACAAATAACTTATATATTCTATCCATAATATAACTACATGAGTAAAAAAAAACAATAAACTCTGTTATTATTCAATAAAACAGATTGTCTACATTTAACTTTCCTATTTTCTTTCAATCATTAAAGCAAGTTAAGTGATTGGTGAAAACATCAACAGTACCAATTTTACTACACCTGATGCACATTTCCACAATTAATGTCTCTTCAGTGATGCTCGAGGCCGAAATATTTGAAAGTCTAAAACCTGACAGAAACGATGAAGAGCTGATAAAACAAAAAGGACAAAAAGTTCACCCAAACTCTGACAAGGAATCATAGTTATGCATGAGGGAGATACATTCCTTAATCTAAAATGATTTCGAAATTTTGAAACAGCAAATTTAAATCATAACAATATCTGTATTTTCATGCCAGTACCGAAGTACTTGCTACTGGGCTGGTGATTTATATGAAAATTTATATTTATTTAATGTTAAATTTAAAGAATAATGCTGATATAATATATGTATTATTTTGAAATAAGAAGTTATGGGTATATTTGTTCTAATGATTTTTGAAGCATATCTAAAATTAGTAAATAGGATATAAGTATAAGAGAAATTAACAAGAAAAATATTAAATTTAGGCAGTAAAGGACATATAGTATAAAAAAAAATGCTACATTTACATCTTGCCTACTTGTTATAAATTATGTTTTATAATAATACAAACAACTTTATCAAAAATCATAAATTCAGGGGGTTAAAGTTTATTAAAAAATTCTAGGAAATTTAAAGCTGCCATAAATTATGCTGGCATACAGCCTTTTTATCCAAATAACAATAAACCAAAGAATAAAACTTTAGGAATAAGATAAAAACAACCCTCAGGAGATTTTAGAAATAAAGATACTGCTACCTCTAACGTTCATTCAGAGAACCAAGGGATGTAACTCTTTAACAGTAAATGTAAAATCCACCAAACAAAAAACTAAACTCAAATTTTAGTGCCAATGATATCATGTAAAAAAAATATTAAAATGTTTGGTTGGTCAAGGGTATTGAAGTCATCAGGAAACCTTAAGGAAATGGACAGACAGAGGATCACTACATGTATGTATGACCCTTTCTAGTACATGTATATGAAATACGTAAGCAATGAGCTAGCTAGCTCTAGAAGAAAGTTCAAAGCCATGCATGCAAATAGTTGCTTTAGTCCTCTTTACCAAAGCTGAAGAACAACAATTTCACAACAAAACATTATCATTAAAGACAAGCTGTTTTAACTTTATTTTACTTCCATTACAATACCCAAATTAGACACAATCAGAAAATTTTATAAGCCTATGGTTCATGACTAATAAACATTACTCAATTTCAAATGATGCATGAAAACAAACAGTTTTTAAAAAGAAACTTGGAAATGCAGTTATATGTCACTAGAACAACTAAATTAAATTCAGAAATAATTTTGTGTACTAAAAGGTGGGAAATTTTCTTGTGAACAAGTTTGGACCTAGAAATTACAAAATTTTAACTCGGTGAAACTACTTCACAGAAGTTATCATATTGAAGTAGTAAATGAGACATTTAATTAATCTCATTTTGATGGAAATAAACTACTAAAAAGTATGCAAGTTTTAATTATCATCATTATACATGTACAAATACTCACTTGGAACATCAATTGTATTATAAGTTCTGAAAGTAGTAACTATTAAATACCTTTACCTGTGCTATAAAAACTCTTTGCAGAAACTCAAATCAATGCTACTTGCTAGCAATTAAAAAGCAAATCAGATTAACTTTTTAAACCTTTTCAAAATAAAAATTAAATTAAAGTCCAAACTTTTAGGCAAAATCCTTTTAATATTTTAAGAAAAAAGTACTAAATGTCATAACTGAATCTTTAACTTGAACTATGACATCTATCATTGAACATATAAAAAAGGGTTTATTTATTCAATAATATATATACCAAAACTTGTTCACTTGTCCTGAAAAAGAAGTCCTACCCTTCTTCAGATCATGAACATACATATAATATATGGTTTTGGCAAGTCAGATAATTGGTTACTATATACAAGTATAAAAAAATATTTCACATAGAGGAATATAGCTTTTGAACTATCATACATCCACACATTATATTTCAACAAGGAATTCATTCCACCTTTTTTAAGTCATCATCTTTTACACAAATAGTTTTAATTTTGAAAAAATACATTTTTTAACACTGTCAATTACTTGAAACCTTGTTAAAGTAGTATAAACCAAATGCATCAAATGTAGTATACATATTTTCATCGTTCTAAATACATTCACTATACATGGTTAAAAATTAAGGTAGTTGGTTCTTAAAGAACTTTAGGGATTCATCAAGGTTTTCAACTCTTATTATCTAACAGAATAGTAATAAAAATCAATTATATTTTTAATTCCTAATAAAAATCTTCCTACAATTTGTAACTAGATCAAATTTAAATGTTTATCAAAAAATAGATTTTGAGTGAACATTGTGCTTCACTGATGATTATGTAACTAGATTTTACCTACAACTTATTCACAGTGTAAAGTCAGATGAATTTACTAATAAAATAATAATCAATAAAAGTACTGCCAATGTCTAGGAACACTGAAAAAAAATATTTTCTACTGACAAATAATGTCAGAGCAGAGGGCTATGCAAAACTTTATTTTAACTCATTCTAATATAACTGCTAGTTATCTTCTTTACAGTTTTCACCAAAAGTTTCTTTACAACATTCAACCTAGTGAATCTTTGTACTACTTACTGTTTCAGTGAAAATTACATGGTTGAAGTCATTTCAACACTGATATGCAATAATCTTTAATTTCAATATTTGAACAATCATGTTTATATATTTGGTGGAGACTGGAATCTAAATATCACAATCAATAAAATCAAGGTGGATAATAAAAGCCATGAAGACTTTCTTTTTTTTTAATAAAATATTTTAAAACAACTTAACATTTACACTTATGCAGATAGGTTTATTTTTGTGGCTAAACAGGTGAAATTCTTCAATTATATATTATTTGGAGAATAAGTGCCCTTTAAAAATCATTTAAAATAATTAGCGATATATTACAATAGCAATATAATCATATTATGTACAGAATTTTACCTCATCATTGAATTAATTATCTAAAAAATGCATACATGGTTTTCAAAATACAATGAATGAAATACTTTAACAAAAAATAGAATTAAAAGAAAGGACAACTTCAAATGATTATTACTAATTGGAAACAATATCACCAGTTGATAGTATGTGTAAATTTTCATCTCTTTTTTATATATTTTCACTTCATATCTATTTCTCACCATGAGACATCACTCCTGACATGGAATTACTAAGATTTAATATAAGATGACCTTCTACAACTTGTACTTAATACACAATTTAAAAAATACTCTTGCTTACAAGCCATATGTAATGACTAATATATTGTCTATGCAAATAATGATTCATATCCATCTTGAATTATCCATCACTCTTGATAAAAGATTAGAATTCTTCAACTTAACAAACCTATTCAGAAAGCAACTAATCAGCTGCACAATAATAAGCTCATATAAAAATCCTTCAAAGGATAACAAAAAAGAATACAGAATCTACTGTTTTAATTCAATCTACAGTTATTTCCCTTTAGAGGAACTCTTTTGCCAATATCATGCCCTCTTTGTGACTTTTTGAGTAATAAAGTATATTTCCAGGAAATAAATATTCAAACATAAGGTACAAAAAAAAATACTATACAGTTGTTGCACGTAAATTGTTTAATTTTTCTAGCACTTGTTTAAAAGTTGGACGTTGTTTTGGATCTATTTCCCATGCCTGCATCATGATATTGTAAATCTCTTGTGGACAACCATCTGGAGCCTCCATTCTGTATCCTCGCTCCACATGCATAACAACGTCTGATAATGGCTGAAATATTAAAAAAAAAATCAAATGCTACCAAAAAAAAGTGTAAAATCCAGAAATGGGGGTATAAGATCTCTCGCAACCAGAATGTTTATTATGTGTGCGTAGTACAAGATGACTTGACAAAGTCAAGCATGTGATCATATCTAACTGTTCTCTTTTTAAATGACAAATAAAATAATGATGAATTTTATGATCTACCTGTCTTTATCCAATCTCTATTTAAAGAGTTATAACAACAGAAAATAATTAGAATATTATTATCAAATACATTAATCAAAAAGGTGCAACTGATAAGACTAAATTTTCCATATTTTTTCGTCCAAATTTACTTTAAACTAGAACTACAGACAATATATTGTTTATGAATATAATTCATGCTATTTTTTTGGGGTTCATGTTTTCTGACATCAGTTTTTGGGAAATAGTAATATAATTCCAGATTCTGTTATTTTTCCTATATTGATGATGTCAGTTTTGTGAAGGGAATATGTTTCAGGATACTAATTAAGTTGATTACATGCTGAGTAAAAGTATACTACTTACTATTCTTGGATATGGTACTCTTCCAAAGGAATAAACTTCCCATAGTAAAATCCCAAAACTCCACATATCTGATTTATTTGTAAATTTCTGTAGAGAAAAATAAATAAAATAATTATGTGTGAAATGAAATAATTCTATAACATTCAGCATTTATTTCCTGGAAATATCTACTTGCTGTCAAACTGGATTTATAATTATAAGAGTATTCATTAATGTGAATTAATACCAAAATTTTACTGATATGCAAAAATCTTTTATTCAAATAAGCATTACTTAATGTTGTTACTTTTTTTTTTAACTTTAAACACATTAAAATCTCACATTTATATCCTGAATTGCTACAATATGCCATATCAAGTGTCTATTGGTTTGTCAACCACTTGTTCACATTTTCTGTTGTATAGTAATTTATGTTAAAATTTATCCTTTCCTGAACCCCCTGACTACCGGTATTTCAAATTGGACAATATTTTATGTTCCAAGCTGTCCTACCATTTTTCCAAATACTAAAATTCAAACTTCAATTTCACAGTTTTCTCCCACTTGAATGGTTTGATTTTACTTACATTATCTCTGAGAGCCTCAGGGGCTGTCCACTTGATCGGAAACTTTCCTCCTTCAGCACTATAATCTCCATATTTAGCTAAACCAAAATCTGAAACCTAAAATAAAATAATTCGTAATTTTCAAAATGCTGAGGACAAATAATTCAGAATTTACACTTACTTCATCTTGAAAGATTTGTGCATGCATATTGTACACAACGCTTAGCACTGTGGGTATGTATTGTGATTGTTATGTCTGTAAATTCATTTGTTGGTAACACTTTGTATCCACAATTCATGCAAAACCAGTCCTTGGCTTTCAATGATACTATCAAAATAGTTTAAAAGCACTCTCTCCATAATTTGTGTTCAGACGACTTTGGTGTTATCCACAGCAAAATAAGGAGTTATCCATACTTATACCAATGGAAGCAAGGAGTATGTTTCTCTAATTTTCAATGATTGGTCTATAAAATTTCAATTATGAAGTCAGATTTTTTTAATTTCTTCTGAATTTCCTATTATGACGTCATGAAAAAAGCAACCATGCCTAATGACGTCACATATAAAGAACACAACTTTCTGCAAATCTTTGAAGAGGAAGGATAAACTTGCTTAGATATTGTCTTAAAATCATTAGAGAAACAGATTCCACCACTATATCTCAACAGTCAAATTTTAAATATTTAAAAAGCTCGGCAAGCCTGACGTTTTAAATTTTAAAATTGAACTGTCTCGAGTGGAGAAATATCGTAACACACTTGATGCAGTGGTGGAATCTATATTTACAGCCATGAGTTTGAGTTCTATCATAGTTTCTGTAATACTTAAAAAAAAACTTTTTTTTCACACACAATTTCCGATTACAGATAGAAAAATTCACTTTTAACTTTTTTTTTCTGGTCTTTTTATAGTGCATATTTAAATCAAATTTCTAAGGTCAGCGCACAATTAGTTCAAATTATTGTGTACAAAATTTTTTTTTCCTTCAAAATAATGTATCATCAATTATGTTGGATGTCCATTATACCAAAACACTGTCCATATAAAGTTTTACATAACATATACACTTTACCTTGGCAGTATTATTATCATTTACTAAAATATTTCTGGCTGCTAAATCTCTGTGCACCAAATCTTTACTCTCTAAATACTGCATGGCTGAGCATATATCACTGTAATAAGATTCAGAATCATCAATATGACATGCATATGGGCTAAACTACCCCCTGATGAGGGGGTTAAAATTCATAGTGAACATACTACTCCGAGGTCTACAATATGACATACAAATGGGCTACAAACTGTTTAGAAGTTGAAATTAATAGTGAAAACATATTAGATCCAGGTTTAATGATATTAATTATCAATTACCTGTTAAAACAAATCACTGGTCTGAAAAATTTTCTCAATCTATAAACACTTCTTTATATTGCAATACTGGTTAAACTTGGAAATGGATACATAGTATTCACAAGTTTCATCCATAAAATATTTTTTTTTGATATCAATATAACCACAATTCAGTCTGTTAACTGTTGTAGAACTCATATAATTTATTCTTATATTTCATACACATTAATGTTATCATGTAATCAGATTTAAAGCACTCCAATGGACTAGCAGTAGACGAGTTGAACCAAGTTTGGATGTAATATTAGACCTCTATGGTTACTACATTAGTTGCAGATGAACATTAACTCTATCCTCTGCCAATTAGGCTTATTGTTACTAAAAATTAGTAACTCATTTAATGATTGTTCTGTAAGCTATTCAACGTTTCAATTTTTACAGTTTTGGAAAAGTCTTCATTTTAATATTGGGAAATGTTGATTGAAGTGATGTTTATATATATGGTCTAGAATTTTGAATGAAAAAGAAATTGCTAAGTTTTCATGCTTTATTGGATAAACTAAAAGGATTAAAGAGATTAAAAGACAGTATTTTCCTTTCAATTTATAAAAAAATACTTAACCGCTACAAAATGATTTTGAGATTTTTTATCAGTGGATGCATCAATTTGTAATTTTATGGGCTGTGAAATAACTGATAAGATACTTTTTTAAGAAGCTACTGCACTTCATATAAAATTTAAATATGCATTAAAAATTAGTATCCATCTATTAATGTGAACTTACTCAGTGAAATCTATTTGATCTTTCTTAGTTATAACACTTCTCCCCCTGGACCGTAAATATTCCACCAGATTTCCTTTACCCATAAATTCTGTAACCAGCTGTATAGTGTCGCCTATAACAACACCTATCAATTGGACCAAGTTTGGATGTCTCATAGACCTAAAATAAACCATTATCATATTAAACATATCAATTGGACCAAGTTTGGATGTCTCATAGACCTAAAATAAACCATTATCATATTAAACATATTAACTGGACTAAGTTTGGATGTCTCATAGACCTAAAATAAACCATTATCATATTAAACATATTAACTGGACCAAGTTTGGATGTCTCATAGACCTAAAATAAACCAATATCATATTAAACATATTAACTGGACCAAGTTTGGATGTCTCATAGACCTGAAATAAACCATTATCATATTAAACATATTAACTGGACAAAGTTTGGATGTCTCATAGACCTAAAATAAACCATTATCATATTAAACATATTAACTGGACAAAGTTTGGATGTCTCATAGACCTAAAATAAACCATTATCATATTAAACATATTAACTGGACTAAGTCTGGATGTCTCATGGACCTTTAAATAAAACAATTATCACATAAAAGTATGAACTTAACCAAGTTAGGATGTCTCCTTGACCTTTAAATAAAACAATTATCAAATTAAAGTATTAACTGGACCAAGTTTGGATGTCTCATGGACCTAAAGTAAATTTTAGGGGATAACATATCTGAAAATAAATCTTGTGAATCTTTTGAAATGGATGCTGTTGCAAATACTTAAAAGTTTATATGTACAGTAGTAATACTAACGTCATCACAGAAGCTTCTTTTAAGAAAGCTTGACCAGCTCGTTCTTTATCTTTCAATTCTTTTATTGCTACACCTTGATTTCTGTAAGTTCCTTTGTATACATCTAAAATTGAAAAATAATAAAAGTGAACATTTTTTTTTTTATAATGAACTGAATCCTAAAGTTGTATTAATTATAAAATTACATTAGAATTGAGTCAAAGTAAATTTGAGTTATTGTTGATGGACAGACCATCTTTGACAAATGTATAGAACATGTAGAAAAGCCTGTAAATTTTTATTTCTAACTGGTACATGACCAATCCACATTTATTGTTCTACCAATGCATGAAACTCAATCCCCACCCCATGTTTTAGTGTACTTTAAATTTAAATTCACATATCAAAATATCACATTTTTTCCTTATAAAAAAATTAGAAATTTGATCACTGATCACAAAACATTTCTGATTAAATACAAACCTCCAAATTCTCCTTTTCCTATCAATTCATATATTTGTAAATCTTTTTGACTAATCACCCATCCTCCACTTTCAAAATCCTGTACTGATACTGCAGAGAAACTGGATCCTTTCTTCTGTAAAGGTTGTAATAACCTTGTACATAAACCATCAGCATCCTTTGTATAATGCTGAAAGAAATAATTTTAATGATATAAACACAGCTCCTGAAATATGCCAAAGACTTATATTTATTAAATTGTTACAAAACAATGAATGACAAAAAAATTGGATATAAAGATAAAATATATAAAAAAAGAAGGTCTCTTTTTTACTGTGGAGTTTCATCTGCAGACCTAATTCAATTTTTTGGTAACAGCATATTTCACTACCAACACGCATTGTAAATTAAAAAAAAATACAATCAGATAGACATCATTACATCATATATCTCATTGCACAAAATTTGTTCTCATCATTTTCCACTGCTTTTAGTATTGAATATGAAAATTTTTTCTTTACTTTTAGGTGAATAAATATTCCTCTGACCAAAATATGATGGTGAAAAAAAAATTGGAAAAATATATGTATAACATAGGTCCTATGATGGACTCCTATCAATATGGATATCTCATTTCTTCTAGAAAAGACTGGAACATCATGTACAAATTACTTGGAACTGATACTAAAAAATTCTGAATTTCAAGGAGCAATAAAAAAAAACCCCAAAAAACTGCCAGCTTTTGAAATGATATTCATAAACAGTTGACAAAGAGATATGTCACAGTTTATAATTTCAAAAGCTGGCAGTTTTTTGGTTTTTTTTTGTATGTATGTAGTTTTGATTGGACCAAACCCAATACTTACCACATTTCTCAATAAGATCCATCTACTTTGGAAATTATTTGTAAAGTTTATACATTAAATTTAGTAGGTACGTCAGTTGAGTAAGAAACATTTTTGATTGGTCAATGGTATCCAGTACACGCATCAGTAAATCTAATTTCTTTCAGGTTGTATAAAATAGTCCTACCAAAGTTTGGGTTTGCCACAATCCTTGCAATGAAGCATATCATTACATAATTAATGCATCAAAATGTTCATACCAAATGTCAATTGACAAACACATGAAAAAAATAAATATATATATATATCAATATAACACAGACTTACATTTCACCAGTACCAGTTTAAATTCTTTAAAAACTCACTTTATTTGAAAACTATTATTTAACTATGAAATTATATTGAAATTCACTTATATGGGACCATATGTTCAGACTTCAAATTTTGATAATGTTCATTCAACAGCTTACCAAATGGCAACGGACCAACAAATGAAAATAATGGTTGAATGTCTTGCGATGAATGTTATTTAAACATTGGAGAATGCTCTATATTGAGCATTTAAATATTTGAGGGATATGGGTTGAAAACTGAAGGAGGAGTTGATTACACAAAACTTGTTCCCTCTTTCATAAATATTGCTGAAAATGACTAAGTTCCCAAGTCTGGAAAAATGAGAAAAAAATTCTCAAATTATTCCATAATAGCAGGCGCACAATTCAACATATGTGTGATCTTCCTGCAATGTCTCATGGATCTGGTTTAAAACTGTAGGAGGAGTTAACAACACAAAAGTTGTACCAAACTACAAGCCTGTTTTGGACTTCATCCAACAAGGCCAAAAATATATCATTATGCCATACATATATCAATAATTTCAGTCAAAAGACCATGTCAGATTGAGGGGTAGGACTATACAACCTGCTAGAAATTAGATTTACTGATCCTTACACTGAATATCATTGACCATAAGTACAAAACTACATGTATAAAATATACAAATAATTTCAAATAACCCTGATTGAAAGTGAGGTAAGTATTGGATCTACATTATCAGCATCAAATGTAATGTACAGATGTAAATACAACTGTTTACCAAATACTTCTGACCAATCAAAAACTAATGTAATTACAACTGCAGACTTCATTGTCTTATTGCTTTATGTTTTTTTTTTCTAACAATGGTGTACAACAATTATCGTATCTATATAACTACATGTAAACATTCAAACAACAACTATAACAGCATGCACTAACAAAATCAAACATCATGATCTTTGAGCAAAAACATTTTTAATATATTTTACAGATACTAAATTAAACAGCACTTTATACAAATAGCATTTTGGGAAATTTTTTTTTTTTTTTTGTTTTTTTTTGTTGCAAATATACCCAATACAGTTCATCATCTGGTTTTTAATTACAAAAAAAAAACCCACTCCAAATACTAAGATTTAAGCAACGAACCAGGCAAGATTTTTTTCTAAAGACAATGTCATCGTACCCTTTTCTTGAATTATTAAGAACTATGTAATGCAATATTCAAATTCAAGAAGAAGAAAAAACAGTATTACTGCCATAAAGTGCACATAAGATCTTATGGTTTAAAATTGTAAATAATTTAAATAAAACCAAATAATTCATGATCAATTTTTGTCAATAGATATAAGAAGATGTGGTATGAGTGCCAATGAGACAACCCTCCATCCAAGTCAAAATTTATAAAAGTAAACCATTATAGGTCAAAGTACGGTCTTCAACACGGCGCCTTGGCTCACACCGAACAGCAAGTTATAAGGGGCCCCAAAATGTATATTTTAACAAAAACCCTAATAATCAAATATATACCAAGGCCAAGCAAATATACTGATATTTCATATAACATATATATTTTTACTTTGTCAAACAGAATCCAAACCAGCCAATATTTAAATAAAATAAAGCAGCCTATATCTACCTCTACAAGTTGTGCTAAATTTTCAAAATATGATTCCTCATCAATCGTCATTTTGTTGTGTTTGTAGATAATTCTATAATGTTCTACTTTTTGTTTATGACAAACACTAAGTGTAAAGTCCCCTGGGTAGTTGACACTCTCTCGTACAAGGAAAAGTCCATCTTCACGGGGTCTTAATAATTCTTCAGAATCTTCACGTTTTATTTTCCCATGGAACCATCTACAAACATAAAATTCATGCAGCGTGCTCAATAATTCACTGTTAATAACAACACCAAATAATGTGATGAAACTGATATTTATGTCATTTAAAAACTTTTAGTTTCTAGTTAAATTCTAGACTAACAAATGCATGGAAGTTTCTCTTGTTTTACAAGTCAGAGTTATTTCCCTTGGATTTTTCAATCTTCAAAAGAATTCACGATATTTTAAATAGAGCAAAGAAAATATCAACATGCTAAGGACAAGCTCTGTGCCATCATTACCATTTTGGACAATTACGCCTACCCTTTCCTCGGACCAAGGATGCACCCTGGGTGTTTAACTGTGTGGCAATTAGGTTATACAATAAGTATATATTTTACATACACATTAGCATTATAAAGCTAACTGTGTATAAATGCATACACATTAACGAGGAAGTTCAGCCAAATCTACCAATACTTAATTCCATGCACTAACACCGTTATATGACTATAAATATCATTTTCAACACAGGTTAAACTCTGTAACAAAACAATACAGGAATGAAATAACTAATACAGTGCAACATTTATAAGGAATGTGAAAAGTTTATCATTACACTGCTTTATGACTATTTAATTTAAGAATCCTCAAAGAGTTGTATTCAAAATTTCAAAATGCACATGAGCTAAAAAATTAAGGATCCTATTTTAATGTTTTATATGCTGTAAAATGAATAAACACAAGTATGTTGTGCAGGTACAGTTAGTTTCAATTGTTTTATGTAGCAGGATTCTCAAATTAATCAGTCTGAATTCGTTTAAATACACAATGCAAGTGATATTCCAAAAAATCTGAAATATTTCAAATTCTTTCAAATCTGATCCATTGAAAAAATTGTTAAATCTTTTTTTTTCACCTGCATTGAATCTATATATAAATATTACACCATCTACGAACATAAGCTGATGGTAAACAAAGTCATGCCTGGTTTACCTCAACCAGATCAATTAACGTTTGGAACTGACAATCTCCCCCGTCAATCTCCAGCTTATTCTGTCGTAAAATCACACGATAGTGTTCAACTTTGTTATAATACACGACAGACAATGTGAAGTCCCCACGGAAATGTACACTGTCTCTTAATAAAAAGACGCCATCTTCCTTAAACTGGAGTAAATCTTCAGCCTGCTCTCTTGTTATACTTCCGTGATACCAGCTACAGAAAGAGGAAGTTCAATATAAAATCTCTACCTTTATCTATCATATTTTAATTCTGCATCAAATTATTCTAAACTTTTTTCATATGCTTTTAAAACTTATTGCTCATATTGAAGATAAACATAGAAAAATTTTTTAGACCAAGATATCTGTGAATTTAAGTTAATAAATTAGAACATATGAAAAGAAGGCAAATTAAATATGTTCTCTTATTTCAAAATTGTGTATTCCCTATTTCATTGCAAATATTTCATTTTTATACCTCTAGATTACCTGGCTGATTAATCTTATTGTTTCTTATGGTTTTCATAACTAAAACCATGATTTTTCATTCGGTTTCCAAATCAGATTTAACTACAACTACTTTCAACTTAAAGTAATTAATGTAGGTCAAATATCATGACAATGATAAGTCTGAGTAAAAAATCGGATATCAACAGTTAGGTCAAAATACATCAGACAACAACCAGACATGAAGTCACAAATTGTGATATAGGATTGTGAAAAGAACTTATAGTGGAGGATGATACAGGCATAGGGAAACATGATAAACACAATATAACAACTTGATCAGTATTGATTTACAGTAAAAACCAACAGTTTTACTGTAAATTTGCTGTAATTAGATGGGATGAAATTCATAAATTTAAAGAAGTCCATCAAATTTCACTAAAAATACAATTTTAATACAATTTTAACATATAAATTATTATGATTTGTGAATGATAGTCCTGATTGGTTTTATGTCCCTTCATTTCTCATTTTACTTTTGTAGACTAGTAGTCTTTATAATTATCCTGTATACCACCATACTAGTGATGTCATGCTTTAAGTTCTTTAATTTATGGTACAGTAATGAGAAGAGTAAACAATATAACATTTTGATGCACCAGATGCACATTTTGACAAATAAAATCTCTTCAGTGATATTTAAGTTGAAAAAAAAAAAATCAATTAGAAAACAATGATTATTTTCAGTCTGAACTCTATTGAATAATACTTGGAGGAGTTGGAGCAGACAACAGACTTGCATACATTTGTCCTTTTTTATGTTGTAAAGCATAGGAATTTATTCTGAGGATAACTGACAATCTTTTTTGTTTTGTTTTAATAAAAAACACAACAATTTTTAAATATCCACTTTCCAGATTCATTTCTAATGGTTGTATATTATGACAATCTCTTTGAGAGAAAGCATTGATCTGTTCTACTTACGGCATAGCATGTAACTGCACTTCTTTGCGCTTCTGTAAGTAGGTTGCAGGCACCATACCTTCTTGTCCACTTTCGTTCTTTCCTTTATACCAATTCACATCCTTTAAAATAAAACAAAAAACAAACGTTGTTAGAAACGGTGAATGTGCAAATGTACACAGATGATTGTATTACTACTAACCATATATAGAACAGTGTGGAAACTTCATACATCATCTATATACCATAAATATAATCACACAATAAAAATCCTGCACAGTCCAGTAACCAACAGTATGACAACTAACTTGATCAAGGAAATAAAAGATAGCACATTTTTTAAGAATGCTGGGTCAAAATATGCTCATCTCGCTACTAATTCTATGTAGGAAGCTTGCTCAGGTAGCCACATCTGTTGGCTAATTAATATTGCTGCTCTAGAAAACAGTCCATTCTATAATTTTGCATGGAAATAATAAAAAACGCATATATTATGGATTTATAAAAACACAATTGATTTATGGGTGTTATCTTCCAGTACCATTCACAAAAAAAGTTTGGCCATTTCTCAAAAGTATATAAGGCTTAAGTTCTGAACTAAATTTTTCCCTGTCTTGAGATCTTTTTTGAAAAGTGATATATTTCTGGGGAAATCATTAAAATTCCTCAGGAAGATACAGGTTTTTTTCTTTCATATACAGCCGTTTTCTATAAAATTTGTATGTTATCTATTTAAATTTTGAAATCTGCATGTTTGTAACAATGTATAACCAAATTTCTTTTTTACCAAACAAAATACATGAAACAAATTTTGTAAAATGTAATAATAGCTATTATAGTGTATAAGTTAATGTTCTATCACTAACATTAACTAAGCCTATATACGGTATTGGTACTTAATGTCTTCACACTAACAATTAACTACCGATAGGTCTCTATATATAAGGTACTGTGTACATTGTACTTAATGTCTTCACATTAACATTAACTAGGCCTATATAAGTACTGGTACTCAATTAATGGATTCACCACAACTAATGTACAAGGAAGGAAGCTTCAATTTGGCCACACAATGAACTTTGTAATATCATCTTAAAACCAATATTTAGGTTCTAAAATATCATATTTGGATAAATAAGACATTTTTTATGTTTACTATTTGTTTAACCTAAAATTGATAGCTTCAGATTAAATGTATGACTTTGATCCAGTTAATATTTCCTGTTAAAATGCAATTGTGAGATCAATTTTGGTTTATAAAATATTGGCCACAACTTTCAACAAAATAAATTTGTTAAAAAAGGTGTTTATGGGTAAGGCTCACATCCAATCAAAAAATTGATGTTTGTCAGCTTTTTCAGTGCTTGTTGCCAATCTTGTTTGCAGAATCAAAAACTGTACTACATTAATGAAACATTATCATTTTTGTCATAGTATTGCACAATTATGACATCATAATAACATATAGTTACTGATTGGTTATGTTAAAACTTGTTCATTTTGTATTTACCAGATATATTTCATCAAATGAAATCTAAAGTTAAATTTCATGAGCCAATTTTGACCCTTAGTAAACCTGCTCCTTAAAAGAAGAGTAAAGAGGGAGGGAATACCACTCTTACTGTAGATTCATTATCATATGTGGGTAACCACACCAATTTTCATGGATTTCGTGGATATAGGTAAACCACGAATTTAAATGTTCAACAAAGTACAAATTTACTATAGATTTGTATGCAGGTTTTAGCAAAACCACACAATTGTATATCCATAAAACTACCAATTTTTCTTCAATCAATAAAAAATGATTATCCACGAAAAAAAACGAATTATACATATTGGTCTTATATCACACACTAAATGCTGCACTTACCTTTGTATTATTAATAATTGTAATTAAATCACCCTTCTTAAAGGGTAAATCTTCTTTTGATGAACCGGGAAAATTATAATTTGCAACAACCTGTTGGCCTTTTTTCCAGACCTCCTGTTAAAAGAAATTTCAATTACTTAAATAGAATTTAGGAGGATATCAATTTTAATCATTATCAAACATGCACCAGGCACATACTTTTAAATCAAGCTTAAATTATATGTACAAGTAAAGATTCTAGGAAATCAAGCTGTTTTCAATAGAATAAAACCATGATGTATAATAAGATATAAACTTGATGATCTGTCAGTTCATGGGTTGAAAACAGAATAAGGTGTGAGGTATTCACCTGACTGACCTTTGAGATGAAGTGCTTTAGATATCTGGTCTCAGAGGAAAACCAACAAAAAAAATGTCCTTATTTTCACATATTTCAAAAATATTATTTTTATAAATCTTGCTTAAGTGTAAATAAACTGTTAACACAGATATATATATTTTGTGTACATGTATGTCTCGCTTGTAGGCAGAAAATTAAAAAAAGACAATCTGATGGACAGCAACATTGCTAAATAATTCAAAGTTGCTGGACCATGAACTAGGGAACAGGGTCTGGAAATAGATGTCAAACTGATTTGTACTGATAATAAAGCAACTTTATAAAAAATATCATTGATCTATCACAAGTAGTTCCTATCAATCTGACTTAAACATAAAACTTAACATTGAAAATTGCTAATTAATTGAGAGTAACTGGACCATGACCTTACAGGGGCAAGGCCTAAAAATAGTTGTTAAAGTGATATATACTGATGATAGAAATGCAACTTTATAGAAAATATTATTGATCTATCACAAGTAGTTTCTATCAAACTTACTTAAGCAGAAAACTTCATATTGAAAATTGCTAATTAATTCAAAGTCACTGGTCCATGACCTAGGGGACATGGCCTTGATTTAGTCATCAAACTGATATGTACTTATTACATGTATATAAAATAATAATGAAACTTTATAAAAAATATCATTGATCTATCACAAGTAGTTCCTGTCAAACTGAATAAAGCAGAAAACTTAATATTGAAAATTTGTAATTAATACAGTCACTGGACCATGTACCCTCTTTCATAAATTTTGCTGAAAAATGACTAATTTCTGAAGTCTAACATATATGAGGAAAAATTCCTTAAACAATCCATAATAGCAGATGCACTACTTCAACATAATTGCAATCTTCCTGTGAAACTTCAGGGATCTGAACTTGTAACCTCTTTCATAAATTTTGCTGATTAATGACCATGTTCCTAAACCTGGAAAAATTTCCTCAATCACATAATAGCAGGTGAACAACTTCAACATACATGTATGTGCAATCTTCCTGTGAAGTTTCAGGGATCTGGGTTGAAAACTGTAGGAGTTGATACACCAATTAGATACCCACTCCCCTCCCTGTCCAACCCAACCAAAAATGAAACAATTTTTTTTCCAAAAAGAATTTAAGCGTGTTAAACAGGTTAAACTCAGACTTTAATAGAGCTCATTAAAAAATGACAAAAAAATCTTTAAAGCACTAAAAATTAGGGTCAGTATGACTTAGTAGCTATAGGGTTAGTGGAAACACATATTTTTTTTTTTTTTAGGTCTAAAGACATTCAGTTAAAAGAATTACATTAAATCTAATAGACAAAAATATACGCGATAATTTTTCTTTGTATTATTATTTATGAAACAGTTTCTTACCGGCTGATTGGTTCTTGGTTCCATTGGCATAACTAGGCATTTATTATCAGTTCTGAATCAAATTTAATATAGAAATCTGAAAAGAGATACAAACACTGGCATAAATAGGCATTTAAAATTAACCAGTGAAAAAGTCTGAAAAAAAAGAAGGTAAAACATCAATAGTGCTGAAAGTGGTGTTAAACACCAAAAATTGGTCAATCGCTATAAGCCAATGCCAATCTTTTGGTCAGTGTTTGTTCTTATCAGGTGTAATCCTGAGGGAAATAAAAGAAGAAAGTGTCTGAGGACATGATTGCCCCTGTTCAAGCTTGCTTATAATCTGATAATACTTGAAAATGCTTTTTGAGAGTATTTGATATCACTGCTAGTTTTTATTAAAGAGTTACAGTGTGGAAACAAAAAAATTTGCAATTTTCCAAGTTATAAAAGGGCATAACTCTAGAACGGCAAGTGACTCACTGCCCAAATTTGAACTCGAGTTTTGGTTCTTAGAATTTTGACATTTTTAAAAGTTTTTTTTCATCTACTTTAGTTTAGTTCAAAGTTTAATCTACATGTATCTTTCCTATAAACAAACAAAAAAATTATAAAGTGAAGAAAGACTAATAAACAATTTGCAATGTTTAACTAAGCTCACGTTACTTATTTCTATGTCCGTTAAGAAATACTTTAAGAAGTAGAGTGACAAACATATATATTTGTACAGTGACTCACAGTTTTTATATTTGCTTCTTCATATGAGATGAGTACATTTTTACACAGTAATCGAGTACATTTTTTTTTGTCTGTCATTTGTACCTATGACCATAAATACATTTTCTATATCTTTTCTCTTGTCTCTGTTTTGGATACTTGTTTTGTCTTATATAAGTTTTGACAAATGGCATGGGACAGATCTAAACATGTGGTCCATGAGTAAGGGAGAAAACATTAAAAGGCATGGGGATCCCTGCATGATTGTCACAAAAAGAATGTTTCCAAGAAAAATTCTGCCAAATTTTCCTGTTCACAATTATTACCAACAGGAATACTTATACAAAACATGGAAATATTTTAAGACATTACTTGACCTTTCACTATATTTATAGCTTAAGGTCAGAATAAACATATGTAAAAAAAATGTAAAAAAATAACATAACAAAGATGATCAAAGATTGCCAGTAACATTATATATATAACATGATAAACATTCTACATTATTTTAACATACGGTATGAGATTATGCAGAGTTAATCAATCAATAATGCATCTACAAGTGGTTATAACAGGAAATGTACGGTTCAAGTCCTGTTTCAGTTTGGTTTTCCCACTTATCATCGTCATAGAGATTTAATCACTTGACAGATGAAAACCCTTATGTCCAAAAGAACAATGCATTTCATTAAATGATGACAATTAATTAAACATTTCAAACAATCACTTCACCAGATGTGTTATTCTTCTCCATAAAATTTTCCTTCTTTAATATTACTATTCTACTACACACATTATACATACAGATATTGAAAAATGTACTGAAATGAAGTTTATTAGTCATAATAATATCAAAACAATAAGACTTAATGTATAGTAATAATATGCCAACAAAAAACAAAACAGACCATCAAAATTAAATTGGCTATCATTTTACCATGCAAATGTATGCACATGAGAATTTGCCATAAAACTAGACAAAAGTTAACACTTTTAGGTCTCTTTGGTTTTGTATTTCCCTTGTTCTTATATACATTTTGGCTTTTCAAATTTTGGACTCATTTCTTGTCTAGTTTAATCGTGAGAAGTGATTCATATGCAATAGATATGGAAAGTTTGATTTGTTTGTTCTAGAAGCTAATAAAAATGATCAGAAAATTTTGGAGGGATTTTTTTTAGATAAGCAAGACCCTAAACATGTAACTTTTTTTAAATTAGTAAAACACCTGTTTATGCATTAGGTGAAATTTACTTCCTTATTTACTGGAGAAATATGCATAAATTTCAAAAACAAGAGACATAAAATATGATCAAACATTGTGGTAAAATACTAAATACCAACTAAATATCACAACACCTACAGATGACAAGGCATCTAATCATGCGTGACAAGGAAGCCTTCAGCTACATGTTTAATTACTAATCAATGTGGTACAAGATATGGACCACCTGTTTACAACAAAAAAAGGGGGTGGGGTTTATTGTAACCAAATGCTTTATCCAGTTCGACAAAACCTTTAGCTATATTTCTAAATGTTTATATAAAAAATTTCAACTTTAAAAGTTATGTACATCTTGTGCAAAACAGTCATTTTTCTCATTGTTAAATTTACTATTTTAAAATCAAACAAAAAAAAAGTCTTTGATATTTATTTACCTGTGATCATGACCACAAAGGAAATTGAAAACAACTGTTTTGAGTTTAATTCAGAATTTTACTATCATTTAGAATTATCACTATTTTATTCACATCTTTGCAAAATAATGCATAAATTTAAGAAAAATGTGATAAAATTGATTTTAAGCAACTAAAGGCATAAAGGACTAAAGACATAAAGGGGTTAACAAAGAAAGATAATATTTATTTCGTTAGTTGATACTTCGTTTTCTCCTTTTCCAATTAATCTGCACAAAACTACACTTGATCTTCATATACATTGTAAGGTACCAAACTGTCTTCACATTGTTAATATTTTACTTATCATAATGATTGCTACTTGATAGAGAGAAAAACCTGGTGACATGCTGACAGTGCAGTCTGAGCAAAGATTGAAAAATGCCACATCTTCTATAGACTTAAAGCAAATTTTTTTGTCTGCCGTTGTAGTTAACCCAGTTGCAATCAGCGAAACTTATAATTCATCTGAGGAAGAATATTCATGATAAAATGACGTACAGGTATTTAACTCTACATGCTTCACAAGAATCCCCCCCCCCTTTTTCCTCAACCAAATCCAAAGAATCATGTATCAGCAACAATTTTGTGAGCATTCATAATACTTAAATGTTTGCCTTCTGGTTATTTCAAGAATTCAAGAAAATAATGCATTTGTCCACAATTTTTACACAATTCTGGCCAAAAGGCAAAACTTAGAAGTTAAATTCTAATTATATAGGCAATCTGCTTTTAAACAGCTTTAGAACATTGTATGTTATATAACTAAATAGTTTATTAGGTACAACAATTGATGAATTTGGAAATCCAGATGTTTAATATTATATTATATTCATACAATTTTACAATTTAAAGGTATTCACTGAAATAAACTGTTCATCATTTCTGATGATTTTAAAATTTTGACATGAATAAAAAATTAGAAAGTGATAGTTCACACCCTTTTTCACAAATAAGAAACACACTTTTTGTTGAATTTTACAAATGAGATTGGGTGTACAAAATAACTTAAAATAATTTCACCCATTAATCAAAACGCAAAAACACTGGAAAAGGCATTTGCCATATATACTAAGCAATAAGCATGTCGAAGTGTTCTCCCTTTTTTAACAAGAACAGGATTAGATCCTCTATCACAAGTCACGAAATAGTGTCATACCAAATATCAACTGTAAATAATTATCAGTTTTCATGGTTATGTTTAAACACTTTTACCAAGTATAAAATATAAAATATAATGTTTTACTGACACTTTATAATCAAAAGAAACATGGTTTCATAAATCAGATTTCATTTATAATTCCTAATCATATTGAAATTTCTAGTATTTATATTACATTGACTCCACCTGTTCCTTTGGAGCCCAGATGCAGCTACCTCTGGAGCTCAGTGACCTAAAAGAGGAGCAAGGAGTTCTCATGTTGGAGCTAAGAAGCCTTATCAGTTGAGCCCAGAACCAACAAATATTGCTCAAAGGAGCACAAGTCCATAATGAAAAGCCTGGAGCGGGAAGATAAAATCAAGATGGAGCCAAGAGCCTGACTGAAATTTACAGAATGGAACAAATATATTTCCATGGGAAATTTCTCTTTCTTTCATCAAAGAAAGTTACGTTTTTTGTTTTTATTCAGTGTGAATATTTACTAGGGTCCCCTTACACTTGATAAATTATACTGACAATATAAAATAATTAGAAGATGTGGTAAGATTGCCAATGAGACAACTCTCCACCAGGGACCAAATAACATAGAAGTTAACAACTATAGGTCACCATACAGTCTTCAACAATGAGCAAAACCCATACCGCAAAGTCAGCTATAAAAGGCCCCGAAATGACAAATGTAAAATAATTCAAACAAGAAAACTAAAGGCCTAATTCATGTACAATCCATTAAACAAACAACAACCACTGAATTACATGCTGCTGACTTGTACTTACTACAACTATATAAAAGACATCTTCTATCCTTTGTAAAAGGTTCTTGATACTATACATAGTCAGTATTGATAAAGTAAGGTCATAGACCAATATATACATGTATAATATAAGAAATGGAGTACATCTGTAAATGTCAATGAGAAAGAAAAAAAAAACATCAAGAGGTTAACAAAGGGATTTCATAATTAACAAGTCTATACCCATGACTCACACTACTTCAGAATCATAGGGAGAAGTGACTTCTCTTTTTGAAATTGAGAGGGAGAAGTGGTGAGATTTGAAAGAGAAGTGCTTGTTCGCTCACAGGGCTACAATGTTTGGTTTTTACTATAATACATTAAGGGCCATATGTATCTTAATTTTTTTATATTGTTCAATTTGTACCTGGGTATACAATTAAAGTAACTGTTCAAATTTAAAGTTGTTTAATTTTATCATATCTAGTTGCACAATCATATGAGTCCTCTTTTCAGAAAAAACAATTAAATATCTGGCACTAATAATAAAGATTTTTTTTATATCAAAAAGGAAAAGAAAGTTGTTATATCAATTAATAAAATGCTCCCCTGGGCGCAGCTTGATACGAACGCAGAGGTCGAACCCTGAACAGTTGGGGCAAGTATGGACACAATATTCAAGCTTGATACAGCACTGAATTTGGATTGTGATTTAATATTTGACACAGCATAGGTTTCTGACACAGAATGAATGTGGTCTAAGAACTTATAAATTTTAATCTACCTATTCAAACCATATCATTATTATTTGCTTTTATATATAAATCAGAAATAACCAATTTAAAATGGAAAATTTTAAAGAAAAAAAAAAGGAAAAAAAGGAAAAAAAAATCCCTCCCCCCAAATTTTTTGAACCCCCTTATGATTCATCACCCCCAAACTCAATCCAAGCCTTCCCTTTGTGGTATGTTACCTTGCAGTACAATTTCAGAGCCATCCATACACTTGAACACAAGTTATTGTCTGGAAACTAGAAAAATGCTTGTTTTTTTGCCCCTTTTTGGCCCCAAATTCCTAAACATTTATGGCAATTACCCCCAAACTCAAACCCAGCTTTCCCTTTGTGATATGGAACCTTGTAGTACAATTTCATAAAGATCCATACACTTACACACAAGTTATTGTCCTGAAACTAGAAAAATGCTTGTTTTTTGCCCCTTTTTGGCCCCTAATTCCTAAACGTTTTGAGAAATTACCCCCAAACTCAATTCCAGCATTACCTTTGTGATATGGAACCTTGTGGTACAATGTCAGAGAGATCCATACACTAACACACAAGTTATGTCTGGAAGTTACAAAAATGCTTATTTTTGGCCCCTAATTCCTTAACTGTTGCTACCATAACCCCCAAAATCAATCCCAACCTTCCTTTTGTGGTATTGAACCTTATGGTAAAATTTCACAGAGATCCATTCACTTAAACTAAAGTTAGAGTACGAAAACCAATGTGTCCCCTTTTGGGATCAATTTTTGCCGTCAGCAGTGCCATTCATGCGTCCGTAGTCATTATCGTAAAAATCCGGATTTCGGCCAGAGGAGGTCCGTTTCCGATGAAATCCCAACTCCGATCCGTAGTTGTACAATAATATGCCCAATAATACAAATGGCGGACGAAGAAAAATTTACAAAAAATAAACGATGTTTGACACGCTATTTGGAAAGGAATATGACGTTTTTAATGCATTACAAGGATAACAAATTTACTTCAGACAAATTGCATCAAGTTCTAATGAAGTAACAACTTATTTTGCCGAAAGTTAGAATGATTTGATGTACGCTCTGAGTAACAAGTACCGGAAGTTATAAAAAATTGTTTTTATGAAATAACATGCCACCAACTTTGAAATCAATGCTTTAACCTTTTTTCTGAAGAAAATAAATCGTTTATGCCTTGAATTTCTTTACTTTTAAATGAAAAATTGCTGTTTCATCGTCTTGGTAAAAATTGAATATTGCCGATGACGAAAGCGACTGAAAGCGAGTATCGTAAACCATAGGGCGACTTGTTTTCGCTTTTGAGGGTAGGGAAACGCGAAGTGACGGACGGGAAAGCGACTTCTTCCCCCTAGTCGCCTGATAGCGTGTGCCCTGTATACCATGTAGCAACCTCTAAATTACCCCCAGATCAATGATTGCCTGTTTGAACGCTGGTAATCATCCACTTTCAACACTATTGTGCTATTTAGTGGCCGTTATATTTTATTGGTGGAGGAAGCCGGAGTGCCCGGAGAGAACTATCGACCTTCAGAAGGAAAACTGACATTCCTAATCAATTAAGATTGGAGTTGAGTGCACCTGCCACCTGCGGGATTCGAACTCATAACCTCAGTGTTTACAGGATAGTGATACAGTATTTCGACTACTTAGACCACTCGGCCATTGAGGCCCCGTTAAGATCAATGAAGGTAATTGATTGATTGTTGTTTGCACTATGTCCAGTGTCAAATACTTCATGCATATTCAGGACAAACCAAAGTTGATAAAAGTTATAACAATTCACTCCGTTAAAAAAAAGTAGCGACTGCTTACAGATTCTGTAATACAGAACCAAGGTTTCCAAAACGGTTGTATTGTCCAGACTTGCAATAAATTGTATTTTTGACTTGTTGTGCAGAGCCTAAACTGGACATGTACATATACATGTAAAGTGTTTGCCATTTTAACATAATTCAGAAAAAATTGAAGTTTATGCGATCTTTTTTACCTTAAACAGCCACACATTTCCGGTCATAAAAGTGACATAACCAATAAGTACTATCAAAACAAACCCTACTTTAATACCCTCTAATTACAATCAAGGTAAATTAGTTGCCTGACAGCTGAAATTTACCTGTTCAGGCAACAGGAAATCTATTTTGTACCTAACATTTGATTGGTCTATTTAAGTTATTTTCTTAAACTTCATCAGTTTGCATCTAATTGAATAATTCAAAAAGATTTAGGTTATCAAAAATTTCAAAGGTAGTAATAAAGGTTTCAAGTGAAAAATCGTCAGAACCGCAGTTGTGAGATTTAATTACGTATCCGAATTCTTCAAAAATGTTAAAATCATCATTGATCATGTTGATACCTTTATCTAACATTCATTTAGAGTATTTTCTGGAAGAAATAAAGTGGAAAGAGCCACTTAAACTCAATCTGTCAGAGTTGTCTCAGTATATGTCTTAAATTGTCTTTTATAGTTGCACAATTATACTTTATCTACTTGTCAGAAACAACAAACTAAATATCTATCACTGTTATGACTATCAAAATTTGTTTGTTTAGTAATGGGGAAAAGAAATTATCTTTTATCAATAAAATTTCAATGAGAAAACTATTCTGTTGATGAAATTCATTGTTTCTCAGTAAAAAGATATAAAATTTTTACACAAATTCAAGCAGCTTAAATCAATAAACTGAAACAATGCATTTACATGGTGATACACATATACATTTAACTAAGGGATCTAATCAAATGTGGAATGCATATTTTTCACTTTGCGTCATTACTCTCCCGTCAGCTGAGGCATTGGTGCGTTTGTGGTTATTATTGTAAGAATACGGATTTGGGTCATAGTTGGTTGAAATAATAAATGACCAATCTGTAAAGTCAATGCTTTCATCACCTGTCTTAAGAAATAAATTGTCGCGCGATCCTTGACTAATGAACCCCAAATTGTCAACACTATTTTTCAAACAGTTGCCCTTGCATATTACCCTGTTCCTGTACTGTTGACAGATGCTGCCAAGTCATACGATTTCCAGCTAATTTGTATATTTGATTACCAAAAAAATTGACAACAATAAAATGAAAATAAGATTTGTCCTTTCTTACAGGTAACAAATGCCTCTTATCTATACTCTATTATATAAACCTAATCGCTATTTGGAAATCTACACCGCTTGACCTGAGAATCTACGCCTCTTGAACAATAATCACTTTTCCATTGTGGCGCCAGATATTTCTATTATGACGTCAAAATTTTACGGGAACCTTTGTGATGTCCAGTAATGGCTGGCAAATAGCGATAAGGTGTATACTTCTTGTCTATTCACCTTCATACACCTTATCGCTAATCCCGCTTGACCCGAGAATCTGTCCCGCTCGAACTTTTGACGTCATACAACAATCACTTTTCCATTGTGTCGTCAAAATTTTACGGGAACTTGTGTGATGTCTAGTAATGGCGGACAAATAGCGATAAGGTGTATTGTTATAGATATCTACCCTTTGTAGAGTTGTCTCATGCAGAGAGATTTGGAAAGGGCAGTGACATCAGACATTTGACAATAACTTGCAACTTATATATGAGAGGACCAAACATAATGGGTGAAGTTTTTTTTTTGTATTTCTACATGATTATAATCCATTTTATTCACCTATTACGGCAACAGGGCGATGATCATAAACAGTAGGGTAGACTTCAATATATATTGTCTGACCTAGACTAAATATGTAGCAAAATGTTAGCTAAATATCGTGCTTGACAAAAATTTAAAAAATATTTGTTTTTCATCAAAATGGGATTCATAATTACCTAATTGTACAAGAAATGCAATTTCTTAAGTTTTTTATCAAACAGGAAGCAAAAAGTGGCTGCCATATTTTCTTCATACAAAAACGCCCTCTGTGAGTACAAGTTAGATAACTCTAATTTAAAAAATGTTACTAACCTAAAAACCATAAAATAAATAAATGGATGTAAACCCTTTTTGTTTAATCCACACACTTAATATCAAATCCACTATTTGAAAGTCAACCTAAAAGATATATGTATACTGCAACAGTCTATTGTTTTCTTATTCTTCAAGTAACAATGTCAATGAAATCATGAGACATGAAACTCAAGTTACACTACAGTATTAATTGCAACTGTAACTAATATATGTTTTGATCCTAAATCGCAGCTATAAAAGTCAGAGGTTAAAAAAAATATTTTTTTTGGTCGCTTGGCTGTTTAAAAAATCCCCGATCATCAAATACATACCCCTAAGACATATTTTCCTAAATGAACGATGGAATTGACTTCCTTGTGGGAAATAAAACCGTCAGTCAAACAAGGAAGCATTCAGTTTAAAATAGATTATTAGAGTCAAATCTTACAATATAACTGTTATCATAGACATTTAACTTATATAGATCTAAATACATCCTCTGATATTTTGGATAAAAGATCGGAAAAGGCAACATTTTTATAATATCACGGAAGAAAATGCCATTATCATGATAAAAAATCCAAATCATTAACTTAATAATTTGGATTTTTTATCACGATAATGATTTTCATATGATTATACATGTTATATACATTGCTTTAATATCTCATCGTATGTAATGACTTGAATGGTGATTGCGACATATTTGAAGGAGACATGTGGGCAATATCAAAATATATGATGTAGCCGCGGGATGTCAATATAAACGGCGAAAATCTTAAACTTTGTGCCGGTCTCGTTATAAATACAAAATGCAAGTACGATATATTATGAATAATAATGCATATAGTACAATAATTAGAATTAGATATACTAGTAGATGAAATGATTATAATATGCTTGTAAAGGATGGAGTTATGTTTTTTCAAGAAGTTATGCGAAATTCAATGTTTAACCATGTACAAGAATTACGGACATTTCAAGGCGAGATAACTCGTGTTACTTTTCTATTCTGGTTCCCATCTTGTTCTCATCGTCTGGTGACCAGTAGATAAGAATAGATAACTCCCCTAAACGAACACCCCGCCAATAGATGTCACTTTGACGTTATGCCTATATTGTAATTTATGATATTAGCAGTTATACGATAATTCCGAACGCAGTTGGATTTAAGAAAGAAACCCCGCGTACACTATACACAGATGAATGATGAAGAAATTACCGATAGGAAAGAAATAATTAAAAAAAAGAAAAGTTTTGCATGCCCTATGGTGTAGAAAGAATATTTTCTGTTAACGATGGTTCAAAAGAGATACGTTTACATGTTATTATATTTCCTATATTTATAATATATGTATATCTCTTGATCAATACTTTTTTTAATGTTTTTTCTTAATCTAGTAAATTTTCTTATTGTATGAAATTTGTAACCCTGTCTATACTACACACGACCTTTTCGGAAGCTTTAAGATAGTCCAAATAATTTATCATCGGTGTTTCTGATTTTAACAAGTTCAATAAAAGCCGCAGGCAAACTGATCTATCCTTGTAAATTTCTTTTTAATTGGGTTAGATGAAAATCCAATATACAAATCCTTTCAACATCAAGCAGGCTTGAGTATTATCCAGATTATGTTTTATATAAAAAAAAAATAGCATTTAACTCTTCAACGTGATTCTGGAAAAGGATAGACAATTTATGAATATGACGAATACATAATCTTTCAATCAGTTTAATTGAAGTGTGGAGCTGGCATGTCAGTTATTGCTGTAGTAGTCCTTTAGTTAATTTATCATGTATCATTGCCATTTTGCTTAGTGTCTTAAAAGACTTTTGTTATCCATTCTGACATCGGACTCGGACTTCTTTTTAACTGAGTTTTACTGTGCGTATTGCTGTGTTTTGTTTACTCTACATAGGCTAGAGGTAAAGAGTGAGGGTTGAAATCTCATAAAACATATAAATTAAAGCTACACAAGGCAATATCATAAATATGACAAGATTTACATTTTTTTACTGTCAATTTTAGATTTTATTTGATATGGGTAGGTCACATGTATTCGACATTGACATTGTATAAGCCAGATGTATACTCTATGCTGAATTTTATTTGATCTATGTAACACGTAAACTCATTAACACCTGTGGATTAAATTGTAACATTTTCCTGTCCTCTAGGAACATAAAACTTACATAATTCACTACCCTTAATTAGACATAGATATCAGTAAATAAAACTGCAGACTTTCTCCTTAAAGTTTAGTGGTTTGTACATATATTGAAGGTCATGTGGTCAGGGTTTAATATTTGCTCTTTTGGGAGATAGTTGAAGTTATTTTTAAAATAACACTTCGCATCTGCGGGGGCATCATTTGTTTCTCCCAGACACAATTAAATCTCAGATAAAGTTCTACATTATCTTTGTTATGATACAGTTACTTCAGAGTGAAGTGCGGGGCATCACTTTGTCTAGTTAATTTTATAATTATTTTTTTTTTGTAATTAATCTTATTTGAAAATATTCGTTCATATTTCAGCCGTATCTCAAATTTTTTTTACTTTATACAATTAGTTTATATGTGTTACCCTATATTCTTATGTGTAGAATACTCTTAAACATTTAAACATAAGAATAGAGGGCAACATACATAAATTATTATTGTTAAATCGCATTGATAAGAGTTTGAACACTTAAGACAAGGTAAAAAAGTTGAAAAGACTATTTTCAAATTATAAATTAACTGCAAAAAAATAAAAAAGGGGGTCTCCCAACAAACTCTTTTGCATGGACTACTATATTTTCAATATAATACTTCAATGATAAGATAAAATAGTAACATATGGTATTGAATAGTGATACCGCACCGGAAAGGATTTGCCGTGGCACCATGGGACGCTTAAACAATATACTATGTAAATATTGACACATTCGTGTTTATATGTTAGCTGAGATCGATAATTATGGAGCTTTTCTTAAAAAGGACTTCGATGTTTTTCGTCATTTGTATTATTAAACGACATTTTATGAATATACTAAACAAGGATTTGTATAGTACTATACAAATCCTTGTACTAAACAATAAGATTAATGTATGAAGGAGAACATTAGATAGCATATCCTAACAATGATTTTGATGCTATGATATCTTACTGTATACATTCAAAATACTTGCATTTACTTCTCTGATCATTTCTTATAATGATAAGAATAATATTCCCTATACCTTTTCATTATACAAAACTTGTATAAAATTTTGAATGGTTTGAATAACATTAAAAGTGCACGTTGTCATCTTTTCTATTTCAATTTAGTTTTTCAGATTTCGTAGACATTTTTTTTAAATAATACAATCATGCAATTTTTTATTCAAATATTTGATAATAATAATATAATTACTCAAATCAAAATAAGATTAATTAGACAGAGCCTTTAAAAAAAAAAAGAAATAAAAACAAACACTTTTTGCATATTTTTCTTCAAGATGTCAACAAAACCACACTACTTTTAAAATTTTGATGTTTAAAGAACTCTTTGGTATAATAGAAATTAATATATTGTTTAAAACCTAACTAGATATTTAAAATGATGGATGTAATTAGAAAAGAAGTTCACATCATAACAATGAGAATTCAACTAAATAACAAGACCAATTTGTCTTTGAATACGGTCAATCTTAGTTGAATGAATATACATCGTATTCATAAATAATGAAGTTTCACTTTCAAATGCTTAGGGACAACAGTAAACATTATTTTAAAATGACGATTTTTATACCATTTGATAGGAAAATTATTTGCCAATACTGTATAATTTGTTAATTTGATTTACAAAAAAAAAATGAATTTAATATGAATTTTTATAAAATATGTATATCTCGTAATTTAACTTATCTCAACCAAAAGAGAACCCGACGTTCAACATGATAGGGACACCAGTAAATATCAAGATAAAGTGGATTTTATTACACCATTTCAAAGCTAAAAAATTGGTGAGATCTCTATAATTTATTAATTTTATATGAGATTTATAAAATAGACATAGTATTCGTTTATTTAGCTAGTAGTCATAATTCCCCATAGACAATAACGTTAAAAAAATTTCAATGATTACGGTTCTCTGTGTGGTAGCTGATAAAGCCATCCAGCTGAGCTGTCCGCAATTCTTGTGTATGACTTGAAGAAAAAAACCCAGATTATTTGGTAAATGTAGTTCTCAGTATAGTAACTTGTTGTTTTATTCAACATGGTTATGAATTCTAAACAGTGAATTATTTGTGAATATTACATTTGTATACAATGTATCATTTCGCAAGCCAAGGGTTATGATCCGGTCTCCCTACTCTTCACTGTGGTTACGATCCGGTCTCCCTACTCTTCAAAGTGAGTGAAGACGACTCGCAGAGAGACCGGATCGTAAACCTTGACTAGCGAAGTTGAAAATGCACATATACGTAAAATCTAATCAAAACTTGGTCAAAATTATCTTTAAAAACTCTATAACCAATGCAAAGATTTTTTAAAATATCGATTTTTTGCCAGATAAATTTTCGTTTTTATAATGTAAAATAATTATAGGGTCACCGACCGCGTTTTGTGGGTATACATCAGTCAAAGTAATGTTCTTGGCGAAAAAAAATATGCCACTGTGGCAAAAGACGTCGAAATAAGCGTAGCATCGCGTTGTAAAAATATAAAGCGTAGGTTTTCGAAGTTTTTCACTATCACAGAAACAGATCTATTACTATAATCAAGGAATTGTATATTTAAATATACAATTCCTTGCTATAATACATGAGGAAGGGGAACTATGAATGTATGTATTCCATCAGGTTTATATCATTCGTCATTTTTTTTTGAAACAACATCTGATTAACATCACGCATATATTATAAATAGGTATAGTGCCACACTTAAAAAAAAACATCTTCACTATTCAGAATTCGTAAACAATTGTACTTCGTGATAAGGCTTAGAATTATTCATTTCCCTCTGTTCCTTTTTTGGAATTTCCTTATTACGTACACTCTAGAGTAATTGAATAGAAGGCGTTTGCTCATCACATTTATCATTTTACCACTAATGATAGTTAAAGAATCTTTACGGAGAAAAATTACATACCCCGCTCCCCCCCCCCCCCCCAAAAAAAAAATAAATAAAGGGAGACAGTTTATAGTGAACTGATGACATTCACAGCTTTTACTGTTGATTCAATTCTATTATGATTTTAGACAGTAATATTGTCGATCTATTTTCAGTAACTAGAACTTTGATCTTAGACAAAGAGACCTCAAAATCCTTTCATTTTATGTTACCATTTATCAAAGTAAAGTTGCATTACCATATATAGTATTTGATTAAGTATCCGGAATCCACTTTTCAGTTAAAAAAATGGTCTATTTCTAGTAACTATATATATGACATTGGACTTTTATAAAAATCAATAGAGATCTTCCTCACTATATGTGACCATATATCCAAGAAGGAAGTTTGCATCCAAATATGTGAAATATTAAAGACTGACGGACGGACCAAAAACTATATATACTCTTTTCTTCGTGGCGTGGGGTATCACACGTGTAGTATTTACATACAAAACCACACAATTCTTCGATAGTATGTTAAAACGACCTGTAAAATTTGTAACAATAGATGCAATCATCAACATTTATGTTTTCGTTTATTTTTTGTTATTTATCAATATAAACAAAACAAAATCAAACAAACAAACATATCTTGTCCTATTTCATTTTACATATAGTTTTTTTTTTTTTTTTTGTAAAATTTGGTGGTTTTAGTGGCTTATGTTTGATGGTTTTCTGCTTAATTCATTAGAAACTTTTAGAGACACGAGACGATTTATAGCTTGACATATTTCATAAACGTCTTTCTGTTTTTGAAGACTGTGCCGGTTTTTTTTTTGGTTATTTTTGTCGTTGTGTTTCTGTTTTATTGACGTATACGCCACATCACATTTGATTAAAATATATACACAATGAAGTAAATATCAGTTTTTATAATCCACAGTAAAATCAAAGTCCAAAGTTTGTATAATCAAAGAATATTATTGTCAGTACTGCTCCAAAATAGATGAATATGAACATGTATATAGTTAGTTATTTATATCCAACTTTTAAAATCCAACTTAGGTAGACTCACTAAATATCCCTTATAGTTACAGAATTATCCTTATTCAAGTATTCATACAACATCCTTTGGCTTTCAAATCTTGGGTTTGAACGTCACCGATGAAAGTAAATCCAGAAAAGCGCTTCGGCCTCAAAATATAGAATGTTATTCTCATTTTCTATTGGACTGGGTTGATACTGCCGCTGCTGAACTGCTAATCCCCGAAGTTATCATCAGCTCAGTAGTTAGTGCTTCGGCACCTTAATATGGTTTAAAACTTATCTTTCTTAAATTTTTCTTTGATTTTTGAAACTTTATTTTAACTTCATGAAACAAATATAAATAAGAAGATGTGGTATGTGTGCCAATGAGACAACTATCCGTCCAAGTCACAATGCGTAAAAAGTAAACAATTATAGGTCATAGTACGGCCTTTAACACGGAGCCTTGGCTCACACCGAACAGCAAGCTATAAAGGGCCCCAAAAAGACTAGTGTAAAACAATTCAAATAGGAAAACCAACGGTCTAATCTATATAAAAAACGAGAAACTAGAAACACTTATGAACCACGCCAACGTTGACTTTAGATGGATTCGTGTTTTTCTTTTTACGTCCTTTTTTTTATCATAAAGCTCCTCGAGTATTCAAATATTAAACATCCTTGGATTTCAACTTTTTGGGTTTGAGCCTTCCTGGTGATAGTGAATCCAGTAATCTTCGTTTTTTCTCTTTCTGAAGTTAGGTTGAAGGTTGGTGCCTGTTAAAACGTTTAAACCTGCTGCATTTGTTTGCACCTGTCCTAAGTCAGGAACCTGTTGTTCAGTGGTTGTCGTTTGTTGATGTGGTTCATAATTGTTTCTCGTTTCTCGTTTTTAATATGGATTAGACCGTTGGTAGTCCTGTTTGAATGGTTTACACTAGTCATTTTTGGGGCCCTTTATAGCTTGCTGTTCGGTGTGAGCCAAGGCTCCGTGTTGAAGGCGGTACTTTGACCTATAATGGTTTACTTTTACAAGTTGTGACTTGGATGGAGATTTGTCTCATTGGCACCTATACCACATTCTTATATCTATTGAAGCACTTAAAATGGTATCGTTATGCTTATTGTCATTGTGTATTTTAGACCAATAAAAAAACTAAGGCTGAGATTTGGTATGATTGCCAATGAGACAACTATCCACCAGAGCTCAAATGAAGTGGATGTTAGTGATCATAGGCCTTTAACAATGAGAAAAACCAATACCGTATTTTTTATGAAATGAAAAAAGGAAATAAACTGAAAACACAAAACACACCTTTGGAAAAATAGCTTTATTGTGATTCAACCCTAATACTGTTGAAAAAAGGGATTGACCAAGTGGTAGCACTAACATAAGAGGGTCTGGATAAAATGAGGTTGTATTCATTTCTGTATCCTTAAATTTAGGCCATTTTACACTATTCTATTTTTTGTCCATTATTCTCCATTCTATATTTCAATGCCACAGTATTCTCTACTCTTTATTATGTTTGTCTCATTGTTTCTATTCTCCATTATTTTTGATAGGTCCTCGGTGGCACCGAGTGGTCTAAGTAATCCAACTTCTGTGTCATTAGCCTATCAACACTGAACATGGCAAGGGCATTCGACTCTAATTCTAATCGACTAGGATTCTCAGTTTTCCTGCCGAAGGTCGGTGGTTCTCTCCGGCTCCCTCCACAAATAAAAAAATGACCGCCACGTAATAGCCAAAAATGAAGAAAGTGGCGGAAATCAATCAATAAATCAATCAGGCGACTTGAAAAGTTTGGAAAAAGGAGAAGCAAAATCAAAAGCCAATAATGATGAAAGTGGCGGAAATAAATCAATCAATCAATCAACCAATCAATCAACCCATCAATCAATAAATCAATAAATAAATCAATCAATCAATCAATCCATCCATCCACCCTTCAATTAATCAATCAGGAGACTTGAAAAGGTCGGGAAAAGGAGAAGCAAAATCAAAAACCAAAAATTATGACAGTGGCGTCAATCAATCAATCAATCATTCAATCAAGCAAACAAACAATCAATCAATCAATCAATTAATCAATTGATCGATTGATCGATCAATCAGTCAGTCAATCAATCAATCAATCAATCAGGAGACTTGAAAAGTTTGGGAAAAGGAGAAGCAAAATCAAAAGCCAATAATGATGAAAGTGGCGGAAATCAATCAATCAATCAATCCATCCATCCACCCATCCATCAACCAACCAACCAATCAATAAATCAATCAACCAATCAATCAACCAATCAATCAGGAGACTTGAAAAGTTTGGGAAAAGGAGAAGCAAAATCAAAAGCCCATTATGATGAAAGTGGCGGAAATCAATCAATCAATAAATCAACCAATCAATCAACCCATCACTCAATAAATCAATAAATCAATCAATCAATCAATCCATCCATCCATCAATTGATCAATCAGGAGACTTGAAAAGTTTGGGAAAAGGAGAAGCAAAATCAAAAACCAAAAACTATGACAGTGGCGTCAATCAATCAATCAATCAATCAATCAATCAATCAATCAGGAGAGTTGAAAAGTTTGGGAAAAGGAGAAGCAAAATCAAAAGCCAATAATGATGAAAGTGGCGGAAATCAATCAATCAATCAATCCATCCATCCACCCATCCATCAACCAACCAACCAACCAATCAATCAATCAATCAATCAATCAATCAATCAATCAATCAATCAATCAATCAATCAATCAGGAGACTTGAAAAGTTTGGGAAAAGGAGAAGCAAAATCAAATGGACGTGAAACAGAACAGCAAATGAAAGGCAAACTCTTGTTTTCATTTGATCACCAACATTATTTTTATCATTTGATTGATTGAAAAGCCGGTATGCCATAATCGTGGTCCTTTTTCTTACAGAGCGGTACAACACGCAAACGAAACGGATCACTTTCAGTTCCGAACTGAATATTAATATTGTTAGCAAAGGAAAGATAACTCTAACATTTTGCCACCTTGCACGACAGCCTGACAGGAAAATATGTTTGACACTTGGACATGCAACATGACCATTGTCATGTAATACAAAGCGCTTCTTTATTTTCCTTTTATATAGAAAAAGTTAATTTCATAACAGCATATTGTGAAAAGTCAAACTTAATTCAATATACCACGTTAGTCGTTAAAGTCAAAGACCATTACTGTAATACTGCTGCTTGGAAAATTAGTGCCGCCTCTGGCCTCTCATTTGTAACCAGGTACTAGATTGGTATATTTACTGTATGGGACAATATGGTTTCTAAAATTGGGTACAATTAGGTACAAGCATTTTTTTAACACAAGAACAACAGGATACAAACAATGTAACATGGGATACATTTATATTATAGTTATACATTATAAAAGCTGTATTAGTAGTCCAAATAATTATGATGTCTTGAAAGGCTATTATTATTATTTGCTGTGACGCCTTCCTACACTTCATTCAGCTAAATGTGAACAACAGAGGCGGATTGAGGGGGCCCCCCCTTTTCTGAGAAAAATTTGGTTGATTATTTAGGGAATCACTGAAGCATGACTTCCCCCTTATGAAAATTTCTGGATCTGCCACTGAACAATATCCAGTGTTAAAAGGATATAACATTACAGCCAGAGTAATATGTCTCATATTAATTAAATGTTGTACCATTTTGTACCTGATTACAAATGGCAATACTTTAAAATGAATTTACTAATTTAACCATACATTTGCACTTTTTTGTTTATAGATATTCTGATGTGGTTAATAAAATGGGTAAATAAATAAATTTTTATCCACAGTATTGATTGGTCACAACGTCAATCTCTCATTATGTACTGTTAAAATTATCATAAATTGTCTGACCACTCAGAACCTGTATCTTTCCAGGTAATAATGTGTTCCAGCCATGCTTGTGAGATCATTTAAATTTTATAATCAGATGCAATGGACTTTAAAGATTGGTTGGAATCAACCAAGGGTAGATTTTCGAGTTTATGTGACCAGGAGAAGACTGAGACCCTACAACACTTATTAGAACTATGTGGTTGTGAACAATTGTCCTTCTTAACACAGGTGTACTTACCTTCTACCTGCCAGCTTGATTTCTTTGCAGTTCTGCCTAATGAGCTGTCACATAAAATCATCAACTATTTAGATGTATCCTCAGCATTTAATTCTAGACTTGTGAGTATTACTCAAAAGACAAGAAAATGAAAAGAGGATTTCAGGAAAAAACATTTTCTCGTGATTACCTCAAAGAAAGGCAAAAACAGAAAAAAAATGTTGTTTCTTCACTAACCTGCTCATCCTACCCTTAGAAATAATTATGGTCCCTTTCTGGTGGTGTATTTATAAAAATGGTTGTCATGGCCATCACATTTTGGTGCCTATTTGGATCAAAGTCATACATCACACAGTTGCTGTCATGAACCAACTTTGAAGGTTGTGTCATATCTTGACCAAACGTCACATTGTAAGGTCAAGGTCACAGTAGATGCATGTATTGAATGTTGTCATTTCAATGTCTATGAACTGCCTTCTTGGATTTTAGTATTACTTCACATCATTATTATCCAAATATTTTGATGAAAATTTAAACCTTATTTTGGGCAAAGGTTTTGCATTTTTGTAAATGCATTTATGAGATTTTTGGTTGAATTTTAGTTGTCATTGAAAATTAACTTATTTGATTAATGAATGCAATGCTTTTAGCAGATTTGACAGCTGCAACCTTTTAACTTTTGTGGCAGTTTAGCTTCTACCAAAATACACTTTCTGTTGAAATATATTCATGATTAAAGTTGCACTCTATATTTTGAATAGTTAGCCAATTTGAATGGTGAAATGGGTTAATGTTTGCTAGATTAATAAGATTTGAAGGTTATGTAGGCACTTATAAGATAACAAACATGTACTGTAGAATCTAAACTTATGAAGAAATGGTAAGACCTTTAAATATGTTTGCAAAATATATCTATATCTTATTGATAACTATATGAAAAGACTTATTAAAAAATGGCTCTGATTTGGGGCTTAATGACTATCTTCTTTTTTGTCGCTGACTGAATATAAAAATAAGGAGATGTGGTATGATTGCCAATGAGACATCTGTCCACCAGAGTTTAAATGAAGTGGATGTAAGCAATTATAGGCCACAGTGAGTACAGCCTTCAACAATGAGAAGCATGTCATAATCTTCATCTGAGGTAATTTCTGAAACAAAAGTATATTGAAAATTATTGACATGTCATACCAACATAAAAATGTAATGGTTTACTAGATTTGTAAGTGGGCTGGTATTTCTCCTAGTCTTACTCAGGAGACAATTCAACTACTCAATATTAAAATATTATTGCTTGATTTTTATTTTTTTGAATGAAAGAAGATCTGAAAACTATGAAAACTGTAAGCATATAAGAATTAATGATTCTAAGCTTAGTTTTAGGAGGTCATTGGCACTGCAGTAAAAGCATGTATTTCTCTTTCTACAGTGTGGGTGGTAGCCCCAGTAGATAATAGACCACTTGCACATTAATTGGCGTTTCGCTTTCAAATCTGCAAAATATATCGACCGTAAATAGGTGGGGCAAAATACGTCACAGTTTTTGCTTGTTTACCATAGCGATTCCACAAAACAAATTGTTTCATTCTGCTATTCTATTACAATCACGATGTTATCTTTTAAATCATTGACAATTTCAAAGATTCAGCTGTATTTACGAGATAGAGGAATAGTGGCAAATGGTTATAAACAGAGAGATTTGGCAAGTTTAGCTGAGGCGGTGGAAAAATTGAAGATTCCGTATGATCCCAATTTTCTAGCAGACGACGTCGACTCTACCCTACAAGATCGCCTGAGAAGAGCCGGTTGTAGTTTTTCAGACCCGTTTACCTTAGAAGGGTAATTAAGATAATTTTCTATTCATTTCTTTGGCTTTTACCCTACTCTGCATACTTATTTAAACCGGGTTTTGACCGTTTTTTACTAAGGGGGTCCCAACGCGTGGCTATCCACGTAGAATATGTATGCCCATACTAAACTTGCCATAAAATTAACCAAAATTCGTACCTTTACTAAACTTAAAATTTTTATTATATCCCTTGTCGTTTGAATGAGTTATACAGTCAAAATAAGTCAGAAAGTCATATTTTCGGCCTTCTTTTAATTTACGGGCTCCCAAACTATATAAAAATGTGCTCAACTAAACTTTACCCAAACCCATACCTTACCCTGACAGTAGCCCTAAATATAAAACCTTACTTTAACCTAGAACATCACATATGTGCTAACAACATTGACCATAAATGAACCCTAAACCTAAAGTTTTTTTTTCATGATTTACCTAACCCATAACCTGAACATAACACTGTCTTCCCTAGAAGCTAACCCTTAGAACCTAGTTTCAACCGTAACCCAAAAGTTAAAAGTACCAATAACCACTGAAAATAGGTTAAACCTAATCCTTACACACAGGGCCATGTACCCCAACCATATATAGCATAGCACCAGTCCCATCTTTAAAACCTAACCCTTACATTACCAAACCATACATAGCACATGTTAGTCACATCCCTTAAACTTAACCCTTACCTAACCCAACCATAGCACAACTTGTGCCACAAGTCCAACTCTACCATACATGCCATATCACTAGTCCCATCCATAAAACCAACCTCTGTCTTAACCTTAAAACCTAGTTGTAACCCTAACCATAAATAAACCATATATAACCCTAAAGTACTGGGATCCCTAAAGTAAAAGAAGGGTCATTCTTCCTTACCTGTGTGTCTGAAGCCAATTACTAAAATATATTTTTCTAGCAGTATAATGAAATCATTTTTAAAACTCATATTATTTCAGTATTTTTTCAAAAATATGATTATTCATGTCAGTCCAAAACAATTTTATTAAGGGAGCTACGATTTCACTTTGGGTGGGTGGGTGGGGGTTAGGCTAGGATGAAATTTGAAAAAAAATAGGCATGACAGAAGTTTTGAGTGAAAAAAAGGCGGGTTAAGGCACTTTGCAAAAAAAAAGGCAGGCTATGACAATTCATGTAAAAAAAAGTCAGGATAAACTAATAAATAAAAAATGCAGGACCGTATAGAGTGAAAAATAAAAAAGCAGGACAGAGATTACAATTTAAAAAAAATGCAGGACAAAATTTTTCACCCCACCCCTTAACTATCAAATAGCTCCCTAAGAAGAAACAACCCTAAATATATGCAAACTTCTAAATATTGAAAACTTTTAAGACTTTAAACTTTTTAAAAAATAATAATATGACAATAACTGTTCAATTTTCTATAAACTTTTTCCATTAGAAGTAAATAGACTTAGTTCAAAAGAATATCCATTTATAGCAATTTTACATTATAATTAAAGGGATAGCCCATGGCCCCTAAAATTTAGTCGTTCAAAACATGTAGCTATTACATTTTTTTATACAATTTTACTTGATCAATAAGGAAGCAGGACAAATCGCCCCACTGGCAAATCGCCCCACACCAAATCGCCCCACTTTTTCACTAACTCGCCCCACTTTTAAAAAAATCGCCCCAAACTGGTTTACCAACTCGCCCCACTTTTTAAAAAATCGCCCACTTGTGAAAAGGGTTAAATCCTGTTAATTTTTTTCCTGCCAACTCGCCCCACTTAATGAAAAAAAGGTAAAATCTAGATGAATATATAATTTTCAGGTCTGCCAACTCGCCCCACTTAAATGAAAACTTATCTACACAGAATACATAAAAACGCAAATTTATTAGATTATTATTATTGAAATTAAATATCTTTAATATAAATATTAACTGCCAAAAACTTAAGAATTTTAGGGTTTAATGAAATAAAGTCATTGTATGAGTAAACTTTTGAATTGCAAGAATTAAGCGGATATATTACCACAATTATCATAATTTTTCCACATTGATTTTCTTTTTATTTCAAGTCCAACAAATTCATGTACAGTAAGTATATAGATTAAGATCTACTTAACATTTTGTTGTACATGTAATATAATATATCATTAAACATCTATTTAGAAAATACTTTATGCATTTTCATATGTATAAGTATATATAACTTTCAACTGTCTAGTATATATAACTTTCAACTGTCTGAACTGCATGTACTGGCGAGGGCTCATATTCCCAATCAGTATTTTTCACCTTACTATTATACATGTCTTACTAGAATTATCTGTTAATCTGTTAATTTCATACCAGCAATGAATTCTGTAGTGTTAATTTGAAAACCTTTTATTTTTTCAGATATGTTGAAGATTTTTCTGGTGTACCTGACTTTTCCTTGTATGACATTTTCAATTATTTGTTGTTGCACCGTTCAGATTACGATAAAAAGAAGTTGAAAGCTTATAAGAGTGCAGAGGACTACCGCTTGTTTTACGATGGACATGTCCAGGAAATGAAAGTCAACTACTTAAAAGATGACAGCTCAGTTTGTGTTTTTACTGGAAAGGTGAGGCCAACACAGAGGGCAAAGACGTTGACTGGGAAGATGACCTACCAGTGCTGGTTTGTTGTTGAGAAGACTCTAGGTGATGTTAAAGCAGCTTACTGTGAATGTCCAGGAGGGTAAATATAAAAATATTATATTTGACAAATTCTCGACCCACTATAGTTTCTATTGTAATATGAAAATAAGAAGATGTGGTATGATTTCCAATGAAACAACTCTCCACAAGTGACAAAATGACAGGGAAATTAACATCTATAGATAACCGTACAATCTTCAACAATGAGAAAAACCCAAAGGGAATAGTCAGCTATAAAAAATTTGAAATGACAAATGTAAAACAATCCAAAGAAGAAAGCTAATGGTCTGATTTATGTACAAAATAATGTAAGAAAAACAAATATGAAATATTGCAACAAACAATGACCCTTTTATTACAGATTCCTGACTTGGGACATGCACATACACAATGTGGTGGGGTTAAACTAGTTTGTAAGTACATTTGTATGACAGCCTCAAGTGCAGGGTGATGAGGTAATATTTCATTGCTATTTGTCAAAACTCAAGGTTGGTTTTCTAGCTTCTGTGTCCAGTATTTGGCAGGTAGAAGTTAACAATTCTGCTGATGTAATTTGATGACGTGCAATCTAAAACGCTCATGTTTAGTAAACCGTAAAAATCTATAAAGATATTAGTATTATACAGATCATTTCACAAATGAACATGTATGCATGTACTAACTTTCTCTTAATACAATTTTATTGCAGTGCTAATGGAGCTTGTCGTCATGTTGCAGCATGCTTATACGAGTTGGAGGCATTTGAGAAGAAGTCTGTTACTGACGGTCCTTGCCAGTGGAAGAAACGAAAGAGGGAACACGATGAACCAGTAGAGGTGGAACGAATGAAGATTATCAAGCCAAGGTTTTAACTTTATCATTTTTATCTTTAGCACTGGTAAAATGAAAAAATTAATAAAAATATTCTAGATTTCCCTCATATATTACAGTATTTAGTATATATAGAATAATACATGGCAAAATCCGTATCGCATGCTGTATCACCACCAGAAACCAATATCAGTCCTGAGAGCCGAAGGTCCCGAGGGCTGATATTGGTCAAGTGGTGATACAGCATGCGATACGGATTTTGTCATTTATTATTCTGTTTATCATATATTTAAATAGAATCAGATTAATGTCATATACGTTTTTTTTTAAATCTTCGGAAAATATAACAAACAAAAGAACATAAGGATTTTCCTGTATTTTTCCAGGTGACTTAGTTTTTTGTTATAGACTTCCTTATTTGCTTAATATCCACATCGTAATGTCCCCTACAACCTTATTACATGCTCAATATAGAGCTATGCAACTGGCAAATAATATTCTTTAAGACCATGTATTTAAAAGCATTCACTAACAATAGTGTCAACTGTTCCCTCCTGTAGAATACAACCCACCTTCCCAATATTTTTTACTACAATCTGAACTCATTTGTATACATAAATATGGACAACAATGTTACCATGTATCATCTATTCAAATATTATTAACAGACAAACAGGGGATTCCTATATACACAGTCATTGGACAAAAGTGAGTTCCCACTAAAAAAAACTTATTGTATCTATTTTATACAAATCGCTTATAAAGTTCTACTGGGTAATATTTTTTGGAAAAATATAGATTTTAGTTCAAATGATATGACATTTCTTGAGTGGAAACTCACTTTTTTCCTATGCCAGGAAATACAGCAACTGGACGTCATAGGTCAAACGTTGACGTCATTTGATTTATGATGTCACGCCAGGTATGTGATACAGATTTAGCTATGCGATACGGGTTTAGCTATGCGATACGGGGTATGCGATACAGACTGGAAAAAAGAACCTTTATTAGATATACAAAATTGCTGTATTTTGTACTAAATATATGATAAATACATGTATATCATATATATATGTTACACACAGATCGACATCTGGCCTCGAATCTAAAAAAAAACATTTCAATGCATATTTTTTTTATATATTTATTAGGAAGTTATTTTAATAAGAACTTTGTTTTCATTTTTCTTGTCGCTAAATAGTCTTCTTGTTGCTAAAATATTCTTCTTGTCACTTCTTAAAAGTTTCTTTCGCTACTGAAAACCTTGAAATCCTAAATACATCCCAAGTCAGGAGCCTCTAGCCTTTGTTAGTCTTGTATTATTTTTAATTTTAGTTTCTTGTGTACAATTTGGAGTTTAGTATGGCGTTCATTATCTCTGAACTAGTATATATATTTGTTTAGGGGCCGGCTGAAGGACGCCTCCGGGTGCGGGAATTTCTCGCTGCATTGAAGACCTGTTGGTGACCTTCTGCTGTTGTCTGTTCTATGGTCGGGTTGTTGTCTCTTTGACACATTCCCCATTTCCATTCTCAATTTTATACAATGCCAACATTTAATGCTTTACCAATAAATACATTTAAATATTGTAATATCCCAAAATAGGAGGATGGAAGCATGTGTATCATCAGCAGACCATGTAGTATCCAGTTTTGATCCTAGACAGATGGTTGACAGAGCTGCAGAAGACGAGAAGATAAAACAGTTTGCAAGTAAATTAGCACAGGTATAACAACAAATATTTTAACAACACGCCCACCGGTTTTATTGGTGGATACACTATACATTCAAGTACAGCGCCCTCTAGCGACTCCTCTTGAGGTTTGAAATCATACTGTCCAGATATCTTTATTATATTTAATTTTTAAACCTCAAAATGAAGTCTTGAGCAGAACTCGTGTCCATTAAAAATAGGTATCATGGTGCTTACACATGGTGCATAGTTATAGCATACACCAACCATTCTTGAAAAGTTAAAGGACTGACAAAATTGGACAGTAACATTTACAAATTCAAAAATATTAACAGCAAAAAATTAATCAAAATAATATTATTTTGTGCCAGACATTTTTGTAACAATATAACACACTTTAATACTTCAATACTACTCATATTTTAATTAATTTTTATTAACAGTGAAAGCTTTATTTAATACTGCATTACTGTTCTTAAATGTTCAATGCAATATCAGTATTTTTTAAAATTTTTGCACTGCAGCACATATATATATATTTATTTCTTATGCAGCAAAAATACTGCAATCTGATTGTTTATTACCCCGGTGTAGATAACACCCCATCCTTGTTCACCCCGGGATAAATAAAATTTTGCCAAAAAATTTAAAAAAATAAAGTTTTGCCAAAATAAAGAAAAAAATATAAAATGTCAAAAAAAAAAAAAATTTAAATGTAAAAAAAAAATAAAATAAAAAAAATTTTACACTGGAAATTTTTCATTACCACTTTTCAATTTTACATCCTTGTTTAAAAATGAGTAAAGGAATTGTTCATAAGAAATAAATTCATTATCTTGGTGTAATCAGGGGTGTACGGAATTTTACACCCCTGATTACACCAAGATAACTAATAATATGCACCATGTGTAACCTTTTTAATTTACAACTTTAAAAAAATTAATTCTTATTTCTAAAAAAGTTAGTATAGAAAAGGTAACAATTTAGTTTGTGAAATTTATGCTTTGAATTTATTTCAAGTTTATCATTGATAGGAATTTGCAATCAATTCAGCAATTTCAAAACTAATTTAAAAGGTTTTTAAGACAGTTTATAAAAAAATGAAGTTCTGCTCCTGGCTTTACCAAAACACCACAAAGCCAGTAAAGGTAAAAGTTAAAATTATAAACAAAAAACAAAGAATATCAACAAATTCATTTTTTATTACTTACCAACTCTGAAAAAAATAGCATTAGTAAGAACACACCCTTAAACATTGTGTAAATTTTTCATATTTAATTTTCTTTTTAAATTTTTAACAACTTACTTTTAAGAAAATACATCATATATTGAACAAAAATATTAAAATCATTAAAATGTCCCTCTCACATAAAAATCATACAATATATCTTGTACCATTGTCTAGATTTTCAGTTAATATTTTTCTTCCAATTCTTAAATTCAACAATGTCTTTTTTTTCCTGAAAAATATATAACTAATGCTTTGGTTACTTTTTTTTAATAGATAAATCCCGAGGCAAGAGCACTAGAATTTCTACCCCATAAACCAGTAGATGTGTTACCGATGGACTTTTCAGAGGCAATACAGGACTTGACAATTCCTACTAAGGCTAAGTATTTTAAAGATAAGTATGTATGTTTAATTGATAATGAAGAGGATATAGTTGAAAAATTTATGGCTAGCTTATCATTCAGTTCAGATGATGTGATGCTTATATCAAGGGCAACTCAGGGCCAGAGTAGCAACAATTTATGGTTCACTATGAGGAAAGGTTTAATTACTGCTTCTAACTTTCAGGCTATAATGAATAATGAGGACCCAGATCTTATTTGCAGCCGAATTATAGGTAGTGAATCACTTTCTGCAAAGAATAAATTCCAGGAAATGGCCTTAGACTGGGGTAGACGCAAGGAATCAAAAGCCAGGAACCTATACCAAACAGCTCATGGATTGAAAAGGAATAAATGCATAACTGAAACTGGTTTGGTGGTAAATCCGAAGTATCCATGTATAGGTTGTAGTCCAGATGGAGTGATCACTTGTAAATGCCATGAGAGTAAGGTTATTGAAATTAAGTGTCCGTTTTCACTTAGAAACAAGCCCGCTAAATCTGTATTACACATGAAAACTAATTCTGATGGTCAAATTGATTTTTCTTCACAGTATTATTGTCAAGTGCAAGGACAAATGGGAATTATGGAAATGAGAAAGTGTGATTTGGTATTCTACACCAAACATGGAATAGAACATGTAGAAGTCAGCTTTGATGAAGAATTTTTTAACAGAATGCTGGAGAAACTGCAAAACTTCTTTACGGATTATATTGCACCATTTCTTCTAGAAATAGTGAGTAAAGACAACTTAAATTAGTCTACTAAAAATTGTTCAATAGGTACTTTAAACATTTTCTTATATATTTGAATCTATAAGTCATTACTAAATATTAGTTTGATATCTATTAATTTTTTTTTCATTCCAAAATACTATGCAACTCAAAATAATGATTCTTGGTACTTTACAATTGATTTAAAGCAAAAGATTAATTTTTCTTCTGGGTGGTTGGTTCACTTAGCTAGATGCATGAATTTATGTATTTTAATATATTTTTTTAACAATTTTCAATATATTTCTTCCAAATTTTTGAAAGCACTGACCAGTTTTCAGACTATGTTTGATTTCTACCTTGCCTAATTAAGAGTAATTCGTGTGTCGTGTGTCGATAACAGTCTAGTATGTTAAATTTCCAATGGTAATTGTTTCATGCATATTCAGGAAGATACATGTGCTTGACCTTGCTTTGTCACCAACATCAAAATTATCAAACCATATAAAAACAAACAAATAGAACTAGAGAAATTTTCACTCACCAAAGGCTTTTTATTATAACCTATTACAGCTGATATTCTACAATGTTATTTTTAAAACATTGTAAAAGATTGAAATTTTTAATACAATTATGTCTACTGATGAAACTGCATGCTGACCTGAAGGGCATATGATAGTATACAGTTACAGGGGAGGTAATGACTTTGCTAAACGTAAAATGTTATTTTTGCGACGTTAAACTGTGCCATATCGGGAACAGATGCATTTTGGACTGTTTTTATACGCCCGTTTACGGGACGTATTATGGTATACCGTTGTCCGTCTGTCAGTCCGTCGTCAACATGTCGGACATTAACTCAAAAATGCTTTTACCAATTTGCATAAAACTTTGGTGAATTGTTTATATCTATTGACGTGAGCTCCCTTTCGTTTTTTATAAAATTTGGATTTTACGTTTCCGAGTTATGGGGTTTTATTCATTAAAAAAAGGGGGATTTTCCAGTTTTCGGACAATAAGTCAAGAATGCTTTCACCAACTTGCACGAAATTGTGGTGAATTGTTTATATCTATTGACATGAGCTCCCTTTCCATTTTTATAAATTTTAAATTTTACGTTTCTGAGTTACAGGGTTTATTCATAAAAAAAGGGGGGATTTTCCAGTTTTCGGACAAAAACTCCAAAATTCTTTCAGCAATTCGTATGAAACTTTGGTGAATTGTTTGTATGTATTGATGTAAGCTCCCTTTAGAATTTTATACATTTTACATTTTACATTTCGGAGTTATTGGGTTTTATTCATTAAAAAAAGGGGTGATTTTCCAGTTTTCTGACAATAACTCAAAAATGCTGTCACCAATTCTCATGAAACTTTGGTGGATTGTTTATATCTATTGATGTAAGCTCCCTTTTTATTTCCATAAATTTCTAATATGACATTGAGAATTAATTGAACTTTATTTGTTTATAGTCTGACAACAGATTTAGTAAGTATTGGGGACTATTGCACAACAGCAAGAAATCTTTAATTGAATATAAATTCAATTCATATAACCAATTTCAAGTTCTTTGACAACATTTATTCAGAAACCTATAATATGTCAAATATTTAATTACAATCCAAATTCAGACCTGAATCAAGCTTGAATATTGTGTCCATTTTTGCCCCAACTGTTCAGGGTTGGACCTCTGCGGGCGTATCTAGCTGCGCTCAGCGAAGCAGGTTTTTTTTTTATGATTTAAACTGATTGAACTTGGAAACGAGTACAAGGGCCCCTTTTTTTTACAATGGCATTAGGTTTGATTTAAAAGTATGAAGATTATTTGTAACAATTTTAATGAAAAGTTAACATTCAATTTTTTTTTAAATTTGATAAATATACTGCAAAAAATTATGTTTTTTTCCTAAATCCAGAAACTTTGTTGAAAATTAATTATTTCCCCAAAACTGTTGTACTTATTAAGAGCACATTTATGTAAAGAAGATTTTCGTAATGTTTCTACAAAAATCCGCTTGTGTTTATCTGTTGAAATAAAAAGTTAGGTGTGTCTATAAAGGATAGAAATGTCCCAAAAAACTAAATTTTGAGAAAATGTCTAAAATTTTTACACCTTTTTTCTCTTAAAGTAGCACATGCAGGTATATTTTTTTCCCTACATATTTGAATTGAATCAAAACTGTATCATATGCCCTTAAAACAAAGATGTATTAATATTGTTGTCGGTTTGATGCCTCATTGAGGTTTAACATGTGTCCCTTTTCATTCATGTTTATCTAATTATGCTTGTTGGGTTGATGCCTCATTTATGTTTACCCTGTTACATCCTTAAATATACTGTCAAGCTTGTTGGGTTGGTGCCTTTATATAATTAGCTAAGAATGTACCAAATTTACTTTTTGAATTGATCCCAAATATTTTAAATAATCCAAGTAGATAAATCATAATGATTCAGATATATATACACACTTGACCCACTTGATATTATTTAACTTAAATTTTGACTTGGATGGAGAGTTGTCTCATTGGCACTCATACCACATCTTCTTATATATCAATTTAACCCTTTCGCCGAAGAATGATGGTTTAATAGTAAATCTGAAATTTAACAAAATTAGTACACATACCGACATATATTGAAAATTCAGCACATTTTTAACGATGCCTATGCATTGTTCTCTAAAACTGGATGTTAACTTTATTGTTAGACATTTGTTTTCATTGGTTGCTTTCGGTCATATTTGTGTAATGTCTAGATCTGATGTTTTTTTTTCCTAAATCTTGTTTTTGGTAAATCAACAACTGTATAGTGACATACATGTATAGTTGGTTATATTAACTTCATTTGATTTTGTATTAACAACTGACTCATTGACAAATATAACACAGCTCATTAACTTCATATACAATACTTTGTAGATATTTTATAATACTGGTTTTTGTAAGTTTTGAGACAGTAAACCTCAAGTTTCGGTATGACTTAGATGATTTAAGGTAGTTCAGGGGTATACCACCATCTTGAATAGTACAATCACAGTAAATAAATTAATCGGTCTTTTTTTTTTGCCCAAATCTGCAAATTTGGAGACAGATTTGAAATTTATTGGTTACACTGTTTTTTTTATATTAAGAAAACTTAGTTATGCATTTCATTAGCGAAAATATTTTAACAAACACCAAATGTTTGTGCTTTTGGAACTAATTATTCAAATAAGCCATTTAAGGGGAGATAACTCTTTTAGTACATAATTTATACTGAACATATAGAGAAATTTCATTTTTTTACCCCCGCCAAAAGTTTTACTGGACGTAGTATGGTATACAAATGTGCGGCTGTCCCGGGTAAACATGTGGCACCGTAACTTGAGAATGACTTATCCAAATTTCATGAAACTTAACAAAGTTGTTTCTTATGATGGTCAAACGATCTGTATACATTTTGGTGAAAATCAGATTAATTAAAACTGATTATTTACTTGTAGCAAGAAAACAAGTTGGTGACACCTTTTTTTATTTTTGTTTTCTTAAAATATATTATAAAACCTATCTTCTCATATTTTATTTCAAAATTCTGTCTCATAGATTTCTTTTTAAGCACAAAAATGTGTTTTTTCATGAACAATCCAAGCAAATATTAGCAATTTTGAACGACTCGTACCTTGAAAAATAGCGCGCTGACCCATACTTTTTATTATTTTTTTTGAAAAGAGCATAGTAAAATCTTCATTTTGGCAAAGTATAAGAAAATTCTGTCATTTTTTTTTCTATACCCCTGAACTACCTTAAAGTGTTTATTTGTACTGATATCACTTTCCACTGGTAATCTTATCAGAAAAAGGTTAACTGGAGATTAAAGCAGAAATGTTTACCTTTTAAGAGCACCTTTCTGATAGTGTTAAGGGTGTATTCTTAATAATGCTATTGTTTTTCAGGATAGGTAAGTATTTAAAAAAAATGTTCTTGTTCTTTATTTGTTTAATTTTGTTTTAAACAAAGTGTTGTCTGTCCCCTCTGAACATGCAAATTTATTTGTCCATTGTGTCTTCAACTTGCAGAAATAGTGATAGTGAGAGCTGTTTTTTGGCCATGAAATACCTAAATTAGATTCAAAGTTGTTACAAATTAAAAGTTCTTACTTCACAAGTTTAGACCGCAAGTTACACAAAGCACCACAAACAAAAATAATATCATCAAGGATGGGTTTAAGAGTAAGAGGCAATGTGCCCTGTAGTAGCTGAAAAGATTTGATATCTCCTATAGCTCGTTCTACATGGATGCGTGCATTTGCAATACGCCTTGTCCTTGTAACTGCTCTACTGCTCAGCTGTCTGCCATTTGCAAAAGGTGGAATTGCAAGAGTTGCCCCCTTCAAAGCCAAGAGATCACTTATGGTGAATCCACGGTCAGCCATAACCTCATCGCCAAACTCCAGTTTTTCCAAGAACCCAGATGCTTGTGTAATCCTGCGGTCTGAAACTGCCCCTGACCACAACTTTGACAAGAAACAGAATGAACCACTTGGTGTTATACCTACCAGAAGTTTTAATGTATTATTATGCTTATAACTTGACCAAGTGATTCTCTGGGCAGAAGGTAATGAGGGTTTTTGAACAAAAAATTCAGTGCAATCTATAACTACTCTAGTTTTAGGGAAATACTTCAAAGATTTTGGCATATTTTCCTTTATTTGGTCTTTAGTGGGCCACTTGATAAGAAAATCCAGTTCCTTCCGCAAAAACACAATCCATGTGGTAAAGATCCTGGAAACAGTTGAAGAACTTATACACAACATATCTGCTAAAACATCTGTGTCCAATCCCTTCCTCAGTCGTACAAGGCTCATCAGGTACTCTTCCCAAAGTTTCAACTCCCTTAATGCTCCCCTTTTCTGTTAAAAAAAAATTCAAGAAAAGACTTTATACATCAATTGTCCAATAATGAGATTTGTTAATTTTTTATTGTTTATTACTTATTTTTGGTGATTTTCATCATTTTTCTGGCTTATGAGATTTAACATGTTAAAGCCAGGGGCAAAATATCTAAATAAACATATCGAATATGGCATTCTAAATAATATTATTAAAAGCCCAACTGACATGTTTAAGATTACATGTACTATTTTTTGGAACTATTTCACACGGAAAGTTAATTTAATCATAACATATGAGATGAATTTTTGTTTGTTTCCACAGAAAATTTCTGTAAATGCATATAATATGGCTATTTTTCATAATTTTAATCTTTGCTTTTATCTGCCTTTCTAATTAAAAACAACCAGTTGACATGGTCCTTAGTCTTATATGTAATAATAGTAGGGTATGTTTACACGAGTTCTGCTCATGACTTGGCATAAAGATACACGTGATATTTTTTCAAATAAATTGTAATGTTCAGTAAACCCTGAAAACTGTTACTTTTCATCATTGGTAATTTTAATAAGTTATATAATGAATACCATTGTAAAAAATATTCAGGTTGATTTGATCACAATTTCATGGTACCATCAGTAAGAACAAAAATCAGTTTTTACAAAATTATTATGCCAAGTCGCTAGGGGGCGCTGTTCCAACAGTGTATCCACTAATAAAACCAGTGGACGTTGTAAACAATGCTTGATATATAAACCTTTGATGCAAAACAAGAAATATTTATTGTTTCATTTTTCGTGTTTTTACAGGTAATAATGAAAACCTTGTAGGGGGATGTGAATCAATGAAGAGACACGTTTTTGAGAAATGACCATGTGTTGATTTTTCATATAAAGTATTAACACTGGCCATTGCTTGAATAAGTGCTCAAAATCCATCAAAAAGAACAGATCTGTCTGAGGAAATCTTTCTATTGATGTCGAGGATTTGAATAAAATATAGGTAAGGTTTTAACTAAAGTGAATTATGAGACAGATCACTCACTTGTCCACTGACATCATTCTCTGTATCGTCGAAGCTGTCATCAACCCTAGATGACCCATACCAATACTTCATCCTAGAAGCCTTCAACTCTACGTGACTAAAAACAAGTTTCAAGACATCCAGTGTCATTCCTGTAAATTTACAACAATGAGGCTGTAAAAAATGATAATGTGTTAATGCAACAATTTCAATTGATCTTAATTTTACATCTAAATTTGATTATAGTTAATCCTTTTTTTTTTTAAATCTCTAAAAAATATTCGAAAAGTCTACATATATTAAATAGACCAATCTTTCTAAGTTAAGAATAATACACCATGCTTTCATTCCAATCTTATATTTATAATATGGAGACCTTTTAAATACCTGTATAGGCTTTAGGCTTCTTTTCCACATCTAAAACAAATAACTGTCTTCTCATGGTCTTCAAGTTGACATTTGTACTGCTGTCAGAATAAGTTGGATGGTAAGTCTGAGATTCTGAATCTGCAATTTCAGTTCAAATATAAATACATGTCGTATAACACTTCTTTCCTCTATCCAACCCTATATTTAAATTTGGACAGGAATTTTTTTATTTTTTAAGGTCTTGTCCTAAACCAATGAACCAAGAAAATGAGGTCATGGTCAGATAAACGCTGCCAATTGAGACATTGATTTGTGGATTAAAAAACATTTTTCCAAATTTTATGCCCCCGCTGTAGCATATGGGGGCATTAAGTTTTACCCTTGTCCGTCAGTTTGTCCCCAAGTTGGTTTCTGTTCTCTAACTTTAGTTTGCCTCAACCAAACATTATGAAACTTAAACAAAATGCTTTTTCCACAAAACAAAGATCAAGTTTGAATTTTGGTGGTGTCACTTAAACTATTCTTAGAGTTATGCCCCTTTACTAATGGAAAATTACATTCTGCAAATAGATCAAAGTAAAAAATCTCAAAATAACAATATAAAGTGATTGTTATTTGACTAGTTAAGTAAAAAACTAAAAAATCTCAAAATAAAACATTTGTTTCAAAGTACATTTTTGTACATTGTGGCTATACAAATTCACTGCAACAAGCACTCTGTGAGTATTGCATGGCAATAAATAGTCCCCTACCGGTTATAAATTCATTGTATTGGAACAAAATTCTAACCTGATCTATAACTTGTGAAAAAAGTGTTGAAAACTGATTATTTAAGTGAATTTAAGGACCATAACTCTGCACAAAATCATCAGTCCGGAACAAAATTCGAACTTGATCTGTAACTTGTCATGATAAAACTGTATACCAATTTTCAAATCAATATTTGTAAGCATGGCGGAAAAAAGTGTGGAAAACTGATTATTAGAGTGAATTTTCTAAGTCCAAAGACCATAACTTTGCACAAAATCATCAGACCGGAACAAAATTCGAACTTGAACTGTAACTTGTCATGATAGAACTATATACCAATTGATAAATCAATATCTTCAAGAATTACAAAAAAAAGTGCAGAAAACTGATTATTTTAGTGAATTTTCTAAGTCAAAGGACCACAACTCTGCACAAAATCATCAGACCGGAACAAAATTCGAACTTGATCTGTAACTTGTCATGATAAAACAATCAGTGATATTGTTGTCTTTTTTCAAAACAACCTCTACCGTTTTTTATTGGGAAAAATGCATATTTTTTATGGAAATTGGGAAATTTGTATATTTTATTCTAAACACATCACCGATTTTTTGCTGACCTTTGCTGTCTTTTTTGCACTGTTGTTTTCATGTATATTTTGGTTGTCAGACATTTTCAACCTGAAAGATACTTTTCGGAGAGGGGAAAGAAACAGAAGCAATGATGGTACTTAATGCATTGAAAACCACGTGTTACAAACACCATGATGATTCTGATCAGAAAACCGGATCTCAAAAGTGCTTTCTAATATCAAAATAATAACACGAATACGATATTTACAAACATTTACTACCAATGCCATCACTGTTTTGGGAAAATGTAAATCTTTTTGGGAGGAATTTTAAGCCAGTTTTTTTAGTAATTGGGAATTTTCTCTAGGGGAAAAAGCCGAATTTCGGCTGTAATTTGAGGCAAACAATATCACTGACAATACACGAAATATCAAATCAATATCTTCAAGCATGAAGAAAAAAAGTGTGGAAAACTGATTTGCCAGACTGATGGATGGACAGACAGAGTGCAAACCTAAAGTCCCCTTCGATTTCGTCGGTAGGGGACTAATAAGGAACATTCTAATATACATGTAAGACACTTATTAGATTATGATATGTTTAAATCCAGAAATAGAACAGTGCTGCACTACTTGATTTATTTCATTTGATTGCCAAGGTTAATGTATAAAATTTGTAACTTCACACCTTCCCACATATCCTCCAGTCCATTTAGAAATATACAGCTCCTATGTCTAGTCATAAATATATAAATTTACCTGTTGTTTCCACAGGTAGAGGAGTAGCAGTAAAGATAGTGGTGTCAATGTCATCTGGTACCTTCCCTTCGTCTCCAGGCCCTAGTTCAATCTCTGCTTCAAAATCTAAAATTATTTAATGAAATCCATTATCTATTATAAATTAATAAAATTATCTTCCCTTCATATTTAAAATGATTTTATTTTTTGAAATATACACTTAATGCTTTTTTATACTTTCATCTATAAATTTGAAGTTTTAGATGATTTTGTTGTATATTGCAAGATATTTCATGTACTTGGTAACTATTTTCTATTTAGCAAAAAAAATTACTTTTGCAACTTGCCCAACACAGATGCTCAGAAAAAAAATCTACATTAAATTATAATTTCAGCCAGATAAATAATCTAAAGAAAACTTGTCAACAAAAAGAAAAAAGACACTATTTATTATATTTGTTTATCTGGAGTTCACCTACCTACAGGTATATACTAAATTAATTTACAGAATTTTACCAATTTGATTTGTTCAGGAATATTCACCTTTAAAACTAAATTTTACAAGGTGGATCCTAAATGGCGGGTAAAAAATGATAGTACTGACAGTTATTTTTACTTTGTGTGATGTCAACTTATGAACTATGATATGGTTAAAAGATTTTCGATATTGTACATTTCATGATCAATTATTTAAAAAAAATATAATCTGAAAAATTTCAAATACATACATGTAAACAATATTAAAAAAAAAACATTCAAAATAATTGAAATAACAACCAATATGTTGTTGTTGTTCAAGATAAAATATGAAATCTATAATAATGAAGTTATTCCAACAAAATTAAATGATTTTAAAAAGAGACTGTAATGTGCTGACAATTTTGATACAAATATGTTCGGAAATTGATAATATATCAATTGCAGCCTTTGAATGAGATGTATAATTTACATTTTAAGATATATTGACTGAGGATGACATTTTTCTAAAGATACATGTTTTAAAAGATTTTACCTGGAACATGAACTATACAATAAGAGTGATCTAGGTCTACTGTTCTCTGATCAGCTGATTTACCTGAAATTATGAATTTTATTATTGTATCAAACATTACACATGCAAAAAATAGACAGTTTATCATGTTGATAGACATTTTTTTTAACTGCACGCCATAACTACATGTAATATCTGACATGAATATAGGGAAATGTTGTGGATTTAAATATGTGCTTTTCACAACAGTCTGTACTGTTAGCCAGTAGTCTGATGCCCCAGACTAGTAATTAAGTTGTTGTTAAAGTTTGTTTAGACACATAGGGAAAATGTGGGAATATTGGTCTTTGGACTAGTAATCAGATAACATTTTGATGCAAACTGCACAACATGCTTAAGATATTTCTAACATAGTAACATACATTGTATCATGCATATATTTTCTGTTCGTGAATACTATATTTGGACAAACTGGTAGGTCTATATAAATGTACATAGAGTGAGATATACAATTTCTGTTTTATTTGTGTATGTCTTTGGGCGGGTTGAATTGCCTTTTTCATCAGTAACGCAATATTTTTGTGATTGGGCATTGTGGCAAGTCGTCATGGATTTTATTCTGCAACTATGCTATTTGGGCAGTCAATATTCATTGGCCTTATAGCTAGTAGATATAAGAAGATGTGGTATGAGTGCCAATGAGACAACTCTCCATCCAAGTCAAAATTTATAAAAGTAAACCTTTATCTGTTTATAGGTCACAGCCTTGTTCATACAAATTGATGTTTCTATAAGATTGTAAGTTGAACAGTAAAATGTATGAAATATGAAACTGTTTTTTGACAGCACCTGCATAATTTCACACCGCACTTCCTTGTACCATGAGTACATATACATGTATAAGCAGCACCTGAATGTTCAAGTTAAAAGTGTCATTGGTAGATACGTCAAGAATGTCAAATTAAAAACAAGGTAATATGTAAACATTATGAACCTTTATAAAGAAAATACAAGCATTATATTAAATTATATATACATTTCGTACCTGTTTTTTTCACCTTCCTACACACAAGGCTGGGACGGTCTATTGGTGCCCTTCTTTTCCGGTTCTGCAGCATGAAATTCTCCTTTTCAGCTTCACAGGCTCCTGCAGGAATAGGATCCGGATATTCCTCAGTCGGACCCTTTCCCCTTACAAAGTGAAGTGAACATATATAGCTGTATTTTGTCACTTTTTCCACGTTCAAGTCCTGTCGTCCGCAAGCTCGTATCCATCTTTCACACTTCACTCTTTTCCGTAATGGTTTTGGGAACGGAATAAAGTACGCATCCTTCTCCGCGAGTCTCTCTGGGTACCTACTGTCACTCTTACAAACCCCGTACATGCAATTCTTGTTCACCATCGTCAATCTAAAATGCGTTTATTTACCCTAGTTACAATGGCGGATTTGGAAATTCTGCCCGCCTTTTGTTTCAGTCAATATAGATTTCGAAATTCCGAAGTTACGTACTTCCGGTACGACTAATCACCAAACAATGTGCAAGTGGTCTATTCTTTTGTAGCCCTGTTATTTATTATTTTACTTGGTGACTAGAGTCTTTTTGAGTTCTATAAATCTTTTAAAAAATGATAACATATCAAATTTTTTTATCAAAGGCCCTTCGGTAATGGGGACCCGTTTTTTCATTTCAGTAAATATTTGTGGAAAAAAAGAATAGAGGGCATCAGATATAACATATAAACTACTGTTATTGTAAAATCATATTGATAAGAGCAAGAACAATTTAAATAAGTGAAAATAAGTTAAAATATTAAAGATTATTTACTAAAATGAAGTGAGTCTACTATGATGAGTTACATAGCGGTTTACTTTTGGTTCTGCTTCGTTGATTTTAGCTGAAATACCAGGTTTTTTACTTTGAAAATTACGTGAAAATAACAGTTATACAGACTTGCGTTCTCAAATTTCCTTGCACTCCTAAAAATGGTTTCAAGTTTTTTTTGCGAGCTGGGCCATTCGTGTCTTTCCGACACATCTAGTTTTATAATAAGTTTGCATATGAATATCAGTAAATTGCTTCTTTTCCAAGAAGAAAAAAGAAACTGCTAGAAACTTTGTTTGATTTTCATGTATTAAAAACATATTATCTGTCATGTCTGTATGCTTAGCATGTACATTTAAAAAGGTATTAATGTTATGAGAGTATTTCTATATCAGTAAATTTCAGTGCATGCATTTTGCATTAGTTTTATATGTCCAAATGATGCCTTTTAACTGAGTCTTAGGCCTATAAAAGGATATTTTCCAGTGGCAAATTGTCTATCATAGATTTTAATAAAAAAAAAAAAGGCAAATATTATCTATAGTAATCTTTACAATGCTGTATTTTATAGATTTGTAGATGTTTAAATTGAGATTATTATTTACTGCTAGTATAAAATAAGGGGATGTGGTTTGGTTGCTAAAAAACAGATTTCAAACAGAGTCCATATAACGTTACGTGGATTTAAGCAATTATAGGTCACTGTACGGTCTTCAACAATGAGCAAAACCCATACTAATAACTGTTAGTCAGCTATAAAAGGCCCTGACATGACAAAATATAAAAACAATTCAAACAAAAAACTAACATGCTGATTTATAACAAAACAATAATAAAAAAACAAATACAATGTATGATATACATCGACAAAAAACAAACACTTACCGGTAATTACAGCTTCCTAATTTCCGACAGGCACATACAGATTGCAGCGGGGTTAAATATGTTTCCGGGTGGCTAACTCTCTCCTAGCCTATGACTATGATGTAACAGAACAATATAAGAACACAATAAAAACCAATTGGAAATGGGTTGACCATCAGATCTGCACAAAGCACAAAAAAAACCCAACTAGCATAAAAACAAATGACAAAAAATACCTATCTAAGAGTACTTGTCATGCTTGTAGTCACTGAAAGCTAGTTCAAAACCAATAATAAACTAATAATCAAATTATGTTTCTCAGATTAAAGACGATCACATAAACAAAAAAATTTAACAGCCTACCAAGATGTCATAATTAATTTTTACAGATATCCAGTAAAACAGTAAAAAATCTTTTTTACAGCTAGTTCATATCTTTATATTATTCCCTGGGATGTGTTTTAGTCTCTGGTGCATGATTTTTTATTGTTAATTGTTTTTGGCTTTTAACTAGCTTTCAGTAACAGTGAGTACTCTCAAATCGTACTTTCATGTTAATTTGACCTGTTGATATAATTTGTAATGTGTTTTTGTTATTTAATGTTTACTCATTTAGTGTTATATCTCGTCTCACTATTTTTAATATATACCACCTTTGATAAGTGTTTAGTATGACAATAAATTTTCAGTTTTGTTCTCGTACTAGGAACAACAAAATTATTTATTTTGTAAAAATTATTTCCGTACTCCATGTTTACCTTACAACAAAATTATTTTTATTTACCTGTGTACGTTATTTTATTTGGCGGCATTTTGTCCAAGGTTATGGTTGTCTTTCTGATATTGTTTTACATCTAACCCCCTTGTTTTATTAATTTTGTATTAACATTGTGTCATAGATCAAATTTATTAGTTCAGTGTATGTTCACTTGTTTTTATACGACCGCAAAAAAATTTTTGTGGTCGTATATTGGTATGACGTTGGCGTCGTCGTCGTTCTCGTCGTTGTCGTCTGGCGTCGTCCGGCGTCGTCCGAAGACACATTGGTTTTCGCACTCTAACTTTAGTTTAAGTGAATGGATCTCTATGAAATTTTACCACAAGGTTCAATACCACAAAAGGAAGGTTGGGATTGATTTTGGGGGTTATGGAACCAACAGTAAAGGAATTAGGGGCCAAAAAGGGGCCAAAAATAAGCATTTTTGTAACTTCCAGACATAACTTCTGTGTTAGTGTATGGATCTCTCTGATATTGTACCACAAGGTTCCATATCACAAAAGGAATGCTGGGATTGATTTTGGGGGTAATTGCCTCAAAATTTTAGGAATTAGGGGGCAAAAAACAAGCATTTTTCTAGTTTCATGACAATAACTTGTGTGTAAGTGTATGGATCTTTATGAAATTGTACTACAAGGTTCCATATCACAAAGAGAAAGCTGGAATTGAGTTTGGGGGTAATTGCCGAAACGTTTAGGAATTGGGGGCCAAAAAGGGGCCAAAAATAAGCATTTTTCTAATTCCAAACAATAACTTGTGTTCAAGTGTATGGATCTCTCTGAAATTGTACTGCAAGGTACCATACCACAAAGGGAAGGCTGGGATTGATGATGGGGGTAATTGCCTCAAAATTTTAGGAATTAGGGGCCAAAAAGGGGCAAAAAACAAGCATTTTTCTAGTTTCAGGACAATAACTTGTGTGTAAGTGTATGGATCTTTCTGAAATTGTACTACAAGGTTCCATTTTACAAAGGGAAAGCTGGGTTTGAGTTTGGGGGTAATTGCCCTAAACGTTTAGGAATTTGGGGCCAAAAAACACATTTTTCTAGTTTCCAGACAATAACTTGTGTTCAAGTGTATGGATCTCTCTGAAATTGTACTGCAAGGTACCATACCACAAAGGGAAGGCTGGGATTGAGTTTGGGGGTGATGAATCATAAGGGGGTTCAAAAAATTTGGGGGGGGATTTTTTTTTTTCCTTTTTTTTCTTTTTTTCCTTTTTTTTTTCTTTTAAAATTTTCCATTTTAAGTTGGTTATTTCTGATTTATATTTAAAAGCAAATAATAATGATATGGTAGGAGATGCACACCAAACAGGATGTGTAAATTATTATATAATAAGTATTGTGCAATAGCAAGAAATTTTCAATTGCACAGTATTGCACAATAGCAAGAAATCTTCAATTGCACAGTATTGCCCAATAGCAAGAAATCTTCTATTGCACAGTATTGCGCAATAGCAAGAAATATCCAATTGCACAAGATTGCACAATAGCAAGAAATTGTCAATTGTACAGTATTGCGCAATAGCAAGAAATATTTAATTGCACAATATTGTGCAAAAGAAGATACTTCGTATAAATTGCTTATTTCTTGACCAATTTCAATGGGGTTTTATTCTTGAATTCTTGGGGTTCTTAAATATGCTGAATCTAACCGTGTATTTAGTTTTTGGATTTTGGGCCCCGTTTTTAAATTGGTCCACATTGAGGTCCAAAGGGTCCAAAATTAAACTTAGTTTGATTTTAACAAAAATTGAATTCTTAGGGTTCTTTGATATGCTGAATCTAAACATGTATTTAGATTTTTGATTATGGGCCCAGTTTTCAAGTTGGTCCAAATCGGGGTCCAAAATTAAACTTTTATTTTGTTTGATTTCAACAAAAATTGAATATATGGGGTTCTTTGATATGCTGAATCTAACCATGTATTTAGATTTTTGTTTTTGTGGCCCCGTTATCAACTTTGTCCACATTGAGGTCAAAAGGGTCCAAAATTAAACTTTGTTTGATTTCATCAAAAATTGAATTCTTGGGGTTCTTTGATATGCTGAATCTAACCATGTATTTAGATTTTGGATATTGGACCATAATAGGCGAATGTCCAATTTAAAATTTTTAAGTTCTTAGACCACATTCATTCTGTGTCAGAAACCTATGCTGTGTCAAATATTTAATCACAATCCAAATGCAAAGCTGTATCAAGCTTGAATGTTGTGTCCATACTTGCCCCAACTGTTCAGGGTTCGACCTCTGCGGTCGTATCAAGCTGCGCCCTGCGGAGCATTTTATTGTTAATATTTCTTTTGATTGAGTTAAGCCATCTCAATTGATATTTTATAGTGTGTCTTTCTATGTTGTGATGTTACACTATTGTTTCAGGTAGGGCGAAGGTTGGTGCCTTTTAAAACGTTTAAACTCGCTGCATTTGTTTGCACCTGTCCTAAGTCAGGAACCTGATGTTCAGTGGTTGTCGTTTGTTGAAGTGGTTCATAAGTGTTTCTTGTTTTTATACGACTGCAAAAAAGGTTGTATATTGGTATGACGTTGGCGTTGTCGTCGTTGTAGTCTGAAGACACATTGGTTTTCGCACTCTAACTTTAGTTTAAGTGAATGGATCTCTTTGAAATTTTACCATAAGGTTAAATACCACAAAAGGGAGGTTGGGATTGATTTTGGGGGTTATGGTACCAACAGTTAAGGAATTAGGGGCCAAAAAGGGGCCAAAAATAAGCATTTTCTAGTTTCCAGACAATAACTGTGGAACGGTGTATGGATCTCTCTGAAATTATACTACAAGTTTCCATACCACAAAGGGATGGTTAGAATTTGCTTTGGGGGGTTATGGCTCAAACCGTTTATGAATTAGGGGCAAAAAAGGGGGAAAACAAGGTTGTCCTGGTTAATGGACAAATACATTAGTACAAAACATAATTTAAAGCAGTGTAAGGGAGATAAATCAAATACATCATTGAAATTACCTCCCTTACACTGCTTTTAAATTATGTATAAAGTAATGGTTAATGAACAATTAAGATAATTTAAAACAGTGTAAGGGAGGTAATCCAAATACAACGTTTTGGTTACTTCCCTTACACTGCTTTTAAATTATGTTTAAAGAAATGCATATTTATAAAGGAAGACCAGTAAATATATCTGCAAATGTTGCATCTTTTTTTTTTACAAAAAAATCCATATGAAAGATTTGACACTATATTTTAAATTCTATTATAAAATAGATTAAGTTAGCACTATGGTAAATTTAAATGGGTAATTATGGTTGCAAACTCCATTGGAAATTTGAATTGAGTTTATGACCATAACTTGAGGGAAAGAATTTTTTTGGGAAAAAAAAGGGGGGGGGGGGGTAAAAAGAAATTGTGGGGGGTCAATTTTTTCTCATTTCAGATTTCAGAAATTAAAAAGAATTATTCTTCAATTATTAATTTTTTTTCAAATTTCAAATATTGAAAAATTTCAAGAAGTAATCTTTAATTGCACAGTATGGCGCATTAAATTTTTGTAAAATCTTTGACCACATTTGTTTATTTGTTATGCCGAATCTAACCGTGTATTTAGATTTTTAATTTTGGGTCCAGTTTTCAAATTGGTCTACATTAAGGTCCAAAGGGTCCAAAATTAAACTTAGTTTGATTTTAACAAAAATTGAATATATGGGGTTCTTTGATATGCTGAATCTAAACATGTATTTAGATTTTTGATTTTTGGCCCAGTTTTCAAGTTGGTCCAAATTGGGGTCCAAAATTAAACTTAGTTTGATTTTAACAAAAATTGAATATATGGGGTTCTTTGATATGCTGAATCTAACCATGTATTTAGATTTTTTATTTGTGGGCCCGTAATCAAATTGGTTCATATTGAGGTCAAAAGGGTCCAAAATGAAACTTTGATTTCATTAAAAAATGAATTATTGGGGTTCTTTGATATGCCAAATCTAACCGTGTTTTTAGATTTTTAATTTTGGGTCCCGTTTTTTAAATTGGTCTACATTAAGGTCCAAAGGGTCCAAAATTAAACTTAGTTTGATTTCAACAAAAATTGAATATATGGGGTTCTTTGATATGCTGAATCTAACCATGTATTTTGATTTTGGACATTGGACCATAATAGGTAAATTAAAAAAATTCAAGTTCTTAGACCACATTCTTTCTGTGTCAGAAACCTATGCTGTGTCAAATATATAATCACAATCCAAATTCAGAGCTGTATCAAGCTTGAATGTTGTGTCCATACTTGCCCCAACTGTTCAGGGTTCGATCTCTGCGGTCGTATCAAGCTGCGCCCAGCGAAGCATTTTATTTATATAGATTAGACCGTTGGTTTTTCTGTTTGAATGGTTTTACACTAGTCATTTTTGGGGCCCTTTATAGCTTGCTGTTCGGTGTGAGCCAAGGATCCGTGTTGAAGTCTGTACTTTGACCTATAATGTTTACTTTTACAAATTGTGACTTGGATGGAGAGTTGTCTCATTGGCACTCATACCACATCTTCTTATATCTATTATTTCACATCATTTCTTGTGCAGGTAAATAGAACTTGGAATAGGTTAGTAACAGACTGTATCTCCCTCTGGTCCCGTCTGATTTGGGAGGCAGGGTTGAAACAACCTCTAAAGATAACAAGGAACCATGTACATACACTGGCAAAGAGAATCAGTAGGAACAGACATATGGCAGACAGAAAATCTATAAGAGAACAGATAATCAAGCCGGCTAATGTTAATGTTACCTATCTATATCTCAATGGAAACATGTTAGCTATTGGTAAGATGCATGTTCAGAAGTGAAAAAACGATATTTTTTCTTGGATTTTAAAGGACATATATGAAATAAAAAATTAGAATATCCCCTAAATACCAGATTGTATTCTGCAGCCTTTTGAGACATACAACACAAACATTAAAAAAGATAACAGAAATTTATTTACTACATGTACCAATATGACATGTATGAAGAAAAGGAGATCTGGAGACAGCAACCAAATATAACAAAAAAACCAAGAAACATATTGTTTGTTCAGCATAGTCTCCAAAAATACCATATCATTTCTGAATTCTCCTTGACAAGATGTGAGTGAATTTGTCAGACTTCTAGGAATTAGTAAAATACAGAAAAGTGAAAAAAATATTTACAAAATTTTACTCTGGATAATATTTTTTTATCATAAATAAGCTTTTGTCCAAATTTCATAAATTCTGTGAAGGTTTAACAAAAAGTTATTGATGTCTGACAAACTTTAATTGTAGAATTTATCTTAATGTGAACTGCAAAATAAACTATTTCCTATATCAGTAAAATAAGGAAAAATTAATAAAATATTTTCTAAATTTTATCTGGATACTGTCTTTGAAAATACAAAAGCTTTTGTCCAAGTTTCATAAAACTCCAAGAAGGTTTGATAAAGCCATTAATGTCCAAAAATACTCTAAACACAGACTGAACCTAAATGTTATGACAACAACAATATGTAGAATAACTTTGTTTTTCTTCCTTAACAATATGTTGCAGGCATGACAAAAATGATAGAGGCCAAGGACTAACTGCTAGACTATGGGATTTTTGTTTGTTTGTCACTTTCAGAAAGTTTGGCCCCCTTTTCAGTCTACTCCTACACCACTGATTTTTCTAAAGCAAAGGAACAATGCTGAGGATGTATTAGTGTTGTTAATAATATTCAGACATATTTATTGCATTTTTATTCAGAGGTTAAAACATTCTCTGGCTCCTATAAAAAGTGTGATCAAGTAAAACAAAATTTAAAGTGTCAATATTTAGGAAATATTTAACTCCTATATCATAATTTATTTTTTTTTTTTTAACAGAAGTGGACAGCTTTTATTTGCAAGAAAGAAAGTTATTCTTTGAAAATAATTTTGAAAAAAATAGGGGCTTTACCTAATATCAATAAAGAAAGAAAGAATATGAAGTTTTTAGTTTATTCCAGGTATTTATGTAAGGAACTCAAAACCAAAAATCAGTTTATTTCCTGTCAGATATAATATACCATTTGAATATAATAAAATGCAAACTTGAACTATTACACCCCATGATACCATATTTAGAATTGATATTTTAAAAAAAAATAGGAAAAAGTCATGAAGACATAAGTGTGAACAACTGACTGACAGATTAAAAATGTACATCCCCCCTCAACTTCCCAGATAAGGATCTACTTATTCACAAATGAAACATATACTTTGTAGTTTTTTCAGGTTTTCCTCAGGTCAATTAATCATCCATTTTCAATTTATAAGATTTATTTTGTTTTTTATTAAGGACGTTTCTACATCATTTCTACATTTTATTTTATTTTTATAGATTATTCTACAAAATAAAATGATTACAGTAGTAGTAGTAGGGAATGTGGTATTGATGGCAGGTGTATAATTGTCTGTGTTAATCTTATTCACAATTTTTCTAGAATGTAACAGAATTAAGAGGATGACATACTGTATAAATATGAATCAAAATAGATGAGGAGTGTACATTAGTAGGAAAGCAACCCAAGAACACAAATAACCAAAAGACACCTACTGTGGATTCGTTTATTTTCGTGGGTACGAATGTTCGTGGGTTCTTGGATTTTGGAAAAATTGTACTTTTGTGGATATTTGAATTTGTGGTTTTGCCAAAGTCAGCAAACAAGCATATAGAAACTTTGTACTTCAACAAGAATTTAAATTTGTGGTTCACGGTTACCCATGAAATAAACTGAAATTGGTGTCCCACAAGTAATAATGAATCCACAGTATTAAAGAAAACACTTTTCTTTTGTTAAAAATAATATGTTGACATCTAGATAACTGTTTTTTGTGTTATTGAAATGTTGTCTCATTGATATATGCCTGTCAACTCCTATTATTTAAATCCATATTGATATATTTTGATATTTTTTGATATTTTTACAGATATAGTATTCTTTTTTTTGAAATGCTTCGTTCAAACTTGGGCATCTGATTTGAATTTCAGGTGGAGAAGACAGATTTGTTTATATATGGAACATCAGAGTTAACGAACTGGAGAAAATGATAGCAGCTCATAGCATTGCTGATCTGAACTTTGACAAGGAGTACCTCTATACTGCTTCCTATGATAATTCTGCTGCTGTATGGAGCTTTGCTACTGAGAGCATGTACTGTTTGTATGCAGGTCACATTAACGGTGTGATGAGTATCGATGTGAACAGGGAAGATAACCTCGTTTTGACTGGATCAGCTGATTACACAGTTAAAGTGTGGGACTTCCATAGTGGTCACATGCTCAATTCTTTTTCAAATATCCATTTTGGATGGGTGAAAAAAGTAAAGTTTTTAGAAAAATTGAAAGGTGATAGACATTTAGTGATATCATCCGATGCTAAAGGAAATATTTTCATTTGGACTTTCCAGTTTGAACATAACTGGTCGAATGAAGTTGATATCTTAAAACACCTCCAGAGCTTTGTTTCACCGATAATCTTTGATGACAAAACTTTCTGTGTTGTATTGAAATCTGCTGAGTCAACAAAATGTACTGATGAAAGTATAAATTATTTTTCTATAGAAAATTTAGATACAAGACCCACATTTAAGTTGTTAAAGAGCAAACGTATCACAAATGTTAAGGATAAACTATTGATTGATGCTGGTCGTCGATTTGCTGTTTTCATGGTGAATGAAGTTGATGCCATCAATATGCAGACTTATTTTTATATTTATGACATAGATAGGGAGAATGTTTTACAGAGAATTCAAGTTCCTAAAGATAGGTAAGTTTATATCTGATTTTAAGATTCAGATTAACAATATCTGATATAAAACAAAACCAAAAAAATTGTGAAAATCAGAAAGAAATGCTTCCATTGCAGTAAGAAAGTTTTTTTTTATATCCAGTTTAAACCTATTATCTACTCGAGCAGTTCATTCAACCTTTGGGTTTTGTGGTAAGTGCGCTTTTTTTTTACCGTGAATTCAATTTATATATGTATAAGTAAATGGGGTCCTGAAGACACTAATCTGATCAGCGAAACATGTTGGCCAATAAAAGTTGCAGTTTATTTAAGTGTTGTTGTCAATTTAGCAGTATGTATATCGTATATCTTTTGCCAATTTCATATTGCTAATCATAACATACGTATTAAACAATATACTATTTGAGGATTTTTAACAAATGTAATAATAAATTGTATGCATAAAAAAATAGAAAAATTTTAATCCTGGGAATGACAGAACATTTATAAAATCATTCAATCAAATGACAAAATATTTAAGAAATAAGTCATTTTTATTTTCTTAACTTCCTCATAATAACAGGGAAGGGACATTTGTTTAATAATAAGCTTGAATATAAAATTAATGGATATAATTCATAATAGATGTCACATACACAAATTTACTTTTATATAAAACATGTAAACACCTACAAATTAGTTGAAAAACTGGAGTATCTTTCTTACACCAAATAATATTCTACCTGATGTCCCTCTGGCTTGTGACACAATTAAGTAAATCTTGACAATTAGAAAAAATATCACTTAAATGGTTCCTGCTATGAGGATAACTAAACTGATTAGGATGTATGTACAGAATTTACATCTCAACTTTGGTAGACTGTATGTTGCCGCCCGTGAGACTGTGGTTGGTTAGATAACTTAACTAGTAGCTTTGCCAATTTTATTTTATCCATTACAGATGTGAGAGTGGCTTCAGTATCTAACCCTCTAGACCGTGATTGGTCTAAAGGCTATACCAATTATTACCTGTGACCATTTGATTTTGGTTGTTTATTTCAGATGTGAGGTAGTGACTTAGGACTTGATTGTTTGATGGCTTTACAGATGATTAGCTTTGACCATTTTATTTTGTAATCTATTTCAGATGTGAGGGAGTTGCTCCAGTACCTATCCTTGGAGACCGTGATTGGCTAGATGGATTTACTGACAATAACCAACCAAATCTATTATTTATATCTGTAGAAAGACAATTTGTGACATTACATTATCTTAGTCATAATAATAAAGTGTGATTTTACATTTTATACTTTTATACTTATTCCAAAGATGATTTATATTTTGATCATAGCATTCAAATGTTAAAGGAAAACTCTTGGTTATCCCTAATACAGCTGTATTTCTGTAGTGAAAGCTAATGCAAACACAGGACTAATATGAGAATCATGCGAAGTTAATATCACAATTAGTTGTTTGGGCCAATTAGACCCAGCATGTTGTCACAATATGTCCATAACATTTTTAATTTGGCTTCATTGGAATAGACATGGTCTGAATATTTAAAGTCAGTGTGATGAATTCCAGAATCTAAAAACACTAAAGACATGTAAAGATGAATACAGGCTTTTACTTTAGTTTCACTTTAAATGCCTAAACACATTTTCTGCAGCAAAAATATTGACAGCAATGTCCAATCAAGATGTGCCATTCAATGAAAAGATTTCAGCCAGCAACAATTGTTTTCCATGGAAAATTTAAGTTAAATATGGATGCATTTAAATTCAGCAACATGACATTGGTTATGGTATGGTTTATGTGCCTGCCCAAAGTAAAGAATCTGGTCAGTGGTTGTCTTTATTTTTTTATCTCTTTATGATTTCAAAACTTTTTATAGTCTTTATTAAATTCTCACACAATTTAAGACTTATTTTTTAGTGCTTGGAACATGGCTAAATAGGCAATTGTCCATATTTACAGGCCAAATAGGAGGAATAATCTGGGAAATAACAAGACGTGCAAGTTGATCTGTGTTTATGAAAACTTTGGGTTATTGAAATGCACTGTGGGGGATATGGTAATGGTCTCCACTCATCTGTCCGTCTGTCTAAAACACATCAATACTCAGACCATTTGACAGAATCTCTCAAACTTAATAGAATTAGAAGGATTATTTTTTGTCTTATTTTCTTGACCGTGCTGTATTCCTAGTTAAATTTGAAAATGTTTACAGGAGTTATGGGACTTTGACCATATTTTGGAGTATTGTGACAAAAACATCTTGTGAATGCAACTCTTTGGAGACCATTTGACAGAAATCTCTCACACTTAGTACTATAGTTTGCCATCATATATAGTTTACCACTTTATACCACCTTTTTGATTCAACAATTTTTACGGAAGCTGTGGGACTTTGACCTTTTTTTTCAGTATTGTAACCCCATGTGAAAATAACTTCCCTTAGATCGATTTAGAGTGAGCTCTTAAACTTGATAAGGTAGTTTATCATCATGTGTAGTTGACCATATAACACTGTCATTTTGATATGATATTTTTTTGTGGGAGTTATAGAACTTTGGCTATCTTTTTTTAGTATTGTAACTGAAAACAACTCCTTGTAGAACATTTGACTGAAAGCTGTTATACTTGGCAGGATAGTTTACCATCAAATGTTGTTGACCATATTATACTGTCCTTCTGAACTGAATATTTTTACAGGATTTTATGGTTTTGGACTAATTTTTTTTAACTGTTGTACCACAATGATACTTTGTGAACACAAATCCTCTGATTTATTGGACAGAAAGCTTTCATTATAGAAATGAAGAGATTTTGTATTATTGCCAATGAGACAACTATCTAACAGAGTTCAAATTAAGTGGATATAAGCAATTATAGGTCACTGTACAGCCTTCAACAATGAGAAAAACCCATATATAGTCGGCCTGACATGAAAAATGTGAAACAATTCATGAAACATGAAAACTATTGGCATATTTTATAACAATACAATTTAGGAAAAACAAATGTGACAGACATGAACTAATTACCAATGAATTACAGGCTCCGGACTTGGGACAAGCAATAAAGAATGGTGGGATTAAACTTGTTTGTGTGTCCTAACCTGGGACAGTGGTGTAACAGCACAACATAAGAAGGAACTGTAGAAATCAGTTGCAAATGAATTAACCCAATAGATCAGAACAAAGCACAAAAAAAACCCCAACAAATTTAAAAAAAAAAAAAAAAACAGACTCAAGTACTCTCAGTTACTGAAAGCTAGATCACTAAATAAATCATGTTCTTGCGGACTAAAGTATCAGTCAGTCAATCAGTACACATCCAACAAATTTGACAGCTACTTGTTTACCATCATATTAGTCTTTTAGATTTGACCATTTTAAAGGAGTTATGGGACTTTGACATTTTTTTTTACTTTGTACCACAATGACACTTCTTATTTTGTAGGTTTTGATACCATCATGTTTTGTTGACTGTAATATACTGGCAATTTGATTTGACCATTTTTATAGGAGTTATGTGACTTTCTATATTTTAACTATCATCATACCACAATGACACATTGAATTTAATTCCTCGTTTCTACTACTGCAGGGGACATTTCACTATGGTGTAGCAATCTTTATTTTGTAAATTTGTCCATTATATTTGTCCTTAACCATCAATCACACCTTTTTATACAGTTGTTCTCAAAATTATAACTTCTTTACAGCTATCTAGATAAGTTAAGGATGTACACCTCTGAGGATCCAAAAATTTCTAGAATTAAACTTTTTTTCTTAACCTGATTTTTGGGTTTATATGACTGTAAAAAATTAATTGCTGAAGAAAAAATCATATGGTGGTGCACTTCTTTTTTTGCTACGGCCCTTTGAAAGTACCCAATTTTGATGATTTTCCCATTTTTATTAAACTTTTTTTCATACTTTCAATAAAGATGAAGTGGACCAATCTGAATAAATTTAACTTAAAAAAACTATAGGTAGGTGTTAATATAAGAAAGTTTTATCATATTTTGATGCTTTTTCGTGTCAAATTTACAATGCTGTCAATTTTGTAAATTTGTGATTTTTCTCTGTTTTTAGAACAAAATGTATATTATTCCAACTTCTATGTTATAAATGATTGAAAAAATACATATCTAAGAAATTTGAAAAGAAAAAGTGATATGGGATGTACATGTTTCTGGTAAAATCATTTCTTGTACCCCTCACCCATTTTCTCAAAATTGTGGCTAAAAAGACTGACTTGATTGGTAATAAAATTTGAAAAATTTATTACTCAAAAACTACTTATTGTAAATACACAATTTTTTCACAGAGTTAAGTTTGATTATGATATTTATTAAATTCATTGCTTTTTTCCACTTTTAGCACATGTTTTGGAAATAATTCCAGAACGAGATTTCAACGAGACTGAAACGTCAGAAGAATACATCCTTAAGTGTGATTAAATTATAGATCTGTTAGTTATCTACCCTTCAATGAAGGGAGACAAGATGGTTTAGTATTTCTTCTTCTGGTTCTCATACAACCTTGTCCAATCCAAAATCTTTTATCTTTGACTGAACTTATGATATCAAGCATGAAGGTGATATTGTGTAGCATATTATCGTGACCTTCATATGATCTCAACCTTTGACCTCAAGGTCAAAATAATTGATATATCATTGGAATGCAAAAACAAGAGTAGACATTTTATTTTTCCACAACATACCATGCTAGTGTCATGTGATTAATTTACAGGAAAGTAATCTCTTCGTAAACTGATTGCAGCTTGTCAGGACAAGTGCAGGGGATCGTCAATTCAAACCTTTTAGGGTTCAACCAAAGACTGGAAAATTGGTATTTACCACTTCCCTACCAAGAATACAGAAATTTGGATTGATTGGACAATCGGAATACAGGGTTCTTCTTACAACAAATTTGTGGCCTTCAGTACTACCTGTTTCTTGTGTGTTAACTTGCATTGCAGGTCTTCCTGCTGCCTGTTACGTCATGAGGTCGCACTCTGAAAAATTTGTCTCAAACTTTGCTTCCATTGGGACTTTATTGCAATAGATAGTAAAGAACCTTCATTACTATTGTTTGTCTCAACCTACATTATGACATGACTTGGGCAACTTTGCTCCTATAGGAACTTCATGCATTTTAGGAATCTGAGGAATGGAAGCAAAATTTCTATGGGGGTCTGCGGTGCTTACATCTGAAGGTCAACAGGTAGTCAGTAAGCAAATTCTGTTAAATCTAAGACATTAAGCTTTTTTGACCCAATAAACCCTTGTTTAGTATGAAGTCTTTTTTTCATGAAACATATTTATGACTTTTATATTGTCATCTTTTTCTTCATAAAGGAGCCTAGGTGGTTCAGTTAATTTATTTACTGTATCACTAGCGTGTAAACACGAAGGTTGTGAATCTCTTCTTATGCCACCATTCAAGATAAAAAGTTCAATTAAGTTACTTAATGTTTCCTCTTGGACTATAACAAGAGACTTACTATAATGCTTAGGTAAAACTATGAAATTTCATAAGGCCATTTTAACAGGAAGAAATTCAAAACAAATAAATCATTAAAGTTTATTTTTCTGACAAATATCACAGTGTAATCAATATATGCAATGTTGTGGATTTGGTGTTGTAAATGATAACATGATATCTGTAAAATCAATTGATACAAAATGTTAGCAAAAATATCACAGAAGTAAAACACTCACATTTTTAAACACAATTAAAAATGAGTGCAAATCAGTTTTTTTGTTCAATTTGTGTAACCTTTTAGATGCCAAAAAAGACTGGTGTAAGAATTTAGGTCAAAAAGGCAATTGTTAGAAATTCAAGTTGCTGTGGGATGGGAAATTGGGCCATATATACACAACTTGTTAGCAAAAATAAATTTAAATTCTTATTAAATAATACTCCTTCATAAAGTAATCACGAAAGTTAATTTTTGTCGAGCCTTCGACTTTTGTCGAAAAAGCGAGACATAGCGATCCTACATTCCGTCGGCGTCATCGTCGGCGGCATCCACAAATATTCACTCTGTGGTTAAAGTTTTTGAAATTTTAATAACTTTCTTAAACTATCCTAGATTTCTACCAAACTTGGTCAGAAGCTTGTTTATGATCATAAGATTATATTCAAAAGTAAATTTGGTAAAAAAAAAAATCCATTTTTTCCATATTTTACTTATAAGTGGACTTAGTTTTTCTGCCAGGAAACATTACATTCACTCTGTGGTTAAAGTTTTTGAAATTTTAATAACTTTCTTAAACTATCCCGGATTTCTACCAAACTTGGAAAGAAGCTTGTTTACGATCATAAGATGGTATCCAGAAGTAAATTTTGAAAAAAAAAAAAATCCATTTTTTCCGTATTTTACTTATAAATGGACTTAGTTTTTCTGCCAGTTAACATTACATTCACTCTGTTGTTAAAGTTTTGGAAATTTTAATTACTTTCTCAAACAATCCTGGATTTGTACCAAACTTGGACAGAAGCTTGTTTATGATCATAAGATAGTATCCAGAAGTAAATTTTGTAAAAAAAAAATTCCATTTTTTCTGTATTTTACTTATAAATGGACTTAGTTTTCTGCCAGTTAACATTACATTCACTCTGTGGTTAAAGTTTTTAAAATTTTAACAACTTTCTTAAACTATCCTGGATTTGTACCACACTTGGACAGAAGCTTGTTTATGATCAAAAGCTAGTATCTAGAAGGAAATTTTGATAAAATTTTGTTCCATTTTTTCCGTATTTTACTTATAAATGGACTTAGTTTTTCTTCCAGTCAACATTACATACATTCTGCAGTTTAAGTTTTTAAAACATTTATTAGATTCATAAATTATCCTGGATTTTACCAAACTTGGACAGAAGCTACTTACAATCAAAAGATAGTATAGAGAGGAATATTTTTATTAATTTTTTTCCTCATTTTTGTTGAGCCTGCGATTAACACCAAAAGTAGGCCAGACACTGGGTTCCGTGGAACCCTTACGAATTTTTATATATTAAAACACAATGAATTGTATTGTAAATCAATACATTTTTATAATTCAACAATAACAAAGCATTTCAATTCCTTTTAAACAGTATTCAGGATTTTAGTGAGACTTCCTTTTTAATGCTTTAATATGTCTATCTGCTTACAATACAGTACAGTGACTGCATTCTTTGATCAAAACAATTTAAGAGATGACAATGTAAAGAAGTAGGTTCATTTTCTCAGAAAAAATACTTATTGGTCAGAGGATGCAGCCAATGTTTTCTTCCTATGCAGAAATAAATGAAAACTGATTATAAATACATCTTTTAATCAAGTCATGAATAAATCTGGCATCATCATCAAAATATTTTACATGAAGCTCATTTTGTATTTGTCATAATAAAACATTAAACAATCTATTTAATAAATTATATATCTGTGAGAGGCTTAGGGGTTTTATCATCTGGCCAAATAAAGCAGTTGATTTTACATAAGATTGCCATGCATTTTTCCCACTTTTTGCAGTATAAACTTTCACAAAAGATATGGACAGTCTGATCAAAATGTTGATTTTAAATATTCTACTAATTGTTGGATTAGGGTCTTACAGAAAGTTCATATTTTGTGTCTTGATATCAATATTTTTTATGATTGACAATTTTTTGGTATATTAGAGTCCACTTCTATATTTACAAATAGTCTGTAGGAATTTCATTTTTATTGATTATTGAAGAGAATATTGCTCCCCTCCCCTTCTTTAAAACGAAGATCAGTAAATTAGTTTGGTGTATAACTTATGATAATGAAGAGTAGGGTTTCATTTGCACATATGACATGGTATTAACAAGTGAAAACATCAAACTTAAGCAAATAATACATATGAAAAATGTAAAAGTCTAGACTAGATTCATCAATTCACTACATGAATAAATTAATTTAGGTAGATAGTTTTATGTTGACCTAGCCTGTAGAACATTACTGTAAATTCAGAAATTATTGCGTGCATTTATTATTGCGATTTTTAAAAAATGGACAAGAATGTGAGTTTAATTATTGCGATTTTAGAAAAATCTACATACAGATCTATGGTTTAGTTATCAAAATGCGAGTTCCTATTATTGCGATACTCACCGAGTCGCATTATTCGCATTAATAAAAACCTCGCAATAATTTCTGAATTTACAGTAATTGTTATCAACAAGCTCTGTTCAGCTGTCCCATTAATATTTATCATATCATTCATGTACAATACAGTGTTTATTATTGAATACCATATGTTGACCTCTGGTTGTCTTTTGGTTTTTTCTGTGTTGGGTTGCTGTATCATTGATACATACCCCACATCTCCTTTGTTCATATAACTAATTTTGGAGTCTTTTGTAATATTTAAAAATTAAATATACTACTTAATAGTATATCTTTCCCGGTGGTCTGGATTGCACCAATTATATTGCAACAAAAGAAAGAAGTAGTACAAAATTTTTTTAAATCTTTTTACAGCACTATAACTTTTCTCAATAGAAAAATGTAATATATCAAACAGTTTAATATATGTAATAAATCATATTTGTGAAAAAATAACTTCTTACCAAAATAAAATCTGAATAATGCAAGAATGTGTAAAGAAATAGTAACTAGTAAGTGCATTGCTTTTTATGTGCTTAGAAACATATCATGTCTTATTTTATCCTGCAGGTTTTTGGTGTATCAGTTTTATGGCATACTTTATTTTATCCCATTATCAAGAGACTATAAGATATCTTTCAAGATTATTGTAACATAAGGTTCATATTCAACAATGAAAAATTTTGCAGCTGTTGGACAAACTATTAAAATAAAGTTTTTTTGCAGCTATTGGACAAGCTACCGGTATATTAAAATAAACTAAACACAAAGGTTTCTTAAAAAGTTGTCTTTTTATCTCCATTAATACTAACTTCTTCCAGACAATTCCGTTTCTGAGAATATCTTCATTTCTCACACCATTTCATATTAGAAAGATTTACATTAACCAGAAGCAATCATATCTTTTTAACTAAATATAGCAAGATACTAATACTGTTTTTAAGCCAGAATAAGTAAATATTCTACAACTGTTCAGCACTATCATAAGTTAAGAATGGCAAATAAATTCAGTCGTTAATTCTACAGGCTCTGTTCAGGTATGGAACTGGACTAGAATCCAGGAGGAGGAATGTTCTTATGGTATACTAGTACATAAAACGGTCATTCCAACCTGGACGTTCATCTGTGGATATTGGGGTAGCCTTCTTGTTATTTCTCGATTGGTGCTGAAAATAGAATATGAATATTCAATTTTTTTTTATAAATCATGAAAATAAAAACTTAAATATTTCAGTTATACAGTTAATCTTTGTACTAGCAAAAAGCTGAAGTCTGCATCCTAAAACTGAAAAATTATATCTTTATTTTTCTAGTATTAATTGACTGATAGATTGTTGGCGATATCCTGGCGGTTAATTTTCATTTTTTTTTAGTAGAGGAAGCCTGTAAGACCCACAATCTTTGACAGGAAAACTGACAATTCTTGTCAATTAAGATAGGAGTTAAACATTGTTCATGTGCAGAATTCAAACTCACAACCTACCTACAGCCTAGTGATTCAGTTGATGAACTATTTAGACCATCGGCCACAGAGGCCCCTATTTTTTGAGGACCATTAGCAGCCCTATGACTGTTGGCAATCCTCATTTAAATTAGGTTGAACTGTTTTTTGGACTAAAACGCGTAGTCACTCCAGTAAAGAAAATGCCCAACACACACATTCTAGTTCTGAAATTGTGTTGTCATGGCAATTAAGAATATATATAATTGTATATGATTAATGGTAGTTAAACATAAATGTTTTCAATATATATTGAAGGTCGTCATAAAAACTGAGAATATATGCTACTTACTTCCGTTCTTATGTTGTATTGTTACACCACTGTCCCAGGTTAGGGGGAGGGTTGGGATCCCGCTAACATGTTAAACCCCGCCACATTCTGTATGTATGTGCCTGTCCCAAGTTAGGAGCCTGTAATTCAGTGGTTGTCGTTTGTTTATGTGTTACATATTTGTTATTCGTTCATTTTTTGTACATAAATTAGGCCGTTAGTTTTCTCGTTTGAATTGTTTTACATTGTCATTTCGGGGCCTTTTATAGCTGACTGTGCGGTATGGGCTTTGCTCATTGTTGAAGGCCGTACGGTGACCTAAAGTTGTTGGTTTCTGTGTCATTTGGTCTCTTGTGGAGAGTTGTCTCATTGGCAATCATACCACATCTTCTTTTTTATATTTAGGAGTTGGGATATGAAGAGCATTTAAGCTATTTGACAATTAATAATATGCATGTGACTGTGCTATACATTTTTCTCCCTTAGTCGACATAATACATAAAGCATAAAGCATAAGAGATATCTTTTCTTTGGTTTTTTAAAGCAAAATATTAATTCAGTATAAAAATGCCAGTGTGAATGAAACATTCAAAAAAGTTACAATATTTTTTTCCATAAATTACAATAGTGCAGTAGTGGACTTAAAAAAGGATAAAACTGAATTTCCTCTCATTAAAATATTTTAGCATACTACATGATAATGTTTAATAGATGGTAAATATATCATTACTACTTAATGCTGTTTTGTTTCTCACACTTAAAACTTTTCATTTATATGTTTTTACACATTTGACATTTTCCTAGGCTATCCATTAAAGAATTGCCCAGTAACCACTACATGTACATTGTATATTTAAAAAAACATACATGATGTCATGTAAATTTCATCACAGGTAATACATTGTAACAGTGTCCAAGCTATTTTAAGTTAACCCAACAAGGAGGAGAGCAGTTCCCCCTTACCCTTATAATCCTGCCCATGCATTTAGGTTTTCTTAAAGAAAACAAATACTTTTTCAAATTTATCAGAAAAAAAAAAATCTTTTTACATCCCAATAAAATACATCTACTAGGAAACAATACATTAATTTATTCCATTATTTCTTTTTTATCTTTAAACATGATCAAGTTTTCAGACAAGAAACCACAGGAATATGCCCTACTTGTTAAACTGTGCCCCTCTACCCTTAAATCATAACTAGAACACCAAGCTTTATACAGAAACATTATAAAGCAAGCACAGTTAGGATTGGTCCTATTTTGGCATCATATATTTATTAAACTAGAGGCTCTGAAGAGCCTGCGTCGCTCACCTAGATCAATGTGCATAATCAACAATGGACTCTCTCCAACATTGTAGACAAGAAGAGAATTCATGACAAAAATTTCTTTTTTTGTTGATTTTGTATTGCTGATCATTTTTTCTGTTTAGTTTCTCTCTATCTTCTTTAGTTTTTGCTCAAAATACAAAAGTGGGTAAAAAAATCCTCATTTAAGGGCAATCATTCCCAAGAAGACTGACAGTCTACTAACAATATCAATAAAATTTGACTTGTTTGTGGATATTGCCTTGCTGATCGTTTTTGTTATATAAAGTTCTATTTATCTATTATAATTTTTATCATATAAGGCAAAACAAAAACAAATTGGTAAATATTGTCATTAAAAGGCAATAACTCCATCAAGGAGTTGTCGGAAAATTCCTGCATATTGTCTTTTAAAAATGTATATCTTGTCTTGCTGATCATTTTTTTTAATTTAAGTTTCTATCCATCTATTATAATTTTTAAGATATAAGGTAAAAAGGCAAAAATTGGTAAAAAAATCATCATCAAAGGGCAATAACTCTAATTACGAATGGACTGACAATTTCGACCATGCATACTTATTTGTAGATCTTGTCTTGCTGATCATTTCTGAACTTAAAGTTTCTCTCTATCTATTTTAGTTTTCAAGATAAAAGGCAAAAATGAAAAAAAAAAATATGGTCATTTAAGGGCAATAACTCCTATAAGAAGTCGCCTGACAGTTTTGACGTCAATGAACAATTGGTAGAGCTCAACATTCTGAACATTTTTGCACTGTCAGATTTTCTCTATTTATAATGGTTTTCAAAATAACAGACAAAACTTGCATTTAACCCCTATGTTCTTTTTTTTTGCCATGTCGGCCATCTTGGTTGGCAGACAGGGTCATCAGACACATTTGATACCCTAATAATGATTGTGGCCAAGTTTGGTTAAATTTGGTCGATTAGTTTCAGAGGAGAAGAATTTTGTAAAAGTTAACGGACAACGATGATGGGCGCCAAGTGACAAGAAAAGCTCACTTGTCCCTTTGGACCAGGTGAGCTAAAAAAAGTTATAATTAAAATATACAGTTATTGTTCATTCATTTTGCCTAGTCTTTTTGGGGATGAACATATCAATTTGCTGGTATATAGTTTGTTTGAAATTTTTTCTCTTGTCTTATTTGCATTAAAAAAAATCTGGGTTTGGCACAAGATGAAGTCATCCTGTACTATTTACATTGTTAACAAGATGACTGAAATATTTTCTGAGGTACAGTCACTAATAAAACAGTATAGGCCAGCATGGTTTGATACAGATTTATCAGCAGATGAAGCACTGTTAGCTTGTTTTCAGTATAAGCAGCATGCATTCTTTCATATGGAAGTATTTAAAATGGTTTTGCTTACTTATTTTTCTTACCTTTTATACATTTATTATATGATTTTTGCGTTATTACATATTCTTTCATTGTCTTTTGCCAGTTTTGGTATTCCACTGATCTAGATTAAAAGGGGGATGGAGTGTTCTGAAGACTTCAAAAGGTTTCTGGTCTGTATCACACTGACATTTTTTTAATGTTGACCTTTTTATCTGACCTTAAAAAAACCAACTGAAGTCATAATCTCTTCATGATGGTTATGTGAACGTATAATGAAATAGAGAAGCTGTGGACCATTCATCAATAAGACTAACAACCTGACAACACAAAAAAATAATAACTTTATAGGTACTTTCCTGATCCATTTGAAATTTCAACAATATGTTTATTTATTTATAAATGAAATGGGTCAAGCTGTATTGCAAACATTTTTGCTACTGAGGATGGACCTGATGCTCAATTAAGTTCCTGGAAACTTCTTATTGATTACTTTTTTTTACTTTTAACATCTGAAATCTTTCAATCTCCTATAAAATTGCAGTCTACATTTGTATATCAATTTTTTGGCAATAACAGAACAAAATTTAAAAAATTTATGCACTGACAGACATAAATGACTACAAATCATTTCAAGTTATCAAGTTTTTATCAACTAATTTTTAAGTGTAGTGCATGTGTTTGTACATGTACAATGTATGCATCACACTTTAAATACTTGTACTCTATATGTGATTTAACTGCTAAATTTCAAGTACATCTTAATATTCACAATACATAGTAGTATTTACAATACATGTACTCTGTCTAAACAAAATGGTGTTTTTAAACTAGGCATTTATCCAAATTTATTCTCCTGGATCAATAGTAATAATCTTCCATAGAAAGTAGAACTACCGTACAGTGGGAAATCAAGTGTAGATGAAAAATCATTTAAATCTAATCCAAGTATTAATATCCACATGTACCCTACTATAAATGTTTATTCCAAATAATTAAATAAAAAAGAAGAAATTTAAATACATGATACCATAAAATCACTTTAATATTGGTTTTATTGATACTTTACCTGTTTTTATTGTATAAAACTGTTTAGGAATTTATTTATTTACTTTAAAGTGGTGAGAAAAAATGTTTCAAATGACATTTAAGAATGAAGCTTGACTCCTTTACTTTGATATTTTGCACTTAATTAAAAAAGGGTACAAGATAATTGTCAGATTTAATTAGATTTAAATGTCTACATAATCATACATTGTGTATTTAAATTTACAAAGCTTTGTCAAGCATTTAACCTTATTACTTATGGGTCATGAATAAACTGATTTAGAAATTAGTTAAAATGTCTGCTATAATACTAATCTTGCTTTATGTAAATAACTTGAACTGACCGGCAACTATTTCTGTGTTGTAATACACAGATCCAAAATATCATAATGTTGTGCTACAAATGTATATAGACACATAGAACATTTACCAGACATGTCAGAAAGAAACATAAAAAACACAAATATATTCTAACCCTGACCATGATGATGAATCTCATGAACCAGTAACTTGTGTGCAAAAATCATGCTACTTATGCGTTCACACTTTAAAGGTTCTTCAATTTCTATGTGCAGCAAACCCACAAACAGTGAAAGCAGTGAATAGTTACAAATACTTGTATACTGTGCCAGTACAACCATTCATGTTAAAATATGTAATTTGCATTAATATGATTTTGAAATTCCTTTCCATGCAAGACTTTTAATATCATGTTTAACAGTTTAAGCAGTGTGAACACCAAAATCAGTCGGGTTGATTCTATGCCACCTTAGTGACATTACTGCATTCAAATATATATGACAAAAAGCTAAAGCATTCCAAGCCTACCTGACATAGATGTTATAACAAATAATCCTGAAATGATATCGACATCCAAGTAGTAAAAGGGATCATTCAAATAAGTTTTCCTAGTTATAGTCTCCTAAGAAACAAAATCTTATTTCACATTTTTAAATGAAATTGAGAGAATGGATATATTCATTTGTCTAAAAATTTTAATTTAATTTTCATGTTTTCTAACAATTAATTGTACACCATTTTACATTTGGCAAATGTCGCAATAGATACTGATAAAGGTTATTGGTTATCGGAAATAATAATTATTAATTTTTGTATTTACATGTACATGTATTATTAATATACTTTTTTATGACTTATTTTTAGTGTTGCAAGTAAAAGGTAAATAACAGTACATGTACATATTTGCTTAAGAAAATACCTCTTTATAACAACTAAGGCCTCATAAATTTTACACTCAAAACAAGACTTTTATGTAGTGATCATATATATACATGTACATGTACATGTACATGTATATACAGACCAGTGCAAATAAATATGAACTAGAAAACTAACATTCCTGTGTGGACCTGGCTTAGACATTTTTGTGTGAGACAAAGAATCAAATAATTAGTATCAATGAAAATAAAGCAATACATGCTCCAATGGTACATTGTTTCTTTTTTTCTGGATTTCAAGTTACAAGCAAATCATGCATTTAGTGCTTGGCAAAATACAAATCCCCCAAAAATTTATCCTGATAATTTGCTCTGTTCAATGATTTTTTTGTTGTTTTGGCAGCCATTTGTTCAACCCATTGCCCCAATAAAAAAATAAAATAAAATACTAATGAAATAGACATACAATGTAAGTTTCATCACTGAATGTGCTGACCTATAGTTTTAATTACATGAATCTGTAAACATTATACCATACCATAGTTATTAGCTCAACATGTACACCAACTTATTTTTTTTTTATACAGAAAATCATTATTGTCCTTATAAATAAAGTGACCCTCATAATTAGTAATCACTAAGAATTGCTTTATAACAATCTGCAATATATACATGTAGATGTCAGATATAATACAGAATGGAAATGGGGGATGTGTCAAAGATATATTTTTAGTAATTGTAGACATCTTTCACTTTTTTGAACAGACATGTGTCAATGTATATTTGTTGAGCCTAACAGAAGTTCCACTGGAAACTTTGTTATAAACAATGTCATAATATCTGTTCCTGTTGGAACAAATATTCTATACCATTTATTCCGTTAGGAACATTTACTATAATATTTATTCCAGTGGAAATAATATTCCAGAATATTGTTTCCATTTGGAACTTATATTATGAAGGAACTTCTATTCCGTGACACATGTACATGTATCTATTCAAAATTATATAACTTATCTTTTCATAAAAAATCACGTACAAATGAATTGCAAAGTGGATTTAGAAAAATTAATTAATATTAACCATTGCTGCTGATGGATTTCTGGAACCCATTCTTTTATCTTGTGATGACAATGCAAGTCTTTTCTGACTTTGAGAGGCTGATGGTGGTGCAGGTGCTCTATGAAGCTTTGCGCTATATACAGCTGATGGAATTCTCATATTTGAACTAGGTGTAGGTCCATTACTTATTGGTGGCAGTGGTTCTGCTTTAGCAAACTGAGATCTTTTAGCTGAACCAGCCCGTGAATTTGAACTTGAACCTTTTTTGCCAGGTCCTGGCACCACTACAGTGTTTGAACCTTTTAGTTTAGCAATATCTGCTTGGTTCATCTTGCCACCGGCTTGTTCTTGTCTCCTTAATATTTCTTTTAATTTCATATTAACATTATAAGCTTCCTGTAACAGTACATCTGTATCTTCATCTGATAAGTTTACATTTTCTAACATTTTCATAACATCATCTGGATTTGTTAAATCAAAATTAAATAGCTCATTTGGAGGGATAATAGTTCGATCTGTTTCTTCTGAAATCATCGTCTCTTCACTATCTTCTGTTATCCCTGTTGTTCCACGTGAGGCAAGATCGATTCCCGACTCTGGGGAAATATCTCTGTTACTCGGATTTTCTAAATTGTCTGTCCGACTGTCCTGTTTCTCCGTTTCACCATCACTCGAATCCGGCGAATCATTTATTAATTCCAGTGGCGGAACAGGTGGATTTGATGTATTTTTGGAAGACATTCTGTATCGATTGTTTACAAGCTAAAGAAAATGTAAGTTTCACATGACATGTTGAAATTACTTCAAGAATGACTCAAACAAACATTACCGTCTCTTCTGTTTGGCGTCATTCGATACGGAAGTTGATAATTTTCAATGTCGTGCTGCCATCTGGCGTTAAAGGGAAGGAACTGGGAAGGTTGTTGAATATTGCTTAAAGTTATTTCCCGCCTACTTATGATATTTAGGGTTCGAAATATGAAGTATTTGCATCATTGTGATCATCAACCTTAAAGTGACATTATCATTATGATCTTTACTGACTAAAATATACAGGAATTTCAACAAACTTGAAAACAAATAGCTTTATGGTTTTCCTGGATCTTTGAAAAGTATGTTTAAAAATAATTTATTTATTAATATGTTCCAGTAAAAAAAACAATACAAAAAACATTGCTTACATCAAACTGAAATCCTCAAAATAATAAATATTTAACCATTTTAGGAACACAAAACTGTTTCCAGTAATTTTCGGTTTTGTATTGACTATTTTAACATTCTATATATATAAAAATGTTATTATCAATTTTTGTTTTTAATTATAAAAAATGTTAAATTTTTCACTGTATATACGTCTCCACAAAGCAATGCGCAGTACAAGTGACATAAACTTCAACGTGTTGAAGGCGGTCACTACAAAGTAGAAGTAGAAGTAGAAGACTAGTCCACAGGACCATTAGCTGTGGAACCATAGCTCTAGCAAACCTTGGGACATTGTTTTGTATTTGCAGATAGTCTAAGGACCAAAGCAGCTATAGTTCAACAGCTCCAAAACCATTAACACTGGATAAAAATTAATGAAATCCAGTGGTTCCCAAGGCTTTGATAACTCAACTGGACATTTCATTGGCGTAGCTTACGTTGAGGCAAAAAAACAAACTTTTCTTTTAAACAATTTTCACAGCAGCAGACTCACTACTAAACGTTAGGTACCGACTTGTATCGTCTTTTTACCGTTATTGATTCATACCCTTTGCGAGTTCAAGACTTATGGAAACATTTTCCTCCTCTAGTCTAATTGGAAATCCTGATCCCTTTGCGATAGTTTTCAGTAATCTCAATATGTCGAAGTCAAAGAAATCGACACAATTGAAGCTGGCACATCTATATAATCCTACCCCAAGCAAAATCGGTAGAATAGATGATTACCCAACTCACAAGCCTTCTCCGATCGAATCACTTGACCATTCAGGTAAATTATTAATTTTTTGCAAGAATAATTTCTAGTATATGAGGGTCTGGTTGAGGTTTACAGAATACAGAAAAATATCCTGAAATTGATTTAAACTTAAAAGAATAGAGATTTGAATGGTGATAAATATAAAAGAAAGGAAAATCACATTATGGACAAAAAGAATTAAAAATAAATAATTGAGGAAGCCCATACCAACCCTCATATACAATTGGTAACGTCTAAAATTGAAATTTCGCTGTGTGTTGACATTTCCCCCGACGTGTAATACTTCAGCTAGTACATTGAGTTTCATTAAACTTTGATACCAATTGAAATAAAAATTACTAATATTAATCAACATGCACAGAAAATAATTTGCTATCAGTATGTTGTTCTAAAGTTTTATTCTCACCAAGGATTTGTATAGTATAGTGTCTTACTATACAAATCCTTGTTATCACTATTTAAAATTTATAGTTTTTTCACTAGCAGGGAATTCTAAATAATTGAAGGAGTCATTAATTCCAACGACATAAACAATATATATCAGTTTCTATATAAAATTTTCAACCAAATACTGTTTTCATTTATTATGAAGACTTCAGAAAAAACGTAAATTTTTCCGTTAGTACTTCACCAGTTGTGATTTTCACAATGGGAAAAAGTTCAAAACCGTATAAGAATTTGAAGACCATCCAAAAAATATCAGGACAAAACACAATCAATAAAAGTGCTGTGGTGCATTTCACATGTAGCATGTGTTTATTTCCTAGTTAATAAAGAAATGCTGCAAGCGTGATGTCTGGTAATGTTTCTGGCATTAAAACCCGCTTACAGCAAATCCAATCAAGAGCATATATCTGCATTGCAAAGCGCACATTTTGAATCTTGTTGTTAAGTCCACTATTCTGTAAGTCAGTTGATATGGTTTCTTTGAGGATTCTCAGCTGTATTGTTGACTTGCTGTGTCATTAAAATAAACCCCATAGATATAAGAAGATGTGGTATGAGTGCCAATGAGACAACTCTCCATCCAAGTCAAAATTTATAAAAGTAAACCATTATAGGTCACAGTACGGTCTTCAACACGGAGCCTTGGCTCACACCGAACAGTTAGCTATAAAGGGCCCCAAAAATTACTAGTGTAAAACCATTCAAACGAGAAAACCAACGGTCTAATCTATATAAAAAACGAGAAACGAGAAACACTTATAAACCACATCAACAAACGACAACTACTGAACATCAGATTCCTGACTTAGGACAGGTGCAAACAAATGCAGCGGGTTTAAATGTTTTAATGGTACCAAACCTTCACCCTTTTTCTGAAACAATAGTGTAACATCACAACATAGAAAGACACACTATAAAATATCAACTGAAATAGCTTAACTCAATCAAAGGACATATTAACACCATTGAACATACACTGAACAAATAAATTTGACCTATGATACAATGTAAATACAAAATAAATAAACTATACCTATTTCCTTTTATTCGTAAAGAATTTAAAATCTGGGACGTTCACTGGAAGGATTCAATTTGAAAAAAGTGGTAAATGTTATTGAGAACATTTATGTATTCATCCGAACATTGAAAATGTTGTAGGTACCAGTAATCAACTCAAAAATCTGTAGTATAACTTAGTGTAAGGCATATTAACATTATTATGATGAAGTAAAATAAAACAACTGTTACTGCTTTTATTTTTAATAGATTCTTTTTTTTTCAAATTGCAAAACTTCAACAGCTTATGGGGGGCTGCGCCCCAGACCCCCTGCCTCAGTTATAACAGAAGGCAAGCTACGCCACTGCATTTGGTCACGGACAGTAAACCATTCTTCTCTACTGGACCAGACTATTTTTACAGGACATTTACACATATGATTTGGACAAAAATAACAAATCTTACTGGTCATTTGGTCCAGTAATGCATATCACTAAACTGGACCAAGCCAATTTTTACTGGACTTTGCCCAATGCACGCCACTACCTTGGGGAATGACTCATTGACTGGAAATCCTTTGAGGCAATCTTGACCTTTTGTACGACAAAGAAGTGCTGACAAACAGAAATTAATATTAGCCATGACTGTCTAGTCGAATTGGCCTTAATAATTATAATTCTAATGACAAAATAAAGTGTTTACTTATATTCTAATTTCTAGTCATTTTAGTGGAGCAGGATCTGCTTACCCTTCCGGAGCACCTGAGATGACCCCCAGTTTTTGGTTGGGTTCGTGTTGCTTAGTCTTTAGTTTTTTGTATGTTGTGTCATCTGTACTATTATTTGTCTGTTTGTCTTTTTATTTTTGGCCATGGCTTTGTCAGTTTGTTTTCAAACTATGACTTTGACTGTCCCTCTGGTATCTTTCGTCCCTCTTTTAGTACAGATATATCATTTGTGTTAGATGTATGGACATAAAGTTAAACATCTCAAAATTGAGATAAAATGGTTATTTAACACTTTATTGTCAAAAAAATTAAATATGAGTAACAGTCCCACCAAAAATGACTTTTATGTTATTCATATAAACATCTTTGTGTAGCCCTATTATCCGTTGGAGGTGTACCGATGATTTTTTTTGGTCATGATTTATTCATTAGCAGTAATAAGACCACATCTCCTTATTTTGATATTGATTGCAGGATTTGTTTCTCCATGTTGAGCTATTTTTAGTGTATGCAGTAGAAAGTGTCCCTGTGCTATGCCTTTATATTCTATAGCTATTGGTTCTTTGCCCTTGAGAGAGCTGTCCCACTGTGGTCTTAAACTTATAATGAATAGTTGTCTCATTGGCAATCATACCACATATCCTTACTTTGATATTTGAACTAGCTTTCAGTAATTAGATCTGTACTTTGTGTTCCTTTTTGTTATTTGTTTTTGTGCTTAGTAATGCTATGATAAATCAATAGCAAGCCATCTCTTAGTCTAGCTGACTTTAATGGCTTGTTCTTATGTATTTTTTGGCCCGGGTTAGAGTAAGGTTGAGCACTCAAATACATGTTTAAGCCCAGCCACTCTCTATGTGCATGGCAAGGGTCCGAATCCAAAAGCCTGTGACCCAGTGGTTGTTTTGGTTTCTATAAGTTTTTAGTTTATTGTTATTGTATAGTCAGACCTTTGGTTTTTCTCATATGAATTGTCTCATATTTTATCCACTCTGGGTCTTTTATAGCTTATTATACTGCCTAATAGGTTAGATCATTGTTAAAAAAATAAGAAAATAACACTTTTAATATAAATTTGATGCAACATAAGCACTTTTTTGGAATTACCTTCATCAGGACCGCTGAAAACCACATATCTAAAAGCCAAGTATTTATAAGGACCAAAATACACAAAGACCTACCGGTATATGACTAAAAGGTCAACTTTGCATGAAAGCAATTCAGTCAACTCTAATTGTCTTCAACTTTGTTCTTTGGTCTTTCAAAGGATATTTTCATTAGTTGTCTCAATGGCAATCATACCACATCTCTTTTTTATATCTTTGTGTAAGAGACTTTTGCTCATATCTTATTATTAAAATTTTAATGAAAAGACCTTTAAAATTTAATAAAATGCTCCGCTGGGGCGTAGCTTGATACGACCGCAGAGGTCGAACCCTGAACAGCTGGGGCAAGTATGGACACAACATTCAAGCTTGATACAGCACTGAATTTAGATTGTAATTAAATATTTGACACAGCATAGGTTTCTCACACAGAATGAAAGTGGTCTAAGAACTTAAATTTTTTTAATTTACCTATTCAAACCATATCATTATTATTTGCTTTTATATATAAATCAGAAATAACCAATTAAAAATGGAAAATTTTAAAGAAAAAAAATGAAAACCCCCCCCCCCCCAATTTTTTGAACCATTCTTATGATTCATCACCCCCAAACTCAATCCAAGCTTTCCCTTTGTAGTATGGTACCTTGCAGTACAATTTCAGAGAGATCCATACACTTGAACACAAGTTATTGTCTGGAAACTAGAAAAATGCTTGTTTTTTGGCCCCTTTTTGGCCCAAATTCCTAAATGTTTAGGGCAATTACCCCCAAACTCAAAACCCAGCTTTCCCTTTGTGATATGGAACCTTGCAGTACAATTTCATAAAGATCCATACACTTACACACAAGTTATTGTCCTGAAACTAGAAAAATGCTTGTTTTTTTGCCCTTTTATGGCCCCAAATTACTAAAATTTTGAGGGAATTACCCCCAAAATCAATCCCAGCCTTTCCTTTGTGGTATGGTACCTTGCAGTACAATTTCAGAGAGATCTATACATTTGAACACAAGTTATTGTCTGGAAACTAGAAAAATGCTTATTTTTGGCCCCTTTTTGGCCCCTTATTCCTAAACTTTTTGGGCAATTACCCCCAAACTCAATTCCAGCTTTCCCTTTGTGATATGGAACCTTGTAGTACAATTTCATAAAGATCCATACACTTACACACAAGTTATTGTCATGAAGCTAGAAAAATGCTTGTTTTTTGCCCCTTTTTGGCCCCTAATTCCTATAATTTGGAGGCAATTACCCCCAAAATCAATCCCAGCATTCCCTTTGTGATATGGAACCTTGTGATACAATGTCAGAGAGATCCATACACTTACACACAAGTTATTGTCATGAAACTAGAAAAATGCTTGTTTTTTGCCCCTTTTTGGCCCCTAATTCCTAAAATTTGGAGGCAATTACCCCCAAAATCAATCCCAGCATTCCCTTTGTGATATGGAACCTTGTGGTACAATGTCAGAGAGATCCATACACTTACACACAAGTTATGTCTGGAAGTTACAAAAATGCTTATTTTTGGCCCCTTATTCCTTAACTGTGGGTACCATAACCCCCAAAATCAATCCCCACCTTCCTTTTGTGGTATTGAACCTTATGGTAAAATTTCATTGAGATCCATTTACTTAAACTAAAGTTAGAGTCCGGAAACTAATGTGTCTTCGGACGACGACGACGCAGGACGACGATGCCTACGTCATACCAATATACGACCACAAAAATTTTTTTGCAGTCGTATAAAAATCTATATAATAGATTAGTTTATTCAATTTTCTTTATATGCATGCAGTGAGAAGTTAAGAAAATATGCAAGACAATAAAAACTAAAATCAGACAGACTAATTGCTTAAGAGTATCTGATGAATGTTAAACTATTGATTTATAATACTTTGTTTGAACAAAGGGAGCGAAAAGTAGCCTGGTACCAATTCCTGTCAAAATCTATTTTTACTGTTATGGATTCTTTCTTTCTTTTTCTAAACAAATTTCTAACAGCCTATAGTTTGAATGCTTTGTTCTTTTTATTTTAGTAATTTTACACAGAATGGAAACTATAAGCAGACATGAGTTGGTACCATTTACAGCTTTGATGAACATGATCAAGTTTAACTACCTGGAAAAAAAGGAAGTTTACCAGGGAATACTAGGAATTCTGGGAGATTATGACCCTTCAGATGAAGAGAACAAGAAGAGGGTAAAAAGCAATATTCCCTAATCCACAAAAGTTCAAATGGATGTAAGGAATTATAGGCAGCCGTACAGCCTTCAACAATGAGAAAAACCCATAGGTATAGCCAGCTATAAAAGGCCCCGATTGAAAAATATTAAAAATTTAATTGAGAAAACTAATGGCGTAATTTATAACAAAACAATTTACGAAAAACAAATATGACAAACATAAAGCAACGACAACCACTAATACCAACTGATAATTTCAAATATTTGAACGACATACATGTATAAATGAATATATACAGATGTATGCACAAAATAAAAGAAGAATGTGTCTGAGGACACAAATGCCCCTGCTCAAGATATGCAATTTTTCAAGTTAAAAAGGGCATAACTCTAGAAAGGTAAATGACTCACAACCCAAATTCAAACTCTGTCTGCGTGTTGTGGTTTTCAGCATTGTGTAGAAGTTTCATAAAATTTACATGAGACAAACTAAAGTTAGAGTGGGGAAACAAAAATAGGACAGACCGAAGGACGGACGGATGGAAAGACGGTAGAAGGTCAAGGGTAACACTTTATGCCCCCGTTGCCTACGGCTGAGGCATAAAAATCGGAAAAAAGCATCATAAAAGGGTAATAACTGCTATATGGAGTCAACTGAAAATTATGAACATTTTAATCTTAGATTACTGATCATTTTAGCTGTCTACTTTAGTTTTAGTCAAATATGCAAAATTGGTCATAATTGTCATTTAGGGGGAAAAACTCCTATAAAGAGACAATCAAAGACTTTAGCCATTTTTACTTGTTTGTAGACTTTGCCGTGCTGATAATTTTTGCTATTTAAAGTTTCTATCTATCAATCATAGTTTTCAATATAAACATAAATACGAAAAACATCTTCATTTTAGGCCAACTTATTTTTCAGAGTCAACTGAGGATTTTGACCATGTTTGACTTATATGTAGATCTTGATTTGTTTTGTTGATAATTTTTGCATTTTAATGTATCTCTCTATTATAGTTTTCAATTTAAAAAGAAAACCAAAATATAAATAAAAACTAATGACAAGATTTTATTCACAGACCACCAGATATATAGAGTTATTGTTGGCTGACCAGACAGACTTAGCTGAGTACCTTCTATCATTCCTACCTAATGGAATGGCTGTAGATCATATTGGAGTTTCTGAGATCAAAGATGATACACATCATAAACTGAAACTAAAAAAGTAAGGCATATTGCTGAAATATTTCACAAATTACCTCCCCTTTTTCATTTCAAATTAAAATACAGGTATTTTCACTGTTTGAATCTGGAATTTATTTCTGAGAAGGTTTTTTGTTAACAAAAGCTAACAAAATATGAAATTCAGTTGTAATAATGATATATACTGAAAAAGTCAATGGTTACTTTATTGTCGTTCAAATATAATCTTTTGAAGTTTTGCTGTTGCCATCAAATTTCAAGGGCAGGATTATCAATTATTCATTGTCAATTTAGAATTAAATGAAATTACTTTATGTTATAATTTTGTTTTAGGAAGAAAATTGTTAAGTTATATCAGGCCAGTAATACATCTACAATGACGACAAGTATTAACAATTTTGCTGGTTGCTCTACACAACAACCATCATTTACAGAACAACAAGTTTTACCCAGTTCTAAGACGTTAGTACCAGTTACTTATTCCAGAACCAGCAGCAGTCCTTGTTCAACTTTACTACCAATTCCTCAAATACTAAATGATACTGTTGGAGATGTAGCTGATGGTTTGATGAATACATTTAGAAGTGGTACCCAGGTCACAAGTAACAAAAAATTGCCAGGTTTTATCAGCAAGCAGACGACAGAACAAAATTTGTACAACATGAGAGAAAAAGTTGTATCATCTTCAAATATAAAAATGACAACTAGCACAAATATCTTAACATCATCATCTGTTTATTCTGGTACATCCAGTTTACCTATTTTATATGAAAGTCATGTAAATCAGGCACCAATTTGTCCTGTTGTACCTTCCCTGAAATTACAAAAGATAGTTACACAGGGAACCAGTAAAGATGTTCATTGTAATGTTAACCCTTTGTATACTGCAAGGCAACAGCAATGTCAATGGGTACCAGAAATAAGTGAACCAGTAACTGTTCAGGCTGGTGGTAAAACTAAATCCCAACAAAGTTTACAAGATTACAACCCCTATGTAGGAAATGATGTGCTTGAAAATAATCAACATTCTGTCATTGGAAATGATAATAGCATTGTTAGATTTGACCTTGATCATTTCAATACCATACCAGAAAATGTTCATTACCTTAATCAACACGAACCACTAATACCAAGTCTGAGGTTTCCACTACACTCAACACCAAAATTTAATTTCACACCTACAAATGTTTCAATGACTAGGAAACCAGTATCTCATGATTTTTTATCATTAATAAATCAACCAGTGACTGAACATCATTATCAACCTATTTCAGAGCCGATTCAAGGTCACATGAACATGTACCATAACACAAGAGCACTATCAGCATTCCCATACACTCATGAATTTGTATTTCCAAATGGAAAGACACAAAATGTTTATGTTAATCATGTTAACAGATCTGGAGTACAAATTGACCAAAACCTGCCACAAAATATAGTTACAACACAAAACAATATAGTCATGAAATCACTAAACAGGAACCAGTCTCATCAGCACGGAAGAAATCTCTCAGTTCTCACAGGCGTGCCAATGCAAAATATAACAAACATTCCACCACAAAATATACTGTGTGACCATAATAACGTAACATCACACACAGTAAACCACAGTCATATCTCTGCCTCAACTTTCAACACACAAAGTTTTTTACATACTCAAGGTATACCAACCTCCATTCAACAAAATACACATTTCTTAACACCAACACAGACTATGCAAGCTGGACCATCAGGAAACTTAACCCCTCATATGCTCACTCCTGTACAATACAATCAAGAACTGAGCTTAGTAGATCCAGTATTATTGAACCAAAGTTTGGATACTACAGGCAGTCTGAACAGAACTAAACCAAAGAAATTGTCAATGACTGCTAATTCAGCTGTTCGTAAAAAGTTAAGATTGACTCCAAATAATTCAAATATACCTATGTAAAAGCTTGGTATTTATTATATATATCATCAAGATTGAATCCAAAAAATTCAACTAGGCATACCTATGTAAAACTTTGGTATCATATATCATCAAGTTTTGACTCAAAATAAATCATTTATACATATGTTAAACTTTGGTATTAAATACACTGCATCATCAAGATTGACTCCAAATAATTCAAATATACCCATGTAAAAGCTCAGTTTTATATATCATCAAGTTATCTCTTCTGTAGATCGTATCACCATCAGTAAAATCAACATAGGTTTTCAAATACAGAACATTGTTGTTTAGATCATTTATACTTTCTGTTTATACTTTCTGTATGAAGTTCCAGATAAATCTTTTACATATGCATGCGTGTATAAACTCTATTTTTTTCAACTAAATTTTTTAAAGCATGGAAATAATTTGAAATGAAAGTAAAACTGCTTAATTTTTTGTTTCAATGGAAAATTATCTCACCCTTGTTATATTTTCATTATGCTGCCTTTATGTTTGGGTTTAGAAAAGTCAGAAACTGTTTAGTTCTTTTTTTATATTTCAATTTTTGTGAAAATTTTGTCATTAAATTCAAATATTGCATTATTCTTAATTTATGTAGTTCTTTTTAATATTAATAGTTAATATTTGTTTAAGCTCTGCAAAATTCAAACAGAATGCTTCTTACCTAAACAGTAAGAAAGTTTAAATTTGAAATAAGTATATTGTTACTAAATTTCACCATAGAAATTTTAATTTCAGAATTGTTTGAGTCAATATTTATAAATATTATCGCTTAATTAATTTTTTACATTTTAGAAAGAACAAAATCCAACCTAAAACATGCTTTTTAAAATCTGACAGTTGTTATAAAATTTGCATACCTAATGTGTACAAGCATAGCTGATATTTTGAATAAAAAATAATACTGAATTTTGAACATTTAAACTCATCACAAATAAAAAAAATTTGATATGGATTTTTCTGCATCAATTTGAACAAATCAAAGTTGTTAACCAATTCAAAGAATGATTACCTCCCATATATCAGAAAGAATGACTAAATTCCATTTAATATTTTTTATTTTGAAATATAACAATCATAATTTGCATAAACTTGCCTCTTGTGTCTTTAAATTTAAAATAAAAAAAAGGGAGAAATTTTCTTTTGGAAATTCATTTTCTTAAGAATGAAGAAAATAATGATTTGTACAGTACATCTTTTTTCTTATAAAAACCCAATCCAAAGAAGAATAGATTGGTGTGACCAATGGTATCATTAGTTATGCATGCAATTGCCAAACAACTTTCTTCTTACAATCCTCTTGAATTTTTATTGTAACTGAAAATTCAATGTATATATTGTATTCTACTGTAATATTTATTATATGTTTTAAATTTTAACTAAATTATATTTTATGAGGTTTTTTAATTATCTTAACTGCCAAATTTTTAATCATGTGTTGAATTATAGTTATACAAAATTATTCATATACATTATGTGTTTTTATCATATTAAAAATATTTTAACAGAGAAAACTTGTTATCATCTAGAAGATTGCTTGTGCTACATGCCAATCTGGTGATTGAAGCCCATTCCAATTGTTTTTTACACTTTATGTGACAGGAGATGTGGTATGATTGCCAATGAGTATCCAACAGAGTCCAAATAAAATGGATTTAAGCAATTACAGTTCATCGACTTTGTTCAGCCTTCAACTATGAGGGAAACCCATACAGTATAGTCAACTATAAAAGACCCTGACATGACATAATGTGAAAAAATTCAAACAAAAAAAAAACAACAGCCTGATTTATGACAAAACAATAAATGAATAACAGATATAACAGACAGTAAACAATAACAACAACTGAGTTACAGGCTCATGACTTGGGACAGGCAAATGAAGAATGTGACAGGGTTAAAACATTTTCTCATGTTGCACTGTAACACCACTATACCAGGTTAGGGGAGGGTTGAGCCCTCACAAACAGGTTTAACACTGCCACATTCTTAAGTTAGGAGACTGTAATTCAGTGGTTGCAGTTATTTGCTGTTAGCCTTATTTGTTTGTTTTCGTTTGTTTTTAGAAAAAATCAGACTGTTGATTTTCTGTTTTGAATTGTTTTCTTTTTTGTCCTGCCAGTGCCTTTTATAGCTTAGTACACATTTTTTCAGTCCAAAAAAATATAGGTTACAGAGATTTTTTTTAAGCTACAGGTTGTGTTTTGTATAGATTATACATGGAAAAACCAATTTGCATGAATCGATAGATAGAATGTCACTATAAATTATAACAAGATAGCTCTAATAATGTGCTTTCAGAAGATAAAAAGAAAAATTTGGGTCCACTGAACTTATTAAAAAAAAAATTAATCAAACTAAATTTTTAATGTTTTTGTAAAAGAAAGTAGTAAATAATAATGAAAATATAGATGTAAAGTCTAACAAATCAATTGCATTCCAAAATTTGCATATTTCAAAAAAGATTTAGACACATTGTTTTCTGCTATTTTTACAATCCAAGATGGTGAAAGACACCCGATCTACCTTAACAAATGGACAAGCATAAAAAATCAGACAGCGAATGTCAAGTGTGATCCTATCCCTGAAAAAATGTTTGAAGGAGATATGAAAAGAGCCATTATTTTGCCCTAGACTTTGCAAAAAAAGAAAACTTATTCAAGCCTTTCAAAATTATGTTTATTTTATTGAAAAATGAACAGGTCAATATTATCTGGACATTTATTATAAAAGCAGAGTGGTCAATGGCGATGTAACTATGATGTCATTATCAAAATTTATATATTTGACGACCTTAAATAGCCATTTCACACATATTTTTTGGTCAAAATATATATGATCAACACCTTTACTCAAAAAGATATTTTACACACACTAACATCTTTGTAAAATACATTTTGTAGCAAAACATCTTTTTTGGGTAAAGCTGTTGCTCATATCTTAATATTAATGACAAGATCTCAAAATGAGGCTATTTTGGCAGTTTTTGCTGTTTTGCTCTAAATGTAAGAAGTTTGAAAGCCTAATGGATATTTGTCATACAAATTTCACAAATATAAATGTTATCTTTCCAACAGACTAATTTATCTATTTATTTATAAGTCTTAAGAACATCTGAAGAATGTTGCATGGTAAATTTATAATACTTTTTTTAATTTTAAATTCAAGGGGCCAAAAAGTGGCCTCATCATATCTTCTCCTTTATCTCTATTTAGGATAATTACCATCATAATTTACTTTTAGCAAGCCATTCTTCTAATGCAAACTTAGTCCCTGTGCTGACCCTCTCTGAATCTGAAAAGTCACCAGCAACTGTCATAAGTGGCAGTGTAGGTAGCATTGCCTCCTCTTGCATCTCTTTTTCATTTATAATGAAACCTCTGAAAATTAAAACTTATATAAATTTCATTTGGTAAATTTTGATTTAAACATGTATATTTGTTTAATTAGTGGCAAGGTAAAACAGAATGTTGATATGGCTATTCTTTTTAATTCATAACAATCAATTTCTGTTTGTATGTGGACCAACATATCAACAAAAGCATTTAAGCTAGTTACAATGACATATGAAGTATTCCTAAGATTGCATTTTCTGCACTAATGCATGAGTTGCCTAAAACAGCCTTTAACAAAGACATCACTCTTATTTACTATAAGCTGAATCGTGAGCTCACAAATGATACCCTCACTATAAGTGTCTGCTGTACAGAAAGTTGATGAGCAATGGATGTGAAAACTCATCAAATGGTGGAGCATGCTCTCATTAGACTTGATACCATTTTTAGTGTGCTCCGATTCATAATGTGACAAAAATTTCATACATGTACAAATAAGGAGATGTTGTTTGACTGCCAATGAGACAACTATCCACCAAAGTTCAAATGAAGTAGATGTAAGCAATTATAGGCAACCGTACAGCCTTCAACAATAAGAAAAACCCATACTGAATAGTCTGCTATAAAAGGTCCTGACATGAAAAATATGAAACAATTCAATTGAGAAAACTAACGGTTTAATCTATCACAAAATTTACGAAAAACAAATATGACAGAAATGAACCAACGACAAACACTGAACTATAGGCTCCTGACTTGGGACAGGCTCATAAAGAATGTGGCGGGGGTTAAACATGTTTGTGAGTGGTCAACCCTCCCCTAACCTGGGACAATGGTGTTACAGCACATTTAAGATTACAAATAAAAAGAGAACTGACAGTTTACAAGTCATCTTAGACATCACTGCACTTAAATTATTTTATTTACTTGAAGAAACAATAAACAGTTCTATACAAGTAGTAAATAAGTCATAACTACATTTGAAATATAAGTTTATAGTTTAAAGGATCCCTATATACTTCCAACAGCTTGCATGTGAGAAATAACCAATCTTTAGAAGCAAAAAAAAGATATGTAATAAACTTACTTGATTTTCTTAGTTATATGAGAGCCTACTGTTGGATTTTTAGCTGTTTCCTCACAACCTGATACTATTGCCTCCACAACTGGTACTTCCAACCATGCACAAGCACCTACTTCTTTTGGACATAATTTCATTTGCTGATTGAGTTTTTCTGATGTCAGATTTGCAATCAACTTGGCATGGAGGTATAGAACAACATGATGTCTTTTTGGCTGTCCCAGGGATAACTTGGTTGGAAATACCGACTACAAAAATTGACAGATTTTTGTCATTGAGTGACTGACTTGTTGTCCACTATCTAGGATAAAAAGACTGAAAAGCTGATCTTATCAACAACAATATGTTTATCTAATATGTCCTAAGACAGAGAAAAAATTAGGGATAATCTTTTCTAATATTATGTAAAAAAGTTACTACATTGTTTCAAACTTTTCAAAATCAATCTGTAGCATATCTGATCATGTGATCAAAAAAAATTACTGTAAACCAACTAAAAACATGAAAATCGTGAAATTAAATCGCTGCAAAGCAGGAAAGAAATGGCTAAAAGCGAGAAAAAAAGTATACCCGAAAATAAGTTGGTTTACAGTATTAAACCAAGATGGAAGAACAGAAATAATTTCACGACACAGTTCAAGTTCAGTTCCTCTGGTATTCAGACAACTTCCATAAAAGAATTCAGTATTTTAAGTTGATTGAGGTAAACAGTTAGTTAAAAAACAAAAAAAATTAATATGTTGGTATCTAACATTCATATAGTCTTTGCTACGTCTGCAAGATTTAATTCCATTCAAATACTCAATCTATTGTGCAATAAATGTAAAAGTTATTCTCATTATAACTTACTAAAATCTTAAAGTGATATACTGAACACAGACTGATAAAAATCATAGCTCTCACTTGCTGTCCTTTATTATGCGTCACACAACATATCACAAAACATGAGCTGTGAGAGGTATGATTTTAATAAGGACTGTGAATATCATTGCAAAAATCACATCACAACAGTTAACAGGGGACAACAGAAGACTTTCAAATTTGAGCACTTTCCCATTAATT